CTTATTAATTTTTCAGCTTCATTTTTATTTAAAATGGATTCAGGATTTTAATGATAAGAAGGAGATTCAATATTCTACTTTAGAATGAGTTATTAATTGTTTACTTTATTTTTGAATTCTTCTTATAGAATATTTTAAAGTTTCTTTTGTTTCAATTTTATTGGAAATTTAATTTTTCTCTAAGATAAACCTTTGGTTTCAATATTATCTTTTCTAGTTTCAGAGAGAGGGTTTTATTATTTAATTAAGGAATATTCTGACTTTTTGATAACATAATAATGCTTTAGAGCAAATTTTCTTATGAATTCAAATTCTCTCCTTTTCTCTAATTATTTATTTTTTTATTTAAAAGTACTAATAATATCATTTTCAGATGTACTAGTAAAAACATAATTCTTCTTGATAACAATCCTCCAAGAATATAATGGATTTTATTTAAAAGTTTAGATATAAAATTCTTTAAAATAATCTCTATTCAAACCTTAATTTGAATAAAGTTATTACATAAAATACTCCTTATTTTAATCAGATAGTAATATTTTGCTTATAGTAAAATTTTCAATTAAATTATAAATATTACTTGTCTCTGATTTAATTCTTCTTTTTCTATTGTAAATTTCCTCCTATTCTCTAGTTTAACGAGCTGACAACCATAAAGTGTAATATTTATCTTTAAATCTTATTGGTTAGTTACAAAAATTATTCACTTTTTTACATGTTAATAATTTATTATTTAAAATTTTATCAATTTAATAATTTTTAATAATTTTAAGATTCAAGAGAGTTTCTTCATTCTCAGAGTTTTCTTTTATATCTTTTAATTCATACTCTTCTAGTTTTTATGAATAATAAATCTTGAGGGCAGCTATGATTAGATTAGCTCCGAAAATCCCAATTATAAAAATAATCAGTATATAGTATATTATAGTAAAATCATGAAATGAAAGCATTGAGAAATACAATGGTTCAGTCCAATCATTGAAAATCATAACTCTGACTACTTATTCATATGAATAAAAGATATCATCAAAATTAGTAGGTACATTTGGATTAGTAAAGGATTTAGCACATATTAATTCATGTTCCTTACATTATAAATTATATCCACACTTTTCGTTTGTCTAAATACCTTCTTCAGCGATATAACAATGATATTGAAACAAACCCTTAAATAAATGTTAACCAAATAGAGCAAAAAAGTAAGAGAATATAATAACAATAGAAAGTGCTTCCAATAAGAATATAATTGAATGTTTAACAGCAATTAACATGATTTTTAATCTCTTACTAAAAATACTCATAACTGTGAGTAATCGAAATAATCTTGCAGTAGAAAAATCTACTACCATTATTTCAGGATAATTTAAATGTAATAAAAATAGTACAAGAATGATGACATCAAATAAGTTTTATAAATCCAAAATATATTTAAATAATCCTAAACCAATTAATTTTGATACATTTTCTCCTATGAATAAATAGAGTATAACTAATATATATAAAATCTTTTTTACTTTTCTTTTTCCTTATAAGATCATCTTAGACATCTTGAGTTAGGTTATCATCTTGACTTTAGATAAAAAATACAATATTTAATATTATTGACCCAATTACAAAAAGAGTGAATAAACGATGACTAATAATTTTATAAAAGCTAATATTTATTATTCTTAGAAATAAAACAATAGTTTTTCTGATTTTAGTGAAAGGGTAATCATCCTAATATAATTTGAAATCCTTTATAACCCACTTAATATCTTACTTACTTTCCCAAATCAATGGATATGGATCATAGATTGGATTTCTCTTATATTTTTTTTTGTATTTGATAATAATATTACGATCATAAAATTCAATAGGATCACTGAGAGTCTAAGTAGTGTTATTAGTTTATTCATATTCATCATATTCATATTCATATTCATCATCTTCATCTTCATCTTCATCATCATCATCATCATCATCATCATCATCATCAAAATTTTCAGATGATGAATTTTGAAATTATTGAATTAAATCATAACAATCATTAAATTCTAATTGATTAGATTTGTTAGTTAGTTCATTTTCTAAGATTTATGACTCATGAGCCATATTCTCAAAATATATTGATTAATTTTATCCAATAGAATAAGAACTAGCTTGATCTCCATCAGGTTTTTTAGATTCTTGATTTATCAATTAAATATTTCTGATTTCTCCTTGCTATTAATTTAGAATGGGGGTAATGTTTGGACTATTTAAATCATTTTTTTTTTATATTCCAAACTAATCATCCAACTCTGAATCCCTCATATCAGATTAAACTTCATTTCTCAGCATGAGAATTATAATAAATATAAATAAATTTAATATTTATGATTTACTATTCAGAATTGAAAATCTAATTTTATAAATTATTAACAACTCCTTCTAGTTTGGCAATATTTATAATAATTTCAAATATAATTATACTCAATAAAATCTTCTAAATTTAAGTTACGATACAATTTTTGAGTTTAACTATTTGATGTTATTTCAAATTCATTTTTATAGATTGATATAATTAATATTAGATTTAGAGTCAAATAGAATGAAGTGTGTAGATTTGGAATTGGTAATTTCATATAATTTTCATTTTAATTATTTTAACAGTTAGTTATGAACAAAGCATTTCAAAGAAGTAATGATGAATAACAATAATAGAGCATTCAGATAATAGTATTCTCAAAGGCAAAACATAGCATCACACTCAATAGCGAAGTCCCTTAAGTACAAAAGAAAATGATAGCAAATTCAAATACCCTGAAGTTCTTCGTCGAAAAGAATCTAAACCATTATAAGTGCAAACTAATTAATCAGATATGAGATCACCAAGTGCTTAATCAACATAATCTCCAATTAATAGTAATAATTTTAATATATACTTAAGAGAGCATTCTAATTACTCATCGATCTCAATCAATGTTTTAAGATGCATAATATATAGATTATATTATCACTAATAAAGAAGTGAATTTATTTCTTAAAAAACACTTCCTACATGAACATATGCATACTAATAGTTCAAGAAATACAAATACTAAATTAATTTGTGATTCTTGGGATAAAGTGCCTGTAACTTATTTTATTAAAGCATTATTTGATGAGTATCCTGAAATAATTGAGGATCATCATTTAAATGAAAAGTTGAATATCAAATTGAAAACCCTAATAAAAGATTTGATTTCTGAAGATGGATAACTTTTATCATTGAATAAACTATAAATTCATACACGTCATTTAGGATTGTTAGGATTGTTGCTGACTGCTCTCAGAGACATTTAAGATGCACCTACTGTAAATCATAATACTCCTCATAATTAATCTATCTCACATGAATAGGATATCTCAAATACTTAATAATAATAATAATCTAAATTTCATAAAATGGCTTCAGAGATAACATAATCAGCTGAAAATAGAATAAATGAATTGGTAAATTTAAAATTACAATAATTCACAATCAAATAAAAAGAATTGGAAAAATAGATTTAATAATTAAAATAAAAAGCAACTGAAAATTTTGATTTATTCTAACATGAAGCCAAAAATAAATAAGTGATTACTAATTTAACTTAATAATTACAATAGAAAGATTAAATTATAGCAGATCTAGAATAAAAATTAATTAAGAAATGGATGAATTCATCAATAGAAGAAGAAACTCATGCAAATAAAATTGCATAACCAAAAGCATCACCAATAAAAATTTAAAGTCCAAGCTAATCTCCTTTTAATGATAGCAACCAATATTTATAAAGAATGATTAGTAATTTATGCACTGTCTGGGATCTAGGTTGTGTTAATGAAGATTATAGATTTGCTTAAATTCTAACAGCACAAGAAAATAATTAAATGCCTTACTAACATTTTTAACTAATTCCAATTATAAAGACAATTCCTGGCTTTAATGATTTTATTTTTAAATCATAAAATAACAATCACATCATTACTAATTTTATATAGAATTGCATGAATAATGATAATAATATTATCTTAGATTTGTATTATGAAATTATCACTTTACTTCCAAATTTTAAAATTAGTGATCAGGATTAATATTTAATTAATGTAATGTAATTATTTCTAAAACTAACTGTTTCAATTTTGTAGATCAAAAATGTATTCAATATCAATAAATTAAAAGAATGGGGATCTATTAAAAGACAACTTACTGAATAATAAAATTAATTTGTTAAGAATTTAATTAATTAGATAGTTTAAATTAATTAATACAGTATTAAATAAATACCTCAATCAAAATTATGGAATCAGTAATAGATATATCATGATTAATATGTTTCAGAATATAATAATAGATTGATTGAGAATCAAGTAATCAATAATATATTAAAAAAACAATTAAATTAGATACATAATAAGCAGAATACAAAATTGTCTCTTATTATTAGGATTATTTAATGCTTTTATTATAATGATGTTGAAGAATTAATTGGTTTAATGTAATCAATTTAAGGTGAAACAGATGTAGACATCTATTTATCAAAACTAATTCTAGATTGTGATTGTATCAACCTAATATTGTTCCCTAGTTTGTTTAATCCTAAATATGTACTTAAATCAATTACAAACTTACTTTAATTTAAGTGTCCTGGTTAATTCTATTTATTATATACAAAGTAAGTATGCTAAATTAGAAATATTGATTTATTAATCGAATTATTAACTAAAATGCATAATACTATGAATTCAGATGTTGTTATTAAATTATGGGATGTGCTTGGTGCTATTGCAAAAAGTGCTGCCTTAAAGGAATGTAAAGAAGGTCTTCAATTTATAATAAGATTATATTCGAATTCTCATCAAGCAACAATATTACATAATATATAATAAGTATAAAAAAATTTAGCTATCCCAATCTGATTTTATTTTCAAATATTATTAAATAAATTAAAATAAAATGAGTATTTTGAATTAACACTAAAGTACATTTCCACATCTCTTAACAATCATTGATAGTATGAGAGTTTATCATGAATCAAAATTGTGGAAATAACTAAGCGATTAATTATTGATCTATATTAAAGATCCTTAAGTCAATCAAGGAACACATTTGAAAGATCTTTTTGAAGGATTTGTTAAGAAATTTTATCAAGAGATTGATGAAATGAAATTAGTGCGTTTTCTAATTAAAGCTGCAGAATAATATGGAGATTTTTAGAGCAGAATTGATTTCCTCAAATAATTTAAATTAGATGAACAACCTCAATTAGTCATAGATATTTTGATAGCCTTTTTCAAGTTATAGTTGGGGAAATTATAGGAAGTGGATGAATTATTAAAATAATATAAACAAGCAAGTGAAAAAATATAAGAAGTTGATCCACTTGTTTATTCAATGTTATATTATTTGGCATATAATTTCTACAAAATCAAAAATGTATATGAAGAATTCTATGTGAATGCCTTATAATATTTAGCATACACTAACGATTAGGATATGTTACAAGAGCAAAAGGTACAACTCTCCTATGAAATGGCACTTGCAGTTTTGATTTCACCAAATATCTATAATTTTAGTGAATTATTACAACAACCAGTATTAGTTAGCTTAAAGGAAAGTGCTCAATATAATTGGGTCTATCAATTATTAGATATCTTCAATAGGGGAAGTGTGAGAGAATTAAATAGCTTTTAATGGAATGAGGAGAGAAAAGGAGTAATTCCAAATTTCCAAATATTAAATGAAAAAATTAGAATAATGGCATTTCTTGAATTAGCATTTTCTTTGCCTAAAAATAATAGAGTTTGTACTTTTGAAGAATTGGCTTAAGTATCAGAGTTACCCTTAAGTGATATCGAAAGATTAGTAATGAGAACAATCAGTAAAGGGTTGGTCAAAGGAAGAATTAATTAAGTAATATTATAGATTAATAATAATAGGTAAAATAAACAATTACAATTTCTTATGTAGTTCCAAGAGTTTTGACTATGGATAAAATTGAGATTATTAATAAAAAATTTGGTAATTGGGAGAAATCATTGAATGTCTTTCTTAAAGAAGTTGAAGATGTTAGGAAGACATTTAATTGACATATATAAATATATAAATCATTTAATTATTTCACAATTATGATTCATAATTAAAAAGGCTATATTTTTGATAGATTTATCAATATATATTAAATAATTGGTAGATTGATAATGTTTAACTTTTAAAGAATATAAAAATAAATAAAAATAGTGGAAATAATAAAATCAAATTTTAAATTTAGGTTTAAGTGAAACCTTTTTGGTCAAAATTGTATTAATATTTTCTTTATCATGACCTGGATCTTATAATGAATAGCTTTTATTTCTTAATGGTTATTTTGTTATTAATTCTATAGAATAATTTGGTTTTTTTTTTAAGGGAATATATGTTGAAAGGGGGTCGGTAACACTATTAGAAACTTATTGCAATTTTTCTTTGAGATCCTCATTTGTGATATTCAATTATTTAATTGTGGTTTAATTTTCTGAATGAATCATTTTAAGTACTGATATTTCTTATGCATAACTATCCAATTTTTTAGAGAGAGATCTTTCAAATTAGAATAATTATGTATTGATGTTAGAGATTGTTTAATTTTAATCTAATTTCTGAGTAATTTGACGAATAACCCATGAACATAATTATTTATATTCTGTTAGGACAGATTCTATTAGATTACCACAATGATAGGTTTTTTTGGATAGACAATTTTATTGAGAACCACCACTTAAAAATAAGAAATGATATATACTTATAAGGTACTCTAAGAGGAGTAATCGATTATTCAGATTTACATATTGCTCTGCAATTATTTGAGATGGAGGAAATACTAGAAAGAGCTGTTTTCATATTATTCGTTAAAATAATTAATAAAAATAAATGAGTAGTAAATAGATTAAGGCTATGATCATTAAGAATTTCAAAATCAGTTTCAGAAATGGTGAACTTTATTAAGACATAGTTATTCCAGTATTTGTGGCTTGTATGTTGTCTCTGAAGGGTATTGTAATTATGTAGAATATAGAACAATTAAGTGCATTAAATTAAATCCTTCCTCTTTTGTATAGTTTTGCTGTTTTGCCAACTGCAAGATCTATTATGGTCCATTTAGTGGAGGAGAAGAGTAAGAAATACAAAGAATTGCAAGGAGTAAACTAGAGTAAATATTCTATAGATCATGGGATTAAATTAATCAGCATATAAAATTGGATGGCTCTTAACTGGATATTTGAGAATGACATTAGCTCTGATTGCCTTCTTCTTATTTCAAATTATTTTCAACTCATTAATCTAATTAGACTGGGATTTTTATTACATAAACTCATTTACTCAATTAATGTGGCCATATATAGTTTATGGATATGCTGTAAATCTAAATTATAATATAGTCAATTAATTAATCCTTTTTATTTGCTTCTGTAATGAATGAGTCAAGAATTGCAGGTGAAGTGGCTACTTTTTTTTGTGTTGGATTCAGTTTTTTTATATTCTTAACTTTTATAGAATAAGCAGCTACGTATAATTTATAATATTATTATAGGTCTATTTTATTCTATATTTTGGTAGGACTAATGAGTCCACAATGTAATATAGGCTTTGAATACATAACAGCTTTATAAGTAGGAGTTAATAGAGTAGGTGCTAGTGTAGCTTGGTTTGACCCTATTTTGAAATAACCAATGAATATTTTTCCAGTAATTCTTATTAATGAAACCTACGATTTACAAGCCTCAGGTTATCAATTAATAGTTACATTATTCTTGTATTTATTCTTAGCTCTTTACTTCGATTAAGTAATACCAAATGAATATGGAATATCTCAGCATCCATTATTTCTATTAGGAATAAATTATAAAGAAAATGTAAAAAATGGAGAATGTCTCTTGTCTGAAAGATAAAAAGATGCTACTTCAGCTCATTATTATGAGAATATCAGAGAACATTTAGAACCTTCTATTTATGTAGACAATCTTACTAAGTCTTTTAACAATAAAAAAGTAGTCAACAATCTCACACTCAGACTCTACGAAAAATAAATCTTTTGTCTACTTGGACATAATGGTGCTGGCAAAACTACAACAATTTCTATGTTGACTGGATTAATAAATAAAAGCAAAGGCAAGATTTAGATGTATGACATGAATTTTGATACTTAATTGAAAGATATAAGAAAACACATAGGGTTATGTACTCAATAGGATTGTTTATATGAATACTTAACAGTTAGGTATATTATAAATTTTGTATAGAAAGAGAGCATTTAAATTTCTTTGCTGAGATTAAGTAATCAAATAAGAGTGAGATTGATGATATTCTAGAAAAAACAGAATTGAAAAATGAAATGAATTAAATAGTACAGACTTTATCAAAAGGAAGTTAAAGGAAATTAAGTTTGGCCATATCTTTAATAGGGAATTCTAAAATCATATTTTTGGATGAGCCAACATCTGGAATGGATGCTTTCTCAAGAAGATAAATTTGGAATATATTATAGAAGATTAAATAAGAAGAGAGAACTATCATTTTAACTACACATCATTTAGATGAAGCTGAAATATTAGCAGATAGGATAGGAATCATGTAGAGAGGAGAATTATTAGCAGAAGGATCTTGTGATTTCATTAAGAAAACTTTTGGAGAAGGTTATACTTTAAATTTAAGAAAGGAATCAATTAAATATTAAGATGTTTCTGAGATTCTTACTAAAGGCAAGATTATACCTGAATAATGTCATAAGTCTTAATTGACTTTTTAGATATCTTTTGAGCACTAGGATAAACTGGAAACTATATGTGAAAAATTAGAGAATTAAGGAATAGAAATTGATTTGAGATTAAATACTTTAGAAGAAGCTTTTGTGAAAATTGGAGAACATGAACAATTAGAATTAAGCCAATCAAATACCAGAAAATCTATGAGTTTATAAATTATAGAGAATACTGACGAAGGTTATTAACAATTCATTGAAAATGTACCAATGAGTGTTAGAGATAAACCCATATATAGTTTATGGAATCAATGTTTAGCAATGTTCCAACGTAGATTCTATACGACTATTAGAACAAATACAAATATCTTAGCCTTTTTCATGCCTCTACTTACTATTTTATTGGGGTTATTGGTGGCTAAATTTGTTTAATTTTCAGGAAGATTATCAAGGAATGACGAGGCTTAATTATTTCTAAAAATTTCAATACTTGCTTGTGTGGGAGTTGTAGGATTCACATTTAATTCAACTTTATATGTAACATTACCTGTACTTGAAAAAGAATGTTAATTAAAAGAGGTTATGATTTGTTCAGGTTGTAGGATATTTGGATACTGGTTGGGTACATTCCTTTTTGATTTTATTGTGTACTCCATTATCATAGTTTTCTTTTTAATTATGGGTGCAATTTTAAGTTTAGAAGCTATTACATCTTTTTGGTGGTAAACAGTCCTTATATATTTGTGTTTTGGATTAAGCTATATTACATGCATCTATTTGTGTAGCTTTTTGTTTGATAATGTAGCAAAAGCAATGAAGCTTTTTGTTTTTTATTCTTTCTTTTATGGCTTTTGTTTACCAATGGTTTTATTGGGATTGACAAATTTTTTATATCATTTAGATTCCATTTACTTTTTTGAAATTTTAGTTTATACATTTTAGGTTATTTTTATGGTAATTAATTATTTAAATTATATAGATTACATATCCATTTTACAATTATTATTTTGCTTATGCTTGTATGCCTCATTTAACCAAAGGTCTTAAGGCTGAATTAGGAGGATTACATTTAATTACTTATGAAAGCTATTGGTATGTAATCATGCTCATTTACTAATTCTTTTAATATTCTTTACTTATTTACTATCTTGAAAGGAGAAAAATTTAGAGGAACTTTAAATTTAATCCAGATATTACAGATAACAATTTAGAAGATGATGTTTATTAAGAATAGTAAAAAGTTTTAAATGGAAGCAATGATATTATACAAGCTATATAGGTATTTAAAAAATATTAAAATTAATAACAATTTGCTTTGAATAATATTTCTTTTGGGTTAAAAGAGGGAGAAATAATGGGAATTATAGGACCAAATGGAGCTGGTAAATCTACATTAATTAATGTGTTAACTAATATTAGTCAAAGTACATATGGAATGGTAAAAATATAATATGCTGATTAATTACATGTAGGAATTTGCCCATAATATGATTGTATATGGGAGAATCTTACTGTGAAAGAACATTTGCATGTTTTTAGTAAATTAAGAGGATTATCTGGTCAGAATCAATAAGAAGCAGTTACATATTATTTATAGAATGCAGAACTTTATAATTTTCGAAATACTAGAGCTGGATAACTTAGTGGAGGAAATAAAAGAAAACTCTGTGTAGCTTTAGCTTTGATTGGAGGCAGTGACATAATTTTTTTTGATGAACCTACTACAGGAGTAGATCCTATTTCCAGGAGAACTCTATTCAAAACATTAAAATAAAATGTATCAATAAGAAATTGTTCTGTTGTCATAACAACTCATACAATTGAAGAAGCTGAGAATTTAAGTGATACACTTGGAATTTTGATAGGTGGATAATTTATATGTTATGGAGAACCAAATTATTTAAAGGAGTATGTTTAAATTTAATATTTAGAAAATATTCAGATGGATATTATATATCAATATTACATAGTGAATAATATGAAGATAAAGAGATATTGGAAATGTTAAAAAAATAATTGAATAATATTAATTAAATTAAGGAGGTAAGAAAAAACTATTTAACAATCAATATTAAAATTATAAGTTTTCATTCTACTTTTAAATTGCTTAATTAATTAAAATAGTAAAAAATTATATAAGAGTTTTCAATTTCAAAGAGGTAATTATTAAAAATATTAATTCTAGTTCTCTTGAAAATATTTTTGTCCTCTTTACAAAGCAATAAAATGAAATAAATGATTAATTGGGAGTTAAAGTTGAATGAATATTTTGCTCTAATTTATATATTATTTAAAATAAATTATAAAATGAGTGAATTTTTTTAAAAAATTACCAATTTTTGTAGAGGTAAGGAAACAAAAGAAAATGATTCAGACAATGAAGATCAGGAAATATAAAAACAACCACAAATTTAAATTGGCGATAAATTCATTTAATCAAATAATTCTCCATCCAATTCTGAAAATTTATAAAGTACAAATTCGGATGTTTAAGAGAATTAAAATATGAAAAATCCTCAATCTTAAAGGTAATTGAATCACCTTGTATATATAGCCCTAAAATTAAAAATTAATAGAATTAGCTTTTTAACTAAAATCAAAGTGAGAATTAGAATTTGGAAAGTGTGTTCTATTCTGTATAAGTCCAATAGAAACCTCAAAATTTTAAACCCAACTCACAATCAAATATTTTCAAGAGTCAAAGCTTTTTGGATTAAAAAAATCAAAATTTAAATTATAGGGAAAGTCAAATAAATAATTAATATCCTTAAAATAGAATTTAATAAAGTACTATTATATTATCTCCTAACAAATGTATCTAATAAATCTAAATTAATAAATCACTTGATTTTTAATAATCTTACATATCAAATTAGCCATTTAATAATAAATCCATTAATAATTCATAGCCTTTTTATCAAGAAACTTCTAATAAATAGCACTGGAATTACAACATTATAGATGAAGAAAATAATAATAAAATTTATAATTCTTAATAATTTTATTAACATAATTACTAACCTAATGATAATATTTAAAATAATTTTTATGAAACGAGTCAATTAAAAAAAAGTAATAAAACTTTCGATTCATTTAATTCTTCATAAGTTTTAACTGAATATTAGAGTTGTTAAGATGATTTATAATCAAAAGCACATACTAAATAAGTTAAATGTGAATATTGTAAAAATGACATAAATATATAATATTTTTTATTAAAATGTTAGCATTTTTATTGCTAAGATTGTTTGAAAGAATTGTTAAAAAATTAATCAAAAGTATGTTATGTTTATCGATGTAATTGTAAAAAAGAAATCAAATTATAATTATTATTTGAAAAGAAAGATAAATAAGTTGAAACTTTAAAAGAGAAAATGCTAATAAATTAGATAAATGCACTTAGAGTTAATTTAGAACAAAAATAGTAATATTAATTGAAAAATTGTCGTAATAAACATTGTTCATTTTTTACAATAATTCAAAAAGATTTAGATTAAAAATATTTTTATTGTCCATAATGTTTAGATAAATAAAGTGATAATTCTTTAAATAAATGAAATTTAATTGAATTTTATAATAAAATCAAAATCCTAAATTTTATAATATTAAATCATATAATTATTTAGCTTAAGGATCGTCATACTTTAATGATTATAATATCTTTTCTAATCTATCATCAAATTATCCTTTAAGAAGAATAGTAATTTTCAGTATTATTCTTAACTTCATTAATATTATTTCAATATTTTTATTTTTATCAAAAATCAACAAAAAGTCGAAAGCCTCTGAAACCATTTTTGAAATATGTAAGGCATTCTAACCACAATCCAACATCCTCAAAAGCACTTCTAAGAAATTTAACATTAATAATGGTTCTCTAGTCAATAATAATTTATGTTTAGATTATGAATAAATCAATAAAGGGAAATAAAAATGTTCTGTTAATTAATGAAAACGATTAATATATGGTGAAACAATTTAAAGTCCTTCATAAGCTCTTTTAGTGTGTCCCCATCTTCTAGATTATGGAACTGGTCTAATTTTAATAACAGATTGTTCTTCAGTTTTATATGTAGTACTAATCTATTTAAAGTAAAAAGAGTCATTTTAAGATTTATCGAAATGGTTGTAATTTTCTAATTAATATTTATTTGGATTAGATGAAAGTTCAATGGCTGATTCTCTAATAATCTTCAATATATAGATTCTCTGCATTATTGAAATTTCTTCACTAAAATATACTTCAATTAAATGATCAGTTATTTAAGATCTCATAATAGATAAAGCAACTAAAGCTTTAATTCTCATTTCTTCTTGACTATTTTTCCAATCTCTATTTAAGATGAGAATGTCACATAAAGTTTATCCATGGATATGTAAATCTAAGCTATTTCTAATGATATATGGAAGATGTTTTAAAGCTTAATCTATTCTAATATAATCTTCACTTCTTAATGCAAGAATACAATCATAAAGATTTTTTAATAAAAGAGGTTATTCATTTTCATCATTATCTATTTCAAAATCCTTAAATAAATATGATATTAAATTACATGAAATTCTTAAGTAGGCTATATAATTTAGGTTTAATTTTCTTATTTAATAATTTCTTCTTTTTTTCTTTCATTCCATACTTCATCTACTTCATCATCATTTAATTCATCAAAACCATCTTCTACTTCAAGATTTAATGATTTAACAAAAGCTTTCCATACTAAAATTCCACATTTTCTTGGAATATTAGCCTATGTATTTAATCTTTTTTAAATTCCATCATGTATTAAATCATTATTAAATCCATCGTTAATAAATAAAATAATTAAATTACTACAATATAATTAAGTTTTATATGATGCATGTTTAATAAAATTTTTATTACTCCAATTAAGTATTAAACTATCAAACAAATCTTTATGTATAATTGTTTATTTAGATATATCATATAAAATAGATTCTGTGTTTTATTTTACTTTAGCATTTAGAGCTAATTTTAACAATAATTATGAATTTTATTTTATAAGTGATAAATATTTAATGTATTCATCTAATTTATTAAGAAGAATATATTTCAGAAATTTCTTTAAGTATAATGATTTAACCTAACTAATTTATTCTTCTGTAAGTCTTTCATGAATAAATTAATATTCTCCTAATACAAGTAATTTGTCATAAATAAACACTTTTTATTATTATAGTAATTTATTATAAATCTCTTCAAATTTTATGTATTTACCTTCAGTGAAATTTGAACATAATCTACACAACTATAAATATTCAGTTAGTTTTTCTTCAGTTGAAATCTCAGGGAAATTTTTAATATAGGATGTTTCAAATAGATTATATACTTTTTCAATTTATAAGTTGTTCAATTTTCTCAATTTAAAAATAACATTCTTCCAGAATTTGAAGCCTTCCTCAGTTTGAGATATCTCATAAATTTTGTTAGGAATATCATTATTTTCACCATTTAAAAATTATTTAATTTCTATAATCATTATTTATAATTTAATATTATAATGACAGCATCTTTGCATATCCAATTTTATCTAAATAAATTATTGAATATTTACAAGGTATTGTAAGGAACAGCAGCAAATTATATATAATATAATATAATTAATGGATAAAGAAAAAAAGGTTGAAGATGATTTTACTAATTTAAAAGATTAAATCCATATACTATTATATTAGTTAAGATCCACAGTATAATAAAAAGCCAAATATGCAAATGTTTAAAGAAATGTTGACTCTATTAAAATAGATATTGAAATAACATAGAAAGTTTATTAGATAAGTTGAATGAGTCACTGTCAAAATAATATAAGGATAAAAAGGTATTACATATTCATATGTTAAGAAATACTCTGAAAAAACTATACGAACCAATAAAACGATCTATTTTATTTATAGATAATAAGTTTATGATTTATAATAGTAGTTAGATCTTAATGCTATTATTTATTAATAATAATAAACCAATAATAGTGTGGAACAAGTGAGAATTTTAAAGAATAATTTAATGGATCAAGATGATAGAAAAACTTCCGTCATTACTATACATGACTTAAGAGGATGTAATATAAAAAGGTACTTAATAATTGAGGGACAATACTTAATAGATTGGACAAGTATTTTTTGAATTGATTTATATAGAAAATTGACAATACAACCTATTAAATTGATAATATAATTAATAAAGTGGATGAAACAAATTAGGATTTAAATAAATAATAAAATTTATTATAGAGGATTGTACAAAAATATAGATAACCAAATTAGTTTTTTTTAATATTCATTCTGATAGGATTATGTAGTGTAATCTATGTAATTTTAAACTGAAAGAATGAATAAATGAACCATTTTTTATAACAATTTATAATGATTTAAATAATATTATAAAATAATTATAATAATTATAATTTATATTGATTAATTCACAATTTAGACTTTTTTAAATGAGCTGTACTATTAAGCAACAAATAGTCTACATTGTCTTTTTAATATGAAATTACATTAACACTGCAATAATCAGCATTATTTGATATAACTTATTTTTCTAACATATTTACAGCATGAACTCCATAACCATGAGTCACAACTAAAATGTGTTTATTTTAGAAATACTCTCTCATACGTTTATAATTTTCAGAAAACCTCCCAAAAAATTCTTATATAGATTCAGGGTATTATTGAATGACTTCTTAATAAGGCACATCTAATAAGGGATATTATTTAAAGACATGATCATAAAATTAAGAGGATTTATAATAATGCAATTCTGATAATACATCTTTTTCAAACCAGTCTTATCTAAAACATTCTCCTAATCCTTTTGCTATATATATTTAAATTTGTTATTCTAATTAACTTGCAATTCCAATTATAGTTTAGACACATCTCAAATAAGGTGATGTAACCAAAATAATATTTTCGATTGATTGCTTATTAATTTTATGCATATTATTACTAATTTCAAAATATTTCTAATATATTTTCCAGTTTTTTTAGCTTATGATTCTCCATTTATAGATAAATGTGGATCAAATGATAATATAATTCTTTATTTTTCAGCATTTGTACTATCATCTGCTCTTTCACCATGCCGAATAAGAAAAAGCATTTATTTTTAATTATATTTAATTATAAAGATAATTTAATTCTTATATTTAATTACATATAGATATGAATTCTTGATAATGTTAAATAAATTTCAATGAATGATAATATTATCAAATATTTAATCAACATTATTTTATAATTCCTTTGTATAATTTATTTTCAATTAGTATTTTTCAATAAATTAATTAGGAGTCAATCCAATAAATAAAATTGTAAATGATACTTACATTAAATTCATGAGCATCTAAATTCCTAGATAATCAGCAGCTTTTCTAATCAATTATCTTTCAATATTGTATAATTATAATGATTTAAGAAAATTTGATTCTATAGGATTAAGAAAAGAATCTAAATCAGTACTTGGAATTGGTTTTGGAATGACTGATGGGTTTTCTGGTAACATATCAATTAAAAATTAATTAATCTTCATCAATATGTTACTTTAAATTTCCATATCTAAGACATTAGTTGTTTATTCACACTCTGATAGATAATTGATAAATATTACCATAAATATGTTCAAATAGTAAACTATATTTAAGAAATGCCTCTATATTGATGGTAACAATTTAATTATCAGTAGTTCTAATTTACATTTAAAAAATAAATAAAAAATATACAATAAATGTCATCAGATAAGTTCAGCCATATATAGTTTAAAATCTTAAAATGGTAACTAATAAAATAAATGTAAAATATACATGTTTTTTTTATAATTTAGCAAATTCTAGTTCAATTAATTCTTCTTTTACATTAATTTATTATATAAGACTTTAAATAGTTATATTACCTTTTCTATTAGATAATATTCTGAATGTATCTTTTAGATTATCTTCAGTTAATAATGATTTTCTATCTGTTAATGCAAGTATGTATTCTTATATTTCTATTTCACCATTTTCATCTTAATCAACATTTGAAAATATTTCACTAACTACTTAAAAGGCATCTTCATAATTTTCATATAATTTTTAGTATGCATTCATTAATTCATATTTTGTGATTTTACCATCTTTATTAGCATCAATATCATTAAATGTTTAAAAAAGACTAGAAGATTATTCACTTAAATATTAATTAGCCATATATTAGAGGATACAATATTGAAGTAAACTCAATTTTTTGAGTTTTCTCATATTTTATAAGTCAAATTTGATTTTGTTTTCGAATTTCTTTTTTTGTTTGATCATCCAATTTGTTTTAGTTAAAGATAATAAATCCATTCTATTTGTAGGACTAACCACTAGAATATTTGATAAAAACTCTTTGGCTTCAGAGGAAATTTTATCAAATTGTAAAGATGACATGTCCAAAATGCCTCTTCTTATATCAGCATATATTTTTTAAACAGTTGTTCCTTTAAATGGTAAGAAACCTGTTAATAAAAAATGAGCAATTACACCTATAGACCAAACATCTCTTGGTTTACCTTTAATATCTTATTCTTTAAATCCTTCAGGTGATATATATGGAGCATTTAACATAGTAATAGGTTCTTTTACGAAAATACTTTTAACATCAATTAATTTAATGGTATTTTAATCTTTTTAATCATTTATTGCAAAACTACTCAATTATAAGTTACCATGTGTCAATTTATGTTAATGCAAATATAGTATAACATCAATAATTTATTTAATTATTGTACCAGCTGTTTCCTCTAACATTCCAATTCCATCATTTTTCATATATAGGATTCCTCCTGTATAATTTTCAAATATTATTTTATAAGTATCTATATCTTCATAGATATCAAATATTTTGATTAGATTAGGATGGTTCTAGAAATTATTTTATTGAAATACTAAATTATGAGTTAATAATTTATTGATGTATTCTGTATGCTCAGGAACTGATTTTGGTAATGTTTCTACTATTCTAATTTTGCCATTCAAATTATTCTACACAAAGGATTAATTTGCATTAACTAAATTTAGAATTTAAAATTACGGTTTTTGCTAGGGACTTTTTCATATATAACAGAATAGTGTTAGGATATTGCAACTTTATGTAATTTAAGCAATTATTAAGGACAATTAGAAGTTTATGTTAATTTTTTTTGAGAATAATTTGGTTTTGGTAAGTTAGCTTTAGGTGAAACTGGAGCTGATGCAGATGGTATTTTTCTTCTAGATTTTGTACCTTCAATTTTAGGATTATTTGTTTGATTGGTTTTTGGAACTGCATGACATGATCCCATCAAATAAAATTATATAACTATTATTTTAAATAAGAAAATTTATTCTTTCAATTTCTTTTGATTATTGTATCGTAATCTTTTTTTATAAATTTTTAATCTATATTTAATATATATAGAATATTGGATTAATACTTTATTCATAAATATCTAAGTAGTGAAATCATATTAAATTTTATTGATATTCTAAACCTAAGTCATTTGAAAAATGTTTGTTTATATTTCAATTATTTTAATTGATCTTATAAAATTAAATTAGATTTCATTTAATTAAATAAATATTGAATTATTTATTGGATGATTAATATATTCTAGTGTATTATATATGATAATATTTTATTGATTTGTTTAATTTTTTAAATTTCTTAATTTAATATTATCTTAAATTTGAGAATTAGTTTTGCTAAACTATATAAAAATTGGTACAAGAATATTAATTTAATTATCATCTAAATCATTGATCAGCATTTTTTAAAATATTATTATTATTATTATTATAACTTATTTTTAATAATTCTTTTCATAATAAATAAAGCGCTAGTATGAATTTTATAAATATATATCTTTCTTGTATTATCATATTAAGTTTCAATAAATTAATTAATACAATAATGGGGTCTTGTACTTAGAAACTGAAAAAAGTTAACAAAGAAATCAACTAAAAAAGGCAAAAGTTAAATGAATTATCTATTCAACCATCAAAAAATTAATCAATCCAAACCCAAGAATATTTTTAAGAAAAAGGATAGAACAAAGTTCTTAAGTAAAAGGATCAATCACTTAATGTCCATAATTTCATCCTTATCTAAACATGCAAATTTTCAAAAGTGTACTCCTCTGTTATCAATACCAGTAATTATAGTTTGATTTAAGTCTAAGGCAAAGGACCAAAAGAAAATATTTAAATAATGTAGAATAATCTAACTGGAAGGATTAGAATAATGGAGACACTTAAACGGAATGATAAAAATACTAAAAATTACATTGATAATCTTATCGCAAACCCTTTAGTAATATTTTATTTTAAGAATTTTAGTCTCATCCCAATATCTCTTAATCACATGAAATATATTAGGATGAAGAATCTGTACATATAATTCATGATTATTGTAGTGGAGGAAGCTTAAATAGTTTAAATTTCAGATAAGGTTAAGGTGTAAATGAATAGATAGCTCTAAAAGTATTATTTCAAATGATAGAATCTGTAAATTATCTACACATTAAAGGATTTAATCATGGTCATTTGACATATAATAGTTTCTCAAGAATGGATGAATCAGAGAATTATTTTATTAAACTCACAGACACAAAACCAATATATGTTAAACCATAAATAACATTTGAATAAATGCAATATTTTGCTCCAGAAATAATTAATAATATAAAAGATTATTCATTTGCAAGAGATGTATGGTCCATAGGTATAATATTTTATAAACTTTTAACTGGGAATATGCCTTTTGTGTCAACAGAACCTAGCAAATTAATATTAGAAATAAGAAAAGGTATCATTTAATTTAATGATTTATAATTTGATAAGATATCCATTAAATCTAAAGGATTTTTAAATACATTACTCTAATATAATCCATCAAAAAGATCAGAACTTAAAAATATCATTATGTCACCTATGTATAGGAAATTAGTTACTGAAACAAAGGAAGTTTGTAAATCATCTTCTAATTCTTTGATGAATTTTAAATAAGCAAACATAATATAATCATTGTTTTTATAATTTTTAGTTAGTCAATTTTGTTAAAACTAATAGAATGAAATCTATTAAATGTTCAATAAATATGATAAAAATGGAGATTCTAAATTGAGTAAAATTGAGATATATGAACTTTTGTATTAATAATTAAGATCAAAGGAGGAAGCACAATAACATGTTGATTTAATATTTAAAGCTATTGATACAGATCATAATGGCTCAGTAGATTGCCATGAGTTTATTAGATGTATTGTTGATAGATAAGCATTGATTACTACTCCAAATTTAAAGGCTATATTCAAATTATTGTCAAATGGTAAAGGATCAATTCACAAAAAACGATTTATGCAATGTTTTTCAGTTAATTAAAAATAAGCTGATGAAATGTTTGCTTTAATTACTAAATCAAAGAGAATAACTTTTAAAGTATTTTCAAGAACAATGATGGAACTTGTTTGATAGTTAGTTATAATATATATATTTTATATACTTTCATTTATTATTTTAATTATATGGAAGAACCTTTAATTTAGAATGAGGAAACAGAATCCAAAATTCCAAATGAAAAAGTTATGACAAGACTTATAAAAGGTGAGTTTAGGTTTGAGAGAAGATAATACATATTTTTAAATGTAAATACTGTCAATTTAGTAATTTAAAGCATAAAGTAATTAGGTTTTAACAATTTATAATTTGATTGGTCCTATTAATATTGAAGCCTAGAAATCATTAATATTTTATGAAGATACTAGAGTACCTTTAAATGATCAAGACTTCACTTTAATGAATTTATTGAATGCTTTAATAGTTGTTCATTTATTGAGAATTTTCACTTGTTTATTGGGTTTCTTTAGTGTATCATAGGTAATGAATTTTCTTGCATAGAACAGAAATCTGGAAAAATAATGACTTATTTTATGATCATGTCAACGGTTTGTGTTCTATGTAGAGGAATAATATCCTTATTAATAGTGTTAAATTATACTGCAATAAAAGATACTTGTAATTTGATATTTGGTGGTGGAACTGATGATATAGGATAATTGATGGCTATGTAATTTTTAGTAGTATTGATACTTTTTGTAATAGCAGAAATTTTGCTTGCTTTGATTTCATTAATATAATGTTCAAAAACTAAAGAGGAATATAGAAGTATATAAAATATATGATTATTATTTTAGTTTGGATTAAACATAAAGAGAAAATGATGAAGAATTATGAATTGTGTTATGAAGTTGCAATTTGTTAATTAGATGAATGATTATTAAATATGTGTAAGATATTATTGTTTTAATATATTTTAAATTTATATTTATATTGAGATAAATAAATTTCATAAAATTAATATTTAATTTGTATTCGTTTCCTTTTTTTAATATCCTAAAATAATGGGAATTTGTAAGTCATAATTGAAATAAAAACCAATATATTGCGAAGAAAACACATTAGGTGGATCAAATGGTATAGTTTCTATTCATATTAATAGTTCCTGCAATAGCTACAAGTAGAAATTCAATGTGTAAAATTGTAATAGGTAGGACCTAATCTGTACATAATAACCTTAATCTAGAGATCAAAAAGGATAAAAACTTATATGGACTTAATTCTCCAACAGTTTCCAAAACACCATAAATCATACCAAAAATTAAATAACATATTTTTGATTTACAAACTGGGTTTTTTAAGAAATATTCTTCTTTAAAAGAAAGATGTACAATATTTATTTAATAATAGAATCTGAATAAGTTTTAATATGTCAAAATAACATTACTGGATAATTAGTTAGAGTAACACTTTTAGAAATAGATGATATCTATGATTGTAACTTTTTTTAAAAACTCAAATAATACAATTAAGTATTGTTTTAATAATATAATAGAAATGCTAAAATATTTGTTAAATTATAGAATCGTATAAAGAAAAGAATTTAATTTATTTGGTTTAAGAATATTGTAAAGGAGGTTCTCTCTCTAATCTAATAAGAAAAAAACCCTTAGATTATAAATAAGCAACTCTCATAATATAGCAAATAATTATTGCTATAAATTTCATTCATAATTAAAATTTATCTCATTGTCATCTCACATTAGACTCTTTTTCAATTTCAGATCCAAAAAATCTATTAGTCAAATTGTCTGATATTAATCCCATTTTTTAATCAAATTATCTTAATAATATTGAAAATTAACATCATAAAGATTAAATTTTGAAATATTAATCACCAGAAAATTAACAGAATAGTATTAGTGATGTTTGGTCTATTGGCATGATCTTTTATTAATTAATAACAGGACATCTTATAGAAATAGATAAAAAACCAAATGGAACTATCTTTATCAATTTAGATTCAATCATTTCAGAAGATATAGAAAAGGAAACTAAAACAATTATTCTAAAGATGTTAGATATTAATCCTTAAACTAGAATTACATTATAATAAATATAATAGCAATATTTTTTAACTTAATCAGTCAATTCAAGTTCTCTTTAATAATGCATTGAAAATTTAGCTAATGTTAAATAAATGTCATATTTCTAAAGTATAATTCTCTATTATATGATGGTTTTATTCCATACAGAAGAAGTATAAATCTTGACTTAATTATTTGATGAAGCAGATAAAGATGCAGATAATCTATTGAATAGAATAGAATTAACTAATCTATATAAAATTATTATACCCGAAGATTAAGATTTTATCAATACATAAATAGATAGAATTTTCCTATATATGGATGCTGATTAAAGTGGTTAAATTTCATTAAATGAATTTATAACCGCTGCAGCCAACAAAAAAGATCTTCTAAATGATGATTATCTTGAAAGTTGCTTTAAATAATTACAAAATTAAAAAGGAGGCATCAGTGCAAAAAGTCTTAAAAGAAAATTAGAAATTGATGAATTCCTTGTAAATTAGGAAATCAAATAACTTACTTATGATTATGTAATAAATTATTAAACAATTAGATTTATTATCCATAATTTAAAGAGATCATGCAAGCCCTTTTTTGAATTTATAAGCTATATATTCTTATTTTAATAATTTATTCTTTTAGTTATTGTTAATTTAACACATGGGATTGTGCTCATCCAATAAAAATCAAAAACCTATTCAATAATCTCAATTGATAGTATCTCAACCTGATCAAAGTATAATTGTTTTGAAGTATTTCTAGACAATTTTAAATAATCAGAGACTCAACTGACAAAACAAACTAAAACTGCTATTCCTTCGATAATGGCATTCCAGATTCCTAATTTAATAAAGGAAGATATAGATCCACCAACTCCTTAAAGTTTCAGACATAGTTTTAGCATTATACCAGAAATTAAGAAGTCGCTTGAATTTAAAACTGGCTTTTTCAAAACTTATTCTGTAATAACAAAAAATTGTAAGAATAAATAATAAACCAATAGAGGATGATAATACTCTTATTTGTCAACATAATAAAACTGCTGAATTAGTATTAGTCTATTGTATGGATCCAAACAACATTTAAGATCAATAATTGATAAAATCAATAAAATAAAATTAAAATGTAATTGAAAAAATTATATATTAGGATAATAATAACATATGTTAATTTATTGAAATATTTAATGAAAATAAAACATTATACTTAGTATAAGAATATTGTAAAGGAAGCAAATTATCAAAATTATTAAACTTAGAAAGATCTAAAATAATATTCATTATGTCATAATTAATATAAGTTTTAAATTAATTGAATACACATCACCTATATCATGGAAAATTAACTATTGATTCATTTTCCTTAGTTGATGATTAAAGTTATTATGTTAAACTAACAGATATTAGACCAATATTTCAATAGAATAGAAATTTAGAAACAACTAAAGAAATCGATGAATAAAATACATATAAAAGGTATTAACCTCCATTTGAACATCATCCATCTATAAAATCTGATGTATTTGCAATGGGAATAATATTTCATTAATTATTAACTGAGAAATTACCAGAAAAAATAAAAATAATTAATAATCAACCCATTTGGAATCCATTATTAAAATTGTAAAATGAGAATGATGACAAAATGAAAAAATTATTAAAATCTATGTTGTAATTGGACCATATAAAAAGAGTTTCAGTTTAATAATTAACTTAAAATAAAATACTCTCTATACTTAATAATAAAGATCTGATATAGGAAATATTAAATAAGATTTCAATTTGTCCTTCTCATAATTATTTTTAAACAGCCATTTTAACTTTTATGATCTAAAAATTTTAATCTTAAGAATATAAAATTATCAAACAATTATATCAAAGTTTAATAGAAAATAATGATAATTATTTATAAGAGAATTAATTGGAATAAATTTGCAGAAATTCTAATTTAAATAAGGTGGAATTCAAAATTGATCATCAAGAGACTGATAATAATAATCCTTTATAAAATAATAGTAAAAGAATTTCTGAAAAGGATTTTTTGATTGCATTAAGTAATAGAGATAAATTATTAACAGAGGAGAATCTAGAAACAACTTATAACTAATTAAAAAATTCAAATGGTGTATTGAGTGTAAAGTCAATAAATAGAAAAATTTATATTGATTAAAATTAATTACTAGATGATATGGAGAAAATATCATTTAATGGATAGGTATTATAATACATTTATGATTTAGATAACAATAAATGAATTCAAGGACATTATGTAACTTATGAAATGAATTACACTTTTTAATTATATATATATATATATATTTTATTATCACTATCTATAAATTGATGCTCTTACATAAAGAGAGGAGAATAAATTTATATTATTTTTAAGTGATAGTAATCAATAGATCATCTTTAATTTTATTTAAAAGTGATCTTTTTGAGATCGATTGAAAATTAGAATTCTAGAAACAGACTTGATTAATATGAGTATACTAATCCTTTTAAGCAAGTAATTGAGAAAAATTGAGTTGTATCTTATTTAGTAAAGTGAAACTTAGTACTTGAATTAAATTAAATAAATTACGACTTAAAATAACGCATAACTTGGTTTATTAGATAATAAAATAAAAAAATTCAATAATAATTATTCGTTATGGGTTCTTGTAGCACGAAAAAGAAGGAGAAAAAATAATAAGAGATTATTGTAACCACCTAAGCACCTGATGATAAACCTAGAATTGATAGAAAATAATAAAAGGCTTAAACTATAACACCTATTCTTGCTAAGACTAATTTATCTGATACTATAAATGAGTCAGTTATTTCAAATCGTTCAATAAATAAAGGACATGATAAATAGAAAAATCAAATTTAAATAAGATCTGGACTTTTCAGAGTTTATTCATTATTTGGAAACAAGTTAGATTCATTTTAAGAAAATATAGAAGATAAACAAATAAAAATAGTATAGCATAATGTAAGTGGAATTAAAAAGAGAGTGGAAACTATTGATAAATTAGATACTTGTGCTTAGAATTGTATCCAGAAAATCTAGAAAAACAGATTGGTATTTAAAAATTTAACCCTAGTAAAATGAATATATCTGTCCAATTACTAATATTTATGAAGATTCAGATAAGTATTACCTGTTATCTGACTATTGTAGTGGTGGAAGTCTAATTACTTTGAAGGGGAAATTAAAAGATAGTTAAGTGATGATCCTATTAAATTAAATGGTTTCTGCAATTGCTTATTTGCATTAAAAAAAAATGGTTCATGGAAAATTGACTTTGGATAGTTTTCATTTATTAAGTGATTTAAATAGTTTATTTTGTAAATTGGTTGATGTAGCCTGTTTATATTATGGTAATGAACAGGTAATGATTGAGCCTTCATAAGAAGATTACTCTTAAGATGTTTATGCTTTAGGAATGATTGGTTATCAATTATTAACAGGATAAAAACCTTTATATATCAAATTATAAGAAAATAATGAAAATGAAAATGAAATCCTATTTTTTAATGAAGGAACTTCACCTTCATTAAAACGAATTTTAAAAAAGATGTTAGAAAAAAAAATAAATGAAAGAATTACAATGGAAGAAGCAAAAAAATAATTATCTAAAAATGAATAACGTAATAATTATTCTGAAGTTTTAATAAAACCATTGTATTATTTATCATAATGTAAGCCAAGGAATTATTTTCAAGTTGTAATTTTGGCTTTTATGCTGAACAAATTCAATCAAGAAGAAGAATGTATGTTATAGAAAATATTCAATGATGCAGACCTTGATTAAGATGGATTATTGAAAAAAGAGGATATTCTTAGATTATATAAATCTATAGTTGAATATGAAAGTATTAATGTTGATATTCAACAACTTATATAGAAATTGGCTATAACAAATTAAGAATCCATAGATATAAATGAATTTATTTCAGCATCATTAAATCTCGAAGACTTATTGTCACAAACCTATTTAGAAACTTGCTTTAAATATTTATAGAATTAAAGAGGATATATAACTTGTAATAGTGTCAAGAGGTATATTGAGATAAATGAAAAATTATTCATTTAATCTTTAGAAGAAATTAAAGGTCAACACAAGGTATCTAATATAATATTAATATTTAATAGTTGAATTATCCAGAATTTACCGAAATAATGAGATAATTGAAGTGATTCGAATTATTGATTATAATAGAGTTTATATTAGATTATTATTACTTAATATATAAGTATGGCAAAGGTTCTTTGTTAATATTTTCATAAATAAAGTATAATTATAATAAAAATATTTAATTATTATGAGGGTAATTTCACAAGAATAATTCTTAAAATAAGATGAGTTTGAAAGCATAATTATTTCCTTTATATTCATAAAGATTAGTGGATTCAACTTATTTTTATTGAAAGAGAAAATATCTTAGGATGAGAATATTAAATAAATATTAATAATCAAAGGTCTGATTGTTTGCGTCGTTAAGGAGAGAGTCTTCTTTAAACAATAGGATTGAGTTATATTTTAAAAATTTCCTTTTTTCTTTCTTATTAAATAATTGGTCTTATTTAAATCATTTTTATTACCTAGATGCAATTCCATGAGATTTATTTTCTTGATATGTGGTATCAGCAGATTCTAAATGTTACCTTTTGGTCTGATTTTATTATACACATCCCATTTGAATTGGCTTATTTAATTAAATATAAATGAATGATAATATCTTTTTATCATAATTATTATCAATTTAATAATAAGTTATTTATTAAATGTTTTGGATTGAAAGTATATTGGGAACATTTATTTGAAATAATATAATTTCAGTAATATTTATACTGATATTCTGCATAATTACAACCTTAAGATTATGGTAATAAAGTAAAAATGTAGATATAGATTTAAGAAATTAAGTAGTTATAAATATATAATATTAATATATTTAAATATTAATCTAACAATTAAAAAATTAGAATTAAAAAGATATAACAATCATAAATAAAAGAAATACCTTTAGAGATTAAATCAAATAATCAAAATTTATACTACATATATTAATAATAAGTACATGATTATATTTAAAAAATTAAAAAAAAGATTAGAAATTTAATTAATAATTGAGATGTAATATGTTAATAAGAATTAAAAAGAATGATGGTAATGCATTTGAAAATTTAATTCATTTTTTAATAGCTTGTATGTTCTAGAGGAATTCTTTACATCTATTGATCAATACACTATTATTTGCTCCTAATGAGGATTAAGTTCTTTGATGGTTAACTAGATGTTATTTACTTCTTTAATCTGATATACCTTTTTACATTAAATAAGTTTAATAGTTCATGCTCATAGCTAAAAAGAATATATATAGAATGAATACTTTTTTAATGCATTTATTATTATGGTTATGGAATGTTTGATTATGTAGAAATATTATGATCACCTAAGAAACTATTGTCTTTGGATATTTTCTTACCATAATTGAAACTAGAATTAGCTTTATCTGAGGGAACATAAAATGATGTGCTAGTACCACTAGTAGGCATTTTGGCACTAATTCTCTTTTATGCAGCAGATACATTATTATTTAACTATTAGGGAATTTAAGATTTTAATTAATTTGAAGAGGCCTAATTTAATGTAGTATAAACACTAACTGAAGGTGGTCTTTATTGTTAAGTTGTACTTTATGGTTTTTGATTAGGTTAAGTCCAAGGAGAAACTATTTATTTTTTAGAAATGGAATTATCTCGTTCCATTTTATTAATTGATATATCAACTATATTTTTCTATTTTTAATTTTCTTTATTCATTTCTTTATATAATTATCCACTAATAAATTCTTTGCTCATATTAACATTCTATTATGACTACTATTATTATCCTAAGTAATCCTTACTACAATTTGATAAGTACTCTTTCAGATAATTTTATGAAACATGCTAAATGTTAGGATCTTATTATTTTATAATGTTTTGTTCAATAGGAAGTGTAGAATTAGAAGGAGCATTAGGTTTTTTTGATGCTTATTAAAAACTTTAAGTTCTTTTCCTTTCTTATTAATTTTGTTCTATATTTTTAAAGGAATTCTCGAATTTATTTTCATATTTAGTTTCATATTTCTTACTAATTTCTATATACAATGCTTCTCTATATTCTTTAATACTAAATTTCTTATTATCATCCATTGAGATTATAATTGGATTTGTAGTACTTTCTTGATTATTGTGATGGAATGCACCAACATAAGGATGTTTCAAAGCTTCTTCAACAGAAATCCTTTGCGAAGGATTGAATGAAAGTAATTTACGAATCAAATCCAAAGCTTAAGGATTGGCTTTAGGAAAGTAATTAGTAAATCCTATTCTTTATCCTTTAGGTATATTGTTTACAATCTAAGAAGCCAGAGGTGCCTAAACACTTTCTAATTCAGAAGTTGTAGGTCTACCTATAACTTCAAGTACTCTCTCAATTTGATTGAGAGTTGAACTGCCAGGAAATATAGGTTTTCCATTGATCATTTCTCCCAAGATGCAGCCAACTGACCACATATCAACAGCTTTAGTGTATTATGTGGATCCAAGTAAAATTTCAGGAGCTCTATACCATCGAGTTGCTACATATTCAGTCAGAATGGCACTTTCATCAACTTAATTTAAAAGACTTCTAGCTAATCCAAAATCAGCCACTTTAACATTGCATTCTGCATCTAGTAATACATTTGATGGTTTGAGATCTCTATGTATGATTTCAGCAGAGTGAATGTATTTTAATGCTTTGAGTATTTAATAGATTATATATCTGAAATTAAAGTTTAAATACTTACCTCTAATGAATTTCTTCAAGGATTCCACCACGTATTACAGCATGGAGGTCTGTTTCCATGAAATCGAAAACAATATACAGATCTTTATTATTATCAGCTTTATGTATATTGGTCATTCGAATAACATTGTCATGAAGCATCTCTTACAAAAACATAACTTCTCTAAATGTGCGTTACGCATCAGTGGCATTATGAAATGCATCAAATACTTTTTTGAGCGCTACAATTTATTTTGTTTTTCGATCTATGGCTTTCCAAACAACTCCATAAGCTCCTTTCCCCATTTTCTATAATACTTCGTACTTCTGAATGATGTGAGACTCGATTTCTTCGGTCATTTTAAAAAATTAACTGTTAAAAATAATTATGAAGAAACATAAATCCTACATCAATTACGAAGTCATAATAGATAAACCTACTTCAATGATCAAAATGTAATATTAATAAATCTTATATGAGAATGTCATATAACTTAAATCATAATCTTTTCCAATCTCCCTCTAATAATTCAGTAGGTACTTTTACCTCTAATTTAGAATAATAATTGAGATATTATCTATTTCTTGCATTTCTAATTGATTGACAGTGATATACAATTAAATTACAAAAAGATTATGTTAAATTAAATAGTGAATATGAAAATCTTAAAATTATGTATCTGAATTACAACCTAAATTTTTAAATGAATATCTAAACATCTATAGCAATATTTATACTAATAAAGCAACATAATAATAATATCTCTCTTTTTTAATAAGAGTTAATTATAAAGTAAATAAAATCAAAGTTAAATTGATTATTTGAGATACTTATGATAAAACAACTTACTCTAATTATATTGTGTATTTATATGAATTAAATTTAAATTAGCTTCTTTAAAGAGAAATATGAAAATTAAATACTATTGTAAAGTATTAAGAATATACAATAATGATATAATTAATCTGTCTTAAATTCTTATGATAGGAATGAGTATAGAAATAAATATTTTAATAACTATTTGTTGAGTGACAAAGAACTAAAATTAGAGAGAGAATGTATCTAAATTAATTTATGATTGAACTTATGGCAATTATATAAACTAACTATTAGAGTCAATAAAAAGTTGAAAAATAATTTATGAATTAATAATCAAAGAATAAATCTCTCCCTCCCAAAAAAATAATTCCTAAACACAATGAACCCAAAGATATTGAGCATTGTAGATAAGCTATCAAACAAATCATTGGTAATAGTGATGCATCTCATAATTAAAATTATCATAAATCTGCTGATAAACATCTTTAACAGTCATAACCAAAGAAACACATACATTCTTCAGTACAATAATATAATGAAAATGTTGGCAAGATGTTTACATCTACTAAGTATGGAGTCGCTTATATGTAAAAAAAAGTAATGCATAATATTGATTAATTATGATTTATTTGATTCATATAATAACTTTTCTATTATAATACTCAAACTTAACTCTTTCCTTTTAAGTAAGTTTACCTTTTGATTTTTACATAATGATTTGGTTTAAATTTAAATATTTTTGGATACGCATTTTTACTAATAATGCAATTAAGTATTAATCATTTTATTCTTAATTTTATTTACTCCCCCCATCCACATAATTAATTACATATGTATTCAAGTGATTTTCCTCAAAAATCCTAACAGGAAATTAATAGTATAAATAAATACTTTGTTTAAGTAAATTTTAAATATGTCAACCAATCAATCTCATATTCGATCTTGGTAGCAAATCCTTTCAGACATTTCTTCATGTATGCTCTAGTTGTCTTTAGGTTATATTTGTGTTGAATTGATGATGTCTATCAATTTGCACTTTCTTAATCTACATACATCTAAAACTAATGTAGCTGCATTTGGTATCACTTGGATGATAATTACAATATTGTTATTACCCTTTGGAATAGGTATCATAAATTACTATATTATTAAAGGTCTTAATCAAGCATTAAACACTCTAGCATCTTAAGCTATTGGAATGGGAAAAAACAAACTTTCACTTATCTATTTAAATTTCACTCTCTCATCTCAAGTCCTAATATTTATCCCCCTACTCTTAGTGATATTATGTCTCAAAACACCATTTAGCTATTTGATAGTTGAAGACAGAGAAGAAACTATAAATACTGCATGGTAATTGTTATAAATGAATAATATTTAGGGAACTCATGATACCATTATCAATGACTTCATTAGCATTATTGATATTTGAGAGTTTGAAGAGTTATATGATATCATGTGAAGTATTTAGACCATTCATGTTAATTCATTTAATCACTTTAGCTCTTCATGCCTTTTGGTGTTGGTTATTAGTCTCAAGTTATGGGACAATTGGAGTATGTATAGCTACAATTATCTCTGAATTAACAAATATATTATTGTTATTACTTTATGTTAAATAAGAAGAAGACCTGTAAATAAAATTTAAATCATTTCAATTCAAATTACTGTTATTATCTCATTTTCATATTTATAAAGAATACATTAAAAATACTATATCAATAATAGTCCATATCTATTTAAATACAGGTATATTTATTATATTGTCGTTTACTGCTATATCCCTTGGTATTGATGCTACCAATGCACAATTAGCTTTATCAAACACTTCATCCTTATATTTTAGACTGCCTCTTTGCTTATCAATAGCTTTAATGACTTATGTAGGTAATCAAATTAGTCAAGGAAACATTTTAAATGCCAAAAATTATATTAAATATGGCCTGATATTATATTTCAATATATTAGTTGTCATAATGATGATCTTCTATTTTTATCATTTCGAATGGGCTCATTTTTATACCAAAGATGAAGTTGTTTAATAAATTTTATTGAAAACTTTACCATACTTCCTATTGGGTAGTGTTATAATAGATGGATTATAAATAGCCTTAAGTGGAGCACTTAAAGGACTAGATGAAGGAAAATTGGTGTCAAATTATACTTTATTTTCTGCATATTTTGTGGGCATTCCACTAATTTTAATATTAACTTAATTTTATTAATTAGGTTTAATTGGGATTTGGTTAGGTTTTGGAGTATGTAATCTTTTATTATCAAGTTTGTTTGTTTATAAATTATATAAAATTGATTGGAATGTTTAGGCTAAACAAATAAAAGATAAAGTTGATAAGTAATCTCAATAAATGGAAACAACCATTGAATTACAAGACTTATGTTGATTATAAATAGATTATTTAATGTAAATAATAATAATAAATGTTATATTATATTTATATGTTTTAATCCTCATACTTCAATCATTTCAAAGAAAATATTCGTTGCAGGATTCACAAATATTTTTACTAAAATCGTTTACAAGAGACCAGTTGCTCCTGTTAAACTCAATTACACTGCCTTGAAAACGATTAATAGTTTGATAGGATCTGAGACACAATGAGTGTTCAAAAATCCAATAATGAAATTAAGACCCCACATATTAGATCTTGTTATATCTCCACCAGAATCACTTGCTTCTAATGCCATAGCAATAAGTATGAAATATATTAATAATGTTGTTAAGGCAATGAATATTCCCCATCCTATTTGTCTAACAACAAAAACTTTGTGTGGCATCAAGAATAAAATTACAAACATTTCAAAGTTAGATAATATTGCTGAAAATACACTGAATATAATTGATTATAAGGGTTCCAAAGGCACTTAAAAGAATATGTTAATATAGCAAGTGTTAAGGATGGTCATGTATAAAACACAGAATCTGATGGGACGAGGTAATCTCCTTTCAAATACTAAAAAGATGCATAATAATTTATGGAATAGAGCCATAAATAATAGAACATTTGTAAGGGAGAACTTAAGTTGACATCCACTTTCTAAGAATTTCTTTCGTTTATAATCCCTATGCCATTATTAAACTATTTGTTCTTTAATTTCATAAGTTGGTTCTGGCTCTTCTTTGATATCATCTTCATCATTAGAAATATCCAAAACATCTTATGCTTTATCTTTAGGTTTCTAATTAGTTTTACTTTTATTTCTCTTTCTCCTTCTATTTGTCTAATTTTTCTTTGATTTAGGTTCTATGATTTCAGATTAGCCAGCTTCTTTGATATCCTTATCAAATGAATCAACTTGATTATTTGGAGCAGGTTGATTGAAATCAGTAACTTTGATTACACTTAGAGCACAACCATCATCATCTTAAAGATTAGGTAATTCATTTGTATATATTTCAGGACAGAAAGGTGGCGTAGTATTGCCCTTTTAATCCATAAAAGGGGATTCTTTCAATTCTGGATGAAGTTCATATTGTTAACTTTCACCCATATCATATTAAGGTGGTTATTCAATTTTTTATTATTGCTATTATTATTATTAATCTTATTATTGGAATTGTTTCTCTAATTCCTAATTAAATTATTCTAGATCAGCTATGCTTTCTGATTTTAAATTTAATTATTAATCTAATAATATCTAAGATTATTATTGTGAAGATTATTACTATTATTATTATTTTTATTATTATTACTACTATTATTATTATTATTATTATTATTATTATTACTATTACTATTATTATTATTTAGATGTGTTTTATTATTTGATAGTTGCAATAGACATTGAAGATTTAGAAAATTCTGGTTCTAATTACTTAAAATATTAAGCTACTTCTGGTTCATCCTAAGCATGTTCAGGTTTTTAGTCTAGTATATTTTCTGGAACCTCATATAGACTGTCCATATTATCACTATTTTCACTATCTTCTTCATCATAAACCAATTAATTAGGTTATCTATCAGAATCATCAGAATCAGATTTATAAGTTAATTCACTTTTTAGTGGAGCATCAGCATTTTTTGCTTCCTAGACTTCATTCATTTATCTAATTTTCATCAATTCATCTGGTTCTATATCAGGCTAAACCATAACTATGTCTCCAGGAGCATCTTCTTTTAACGGGAATTATTGAATACTATTTTTTCTTCTAAAAGGATTCTCTTGAACTTGTTATTCTTCTTCATTTTCATTTTGTAATTCCTATTATTATCTTAATTATTGCTCATATTCTTATTGAAGTTTCAATTCAATCTCTTTTTGCTTTTCCATCCTCAATTTTTGTCTTTCAACTCTTTTGATTTAGTTTTCTTCAGCTTTAATTCTAATATATTCAGATTCTACAAAATGAGGAGCTAATAATTTCTTTTCAGTATCTTCCCTATCCTTTCTGAATCCATATTTGACTGAAAAAACTAAAGCAGTTGTCATGAAAGCCAAAGCATACACAATTACTGATTTATAGAAGGGGAAGTTAAGTAAAGCCAATAAAGCTTCCATAGAGAATGCTTTAGCAAATTTATCAAATGCTAAGGCATCAGCAATAGCGTCACCAACTGAAGTAGGAGATAATTCTTCGCATTAACAAGTTACAGTAACAGCTCCAGTTGCATCAATCTATTTAACAGTCTTACAGTTTCCACCTCCTGCACTCCAACCTCCATCTGGACCTTTTCCAATACAAAAGATGGCTTAAGCTTCTGGTTCTTCGTCTAATTCATATAGATCTTAATAATATTGCATATTTCTTCTGCCATAAAGTCTTCTGAGTCTTCTTAATCTGGCTGCTTATTTGGCTGCAGTTACTCCAAAAGACATAGGTATAGGTTATTTTGGAACAATGACTGATCCATTTGGTAATTTTGGTTCAATATTTTAGACAGATGCCGGTACAGATCTACTTGGGAATGAATCATCAGTTGCATAAGGATTATCAGTAAATTCAGCTTAATTGTAAGTGACAGTTTAAATGTTAGTTTCATCTGATGAAGTGGATTCATCATCATCACTTATTTTAATGTCCTTCTTTACTTTAGTGGGATCTGAACCTGCTAAATATTCAGCCATTTTAGAAGGAGTGGCAATAGAGGATTTCATAGAGAATGATCCACCTGAGAATACTTTAGGAGGTGCATTTGGATCAGCAGTTTAAGTTAAACCAAATTTAACTGATTCTTGAACTTTAAACAATTTTGCATTATTGTCCTTCATTTTTTGCCATGCTGCATCAGTTTAATTAGTTGAATTATTATCAGTTGAATTGGGTGTTGTTGTACTATTTGTTGAATCAATAGAATCTATCTAATTTTATCCTGCTGCTAAAAGTCCATTTAATAAACCAGCAGTTCTCATGATATCATTTTGTAGATTCTCTTTTATTCTAAAGGATTTGAAGTCTACATTACCATTTTCAATATCTCCTTAAAGATCACTTACTCCACTTGTACTACTAGAAACAATACTATCTGCTTTATCTAATTCTGCATCCATATTCTCAGAACTCATATTCAATTATATGTCTTCATCATTCATTAATTCTTCAATGGATTTAGTTAAAGCACTCTTTGTAGCAACACTAACATCTTGAGATTGTAATTCTTTGAGTGATGTCAAAATACTTTATTTGAGTGTTACTAATTTAGTTTATTCCTCTTTAATAATAGCAGTTTCATTAGCATCTTGATCAGCAGATGGATTATCAATACTAAGATCTTTGACACCAATAGCAAGTAGATTTAATAAATTAATTTATTCTGGTATTGATAAACTTGTTCTATTTTAATAAAGTTTAATAAATTTATCTGTTGCATCTGCAATTTCTACTAATTATCTTGATCTAAAGAAATAAGGTAAAGGATAGAATTTATCTTCTTATTATTATCTCTTTTTCAAATATTAAGCAACCGATAGCCTATGTTTAAGATCAACTTGATTTAATCCTACTACAACTGAAGATGTAAGATTAGTTAATGCTCCCAAAGAATCTGAAATTGATGCCATTAAAATTAAGAATGGTTGAGTTACAGCTGAATCACTTAAAGGATTTGGTAAAATAGTAGAAATTTCATTATCAATTGAGTAATCAAGTAAAAGAATTTGATTCAATGAAGCAGCCTTCAAAATATCATTGTCATATTGAGTGGGAGAATAGTAGAATGTAAACTTATATGTGAATGGTGCATCACTATCTTCACAATCAGTAACTTTTAATGTAAATTAAGTATCAAATGATATACCACTACTTGGAGAAACATTCATTTTACAACTTCTAGGTGGTAAATTGATGTTAATAAGCAATGTAGTTGTGGAAGGCATAAAGAATTGAGGATTGTAAACTGATGCTCTGAATCCCAATTAAGCAAGATCAGTTAAATCATAGAAACTATCCCAGAACTTTATAGTTATTGATGTGAAGAAAAATCTTAATGTAGCAACTACATTGAAATCATATACTATTGCACCACCATAATATAGACTATCTGGATTCTTAGTGGGATATAAGAATTTAATGCTGATTTCTTGATTCATGTTAACTCTTTTTGATGTTAAATATTCAGGTCTCTTGAGTTCTAAAACTGGAATGTCTAATTCCACAATTACAATGACTGCCTAAGCTACTTCAAATAACTCCCCTTTAGTTCCATTCAAATAGAAATTATAAGCATTATAAGGAACAAATCTTTTTGCTGCCACAAATTAAGTGTTAGTTCTATTTAGTGGAATCTCTTCATCATAGACATCTGCACATGGTAAATTAGTATTTAGATTAACACATCTCCATACTAATTCAATTCCTAAACTCTAATCAGTTTTAATATTTGGATCTTTGGCCCATCCATTGACATACAAAGGCACAGCATATCCATTCATTCTATTTCCTCCTTCAATTTCTACTTGTAATCCTTAATTCAATAGAGTAATATCAACAGTATAATTAGCTGAAATTGGTTTGGTAGTTAGAGTAGCTATCAAAGTAACTTGGTAATTAAATCCACCTTTACCTGAATAAGGAGGGATATCAAGTTAAACAAATTGAACATCAGGAGGTTTGACTCCAGTTAGAGTTGGAATATCTTATAGAATAAATGATTCAACATCTCCTTTACTGACCTTATTTGATATCCATTCATAATTAATTGTAGAAGGTATGATTTCTGTAATTCCAGAGATACAACTTTAATGAATGATGGTACCCACTAATTTGATTCTTGCATTTGTGAAATAAACATGTGGAGCTAGTTCTTCTATTTAAACAAATGGTGATTCATAAGTTGTGGTTGATACTGTGTAATCTGAACTGAATTCTGTATTTAAAAAGTTAGTGAATGTGTATTTAAATACATATCTTGAATATTCTGATAGAAGCATAGGTGGAATTTCAATCTTATTATTCTTAACAGAATTAGCTGCATCAAATAAGGCTTGAATTCTTCCTCTGATACTAGAATTATCTGGTTCAATAGAGACTATTGACCATGATTTCATAGTTAAACCTCTACCACCATCATTGAATACTTAACTTGGGAAGAATGTGATCTTACTGCATAAATTACTAAATTATGGGCCTGTAAACTTTACAGAAGCAGGAGCAGGAGCATCTGGGCCATTGATTTTGGCAACAAGGAAATTCGAATAAAATATTCCTAAACAATCCTTCCTTCCAATTACTGATTTCAAATTTAAGGTGATGATTGCATCAATTAGGAATTAAGCATTATTTCCAAATATCACTATAACCTATCTTTAATTATTAGGATCCACATTACATAATGGTCTACCACTACCTAATTTGGTAAAGTCATCATCATTGAACAATTTCTGACATACATCTCTGCTTGGAATAGTAGCATCATTAATTCCCTTAAATACAATTATTCCACCAAAAGCTATTGTCATAGAGTCTAAACTATCTCTCATTTTGATATAAGGCACTCCATACTCACAAGTTCCACATTCAGAATATCCATGTTATCTTCTATCAACACCTGTAGCTGGACAATTACAGATCTAGAGTAGGTCTGGACCTTCTCTATTACCAGCACAAGTTAAACAACCTTTTTTATCACAAGTTACACATTATAAATCACATTTCTAACATTTATCATTGACATCATCATCAAAATATCCTGAATCACAAGTACATTGTTCTGTTAGTATTCTATCTCCTCTACAACTTAAACAATTAGAACTTGAACCAGAACAGGTTATACATTTAAAATCACACTAAGGACAATTAGTAGATTTTCCATCTTCATACAATCCATTTTAACATAAACATAATTTATAAAGTGGATTATCTGGTAATAAAGTTGAATATCTATTTCCTTTACAAGTAATACAATAATTGGATTTCACTGCACAAGTTGAACAAGTAGAGTCACATGTTGAACACATTTCTTTTTGAGTAGTAGAATCTTCATATTTACCAGCCGGACATATACAACTTGAACCGACTCTATCTCCTTTACAAGTGATACATAAATCACTTCTTCTTTGACAAGTTGCACACTACCAAGCACAAGGCTGACAAATTGGATTCTTATTCTATTCATCATCAAAGTATCCAGAAGGACATGAACAAAAAGGAGCATCTTGATTTCTATTAGCAGCACATTTCAAACAGTTGATAAAGGCTTCATTACAAGTGGAACATTTATAATAACATAATTCACATTCTGCAGTAGGAGAATCTATTAAAAATCCAGTTGGACAATCACATTAGGGGATTGTCAGTCTATTTGCTGGACAACTTCCAATACAATTATTACTTTGAGTTTAACATCTTATACATTAAATATCACATTCTTAACATGCTAAAGAATCTGGATCTCCATATTTATGATTTCCACAATCTGAAATACATTTTCCATCTAGCAAATAAGTCTATATATCAGTATCAATTTATTTTAATGGACATGATAAACAACTATCTTCATTTTCATTTGAACATGTTAAGCAAGAGGAATGACACTCTTAACATTAGAAAGTTGATAGATTCAAGAATGATTTAAGTGGACATTCAATATAACAAGTATTTAGTTCTGGATAGAAATAAAGATCAGTGGGACAAGATATACATTAATTTGGTTCTTTTCCAGTACAATTATAGCAGAATTTATCACAATTTGAACAAACATTACCATCTTTGAAATATTCATCAGGACAATCAGTTTAGCAAGTATCTTTATACAAATAATATCCATCTTCACATGCAATACATTAAGTAGATTTAACACCATCACATTTAGAGCATCCCTAATAGCATTTTTCACATTTCTAATTAGAATCATTAGAAAAATATCCAGTAGAACAATCCTTAATACATTTGCCATTAGGTGAAAGATATGTAGTTGAATAACAACTGCTACAATTTGTATCTAGAACTCCAAAACAAGTCTTGCAAGTTGAATTACAAATTAAACAAGTATTACCATTAATTTCATCAACATAAGCATAAGAACCAGCTTAGCATGCAACTCTACATATACCATCTTCCTTATATCTAATTTAAGTAGCACCTGTTTTAGGATGAACAACTGTTCCACATTTGATACAATCTAAACTTGTAGAATCTGAACAAGTCTTACAGGTCCAATCACAATTTGTACATTAATATGAATCTAAATTATTGTATTTTCCATCTGGACATATCTAATAACATTGTACATTTTTCAAAACTTTATTAGAATCAAAAGTTTAATCAATGAAGTAATTGGATTCACATTTAATACATTTTGTAGATCCTACTAATTTTTCATCATAAACACAAGATTAACAATTAGAAACACATCCAACACATTTTTATTCTGTAGAAAGTTTAATATATTTCTCTGGACATGAACTAACACATGATGTATCATCAACTCTTAAAGCAATATCTGAACATGATGAACAAATAGTTGAACTATCTTAACAAGTTTTACATAATCTATTACAAAGAACACATTAATTATTTTCTACATAATATCCATCTTGACAACCTGCCTAACATTTTGAATTAGATAAAATTAAATTATTACATGATCTACAAGTTGTAGATTAATCACTTAAACAAGTAAGACAGCTAGAATCACAAATATCATATAAACAAACAGCATTTTAAATGTCAGGTTAATAGAGTTCTCCACATTGTTATTCACATGTCCAATCATATTCATTAGCATCAGAATTAAATTAGACTTTTAAAAAGTAATCAGTTTTACAACTCAAACATTAATTACTTTCTGGCCCTGTGCATGTAACACAAGAGGAATTACAAATTTAACAATTTTTCAAAGTAGTATCAAAATAAAATCCAGAAGTACAATATGTGTAACATTATTATTCCAACAAGAAGTATTTAGATGTATCACAAGCATTACAAGTAGTATCATTTGTACATGTTAAACAAATATCCTTACATCTATCACAAGAGTGTGTATTTTCATTCTAGAAGTATCCTTCAATGCAAGAAATTAAACATTAAGAATTGAACAAGAAAAGTTGACTACCACAACTTAAACATTAATTTAAACTTGGACCACTGCAAGTTTCACAAGATAAATTACATTATCCACATTGATTAACATTCAAATAATAACCATCTATACATGTATCACTGCATATTCCTCCCATAAACATTAAATTTTCACTACAAGTTATACAATCATTCTCCTCAGGACCATCACAAGTAATACATGTAGAATGACAAACTTTGCATTTATTGTCAGCAGAATCAGGGTAGTATGATATATTACAACTTTGAACACATTTACCACTTAAATCACTTTCTTAAAGTTTTTGAAGGAATAATCCAAGGGAGCAGGATGTACATTCCTAGATATCATTTCCTAAGCATTCATTACAAGTGTAATGGCAAGAAACACACGCTTAGTCTACTACCACATAACCATCATAACAATTATCCAAACACTCTCTTCCTTGTTTAACTAAAGGAGAAGAACAAGCAGTGCAATCAGTAGCATTAGGTCCATCACATTCCTTACACTTTGAATTACAAGGTATACAAGATGAGTTTACAGTATATAAATATGTACCAAAAGGACAAGTAGATGAACATGTTCCTAAATAAAGATAAAATCCAGTAAAGCAAGCTGAACATTCATTATTGAGTTTTCCTTCGCAAGTTCTGCATGATGAATGGCATTACTCACAAATCATAAGTTAATTATTTCTAAAACTTAAGGGTGGACATCTTGATACACAATTATAAGAGAATGTATCTGAAACAATATCACCATATAATTATTAAGTTGTTATACTTCCATCTTAATTATTTACTTATTATGTTGGACATTAAGTTACACAACTATTCTAAAACAAATAGTAATTCACTTAGTAATTATTAATATTAGTATTCATGCATGCTGTACAACTATAAGCTAATGAACTTGTGCAACTTCTACAATTTGTAGCACACAATTAGCAAGTTCTAGTAGTATTATCTCCATAATATTAGTAAGGACAAATAGTTAAACATGGAGAATTTACATCTGCACTTAAAGGACTCATAAATCTATTTGTTGCACATAAGGTGCATTTAGCAGTACCATCAATACATTTACTACAGAATTAATGACAAGCATCACAATTACTATTTGAAGTATTAGGGAATGTTCCATCTGGACAGATTTAATTACAAGAATAGTTAGAATAGAACAACCTTGGATTAGCAGTTGCTAAACATGATTAACATTTATCTGCTGTTGTACCAAAGCATGTCCTGCAACCAGCAAAACATGCTCTACATGATCTGCTTCCTGAATCTCCATAAAAACCAGCAGGACATGAAGTTTAGCATAATAAAGGAGTTCCAATTAAAAATGATCCTTAACTACATGATGTGCAAGATGTTGAATTTGTACATGTAGCACAAGTGGAAAGACACGCCTTACAAGTCTTTGTTGATGCATCAGCATAATAACCATCTGGACAATATTGATTGCATGAATTTTAAAATAGGAAGGTAGTATTGCAACTAAGACAGTTATCTATTTTAGCTCCAGAGCATGTTAGACAACTAGGATCACATTATTTACATGTTCTTGTTAAAGTATCTCCATATTGATTGCTTAGACAACTTGTTGTGCATAATATTCCAGTATAGAATGTCTAATCATTACATCTTTAACAAGAAACACTATCATTACAAACTGCACAATTAGATATACAAGATGTACATGTCGTACCAGTTTTATAGGATCCTGTAGGACAACTAATATAACAGCCTTTATTATAAAATAAGTATCCAAATTCACATGTATTGCAATTACCCATTCCCATCGCTGTACAAGTGGCACATCCTTATGAACAAGTATCACATCTCATATTTACATTATCTAAAAAGGTACCTGCTGGACAAGTAGCAATACAATCTCCTAAATAATTGAATCTTCCTGCTGAACAGATTATACAATCAGACTAAGTAGAACCCTTACAAGTCTTACATCCAGGATCACATTATCTACAAGCTCTGGCAGATACTGCTCCAAAATATCCATCAGGACATATGGCTAAACAATTATTAATTGAATTTATTGTATTTAAGAAGAATCCTTCTTCACAATATTAACAATCTAATGGATTAATGCATTTCAGACAACCATTGATACAACTTTCACATCTAAATGTGTCTGTTCTTCCATAAAATTTATCAGGACACAATGTAGTACATCTCTTTGTTGTAGCCAAATAGTAAATCGATATTCCACATGATAAACAGTTATTATCTAATGGCCCATCGCATGTTAAACAAGATGTATTACATGCTTAGCATATTTTATTGAGATCTCCATAATAACCTGAGGGACATTGAGCCAAACATTAGTTTAACAAAAAGAAATGAGTAGTAGCACATTTTGTACATCTTTAAGCTGAAGTTGATGTACATGAAGTACAATTAATTGCGCATTGATCACATCTATTTGTATTTGTATTTGCTACATAACCTACATTTTCTCCACAACTTGTTAAACATCTTTTGTTGAGTAAATATCTTCCAGCTGAACAGGATATACATGATGTTTCTTAATCATCAGTGCAATCCTTACAAGTTGTGTGACAACTAGCACAAATACCACCTGAAACAGTAGGAGTTGTTGAAGGTTTTTAATAAAATGTTGTCTAACATTCAGGTATGCATAAACCTTTCACTTATTATCCTGTTGTATATTACAAAAACATGTTTGGATAACATTCTGTACATGCTGTTGCAGTATCCTGACATTGTCTGCATCCTTTATCACAAATTGAGCAAGTGAAATCTGTGTTCTTATAATATCCAGGCAAACATTGAATTAAACATTATCTTTGTTATTACAAATATAAACTGCAAGTAGTAGATGTACACACATTATTCATAGAATCACTAGTAGATTAAGTTATTGAAGGTAAACAAGAAATACAACCAGTATCAGTAGTTGAGATGCAAACTTTACAATTTGAAATTGGACATCTAATACATAATTGATTATTTATATCCTAGAAAAATGAATCCCCACATGTATTAGTACATATGTTATTTCCTTATCCATCCCAATTCTATTTGTAGTAAAAACCAGTATTGCATAAAGTACATTAATTAGAAGTTGTACAAGTTGAACAATTAGCCATACATTAGATGCAATCATCTCCAGAAGTATAAGTACCAGGCTTACAGAAGCAAGTTGGAGGCTGAATTCTTGAATTTATACAAGTTAGACAATTCTTGGCTGATCCACTGCAAGTGATACAATATTTGGTATTACACTATTCACAATTCAATTATCCTCCATCAAAAAATCCATATGGACAAGTTGTACATTGTGGAGTGCCTTGTCTATTTCCTGCACATCTTGAACATTGTGATAAAGACTAAGTGCAGCTTGAGCATTTTACTGAACAAGCTTAACAAGTACTTGTAGTAACACCATTTTATGTCAAATTTAATATATAGAATCCATCCCTACAAGTTAAGCATCTGTTCAAACCACTACAAGTTAAACAAGATGCATCCATATTGCTGCACTATAGACATGTATTAGAAGTAGTTAAATAAAAAGAATTACTAACACAAGTAAAGCATTTAGTAGCAGTCTCACATGTATTACAATTATTAGTACATTTAATACAAGATGTTCCTTCTAAATAAAATCCTTATACACAAGTTGTACAACTATTCTAAGTTGAACATTAGTCACAAGGACTAACACATAATTTGCATTTCTTTGTTGTATCAACTTCAGCAGAATCGAAATAATATTTATTAACACAGGATTTGCAAACATCTTAATCACAAGTTCTACAAGGTAATGAACAACTAATGCACTGACTTAAGCTTAATTTGTAGAGATCATTTGAGCATTTGGTACAAATTGAACCAGAGTTACATTCAATACAAGGTGGTGTACATGCAATACATTCTGATCCATTGTAATAGAAACCAACCGAACATGTTTGACAAGTAGTCAAACCAGTACAAGTAACACATTTTGGATCACATGTTTTACAAGTATTATTTTCCAAATATTTACCAGAAGCACAACTCAAACATGTTGTTGAAGTACCTGCACAAGTAACACAAGAATTTTTATCACAATCTAAACAATTCCTTTCAGTTTAGTCATAATATTTGCCAGATAAACATAATTTGCATACATTTAATGATTCACAAGTCCAGCAAGGTGAAACACATCTCTTACAACTATTGGCTTCATAATAAAATAAATCTAAACATGATGTACATGAAGTTGCTGAATTAACACAAGAAAAACAAGGTGATAAGCATGGTGCACATTTATTTTCAGATGATAAAAACTATCGCGTAGAGCATGACATACAATAATCAGCTCTATTCCAACAAGTTCTACAATTGCTGTCACAAATTAAGCATTAAGTTCCAGATAAATAATAACCATCTAAACAAGATAAACATGAAGTTTATGTTGTACAAGTAACACAGGGTTATGCACATTAAGTACAAGTATTTTAAGCATTTAGATAGTAGGTAGAAATACAAGTTAAACAAAAAGATACACTTGAACAAGTTTAACAAGGTGATACACAATTTAAACAAGTATTATTGTCCAAATATTTTGATTATGTATTACAGCTTAAGCATTTTGTTGAGGAATCAACACAAGTTCCACATGGAGGTGTACAAGCTATACATGAAGTCCCACTCAAATAATATCCATTAGAACATGAAGAGCAAGTAGTAGCTAAACCAGAACATTTAGTACAAGCAAAATTACAACTTAGACATTCTTAACCATTTAGATAGGTTCCATCTACACATGAACTACAATTAACTGCAGTTGTGCAAGTTAAGCATGGAGAAACGCATTGTGTACAAGTTGATATATTCAGGTAGTATTTGCTTTCACAAGAACTACATATCAAACCATCTGTTCCGGAACATGTTAAACAAGGTGATTAGCAAGTTGAACAAGTATTAGAACTATTTAGATACTTACCACTTAAACAACTATTACAAGTACTTGAGGTATTACAAGTATTGCATCTAGGTTGACAGGTTAAACATTAACCATCACTTACAAAATGAGTGGTATCACATTTTGTACAGACCAATGAAGTTGAACATTCTAAACAATAAGATAATTAGGTGCAATCTCTACATATCTATCCATCTAAGTAATATCCAGCCACACAGGATTAACAATTTGCATTTCCTGCTGTTAGGCAAGTAAGACATGGTAATGTACATGTAGTACATGAATTATTTGAGCTTGTATAATAATATCCACTCTAGCATGATAAACAAGCAACATCTGAGCTACATAATTTACAGGGTGAAACACACTACTAACAAGTATTCAAATTTAATGGTTTATAGTAATTATCTATGCAACTCTAACAATTAGAAGCATTTGTCACACAAGAAGCACAAGGTGATTGACATAAAGAGCATGAGTTATTAGATATAAATTACCCTACACTACATTATTTACAAATTCCATCCAAATAATAATCAGTACTACAACCTGTACATGTAGAACCATTTGTACAATATGTGCATCCTGTCGGGCATTAGATACAAGTTGATCCACTTAAATAATATCCATCAGCACAAGTTTAGCATGTATTTTAAGCTGTACAAGTTTTGCATTTTGCATCACATTGAACACACACATTTCCATTCAAATAATATCCAGTGATGCATTCTTAACAATTAGTATTACCTGCACTTAAACATTTATGACAGGGAGATTAGCAAGTCAAACATTAATTTTCACTCAAATAAGTTATATTAATACAAGATAAACAGTTGGCAGCAGAAGTACAAGTTATACATGGTGTTTAGCATATGGTACATGTACTGTCTTATAAATAATACCCATTTATGCATTTGGTACATTATGAAATTAATCCACCAAAACAAGATTCACATTTAGAATCACAATTCAAGCAGTTATTTTAACTCTAATTATAATATTGTCCATTTGGGCAATTACAAGTTGAGCATTCAGCACACTAATGAAATGAATTAACAGAGAAACCATTTTGGCAAAGTGTACAATTTCCAGTAATAGCTTCACATTCAATGCAATTTGTTGAACAAGTTAGACACTAAGAATTTAATAGGTATTTTCCAGCAACACAAGAAGTGCATTAAGTATCTGTATTTTCGCAAGTTTTACAATTAATTGAGCATTAAATGCAATCTAAATTGCTGGTATAATATCCATCTGCGCAACTTCCACAATTTACTTAGTTATTTACAAAACTACAAGTATCCTTGCATTTTATTGGGCATTTAAAACAAACTGTACCATTAAGGTAGTAATTATCAATACAGCTACTACAAATTGATGATGATGAACAATTTTAACAAGGACTTGCACATTAAAGGCAGCTAGTTTAATTTTAATAATATCCATTTATGCAGCTCAAACAAGAATTTTCTCCACTGCAAGTTGAGCAAGGAGATTTACAAGAAATGCATGAATTATTTATGTAGTAATATGATGTGGTTACACAGCTATTGCAAGATGATTCTGAGGTACAAGTAGAGCAAGGAGAAACGCAACTCATGCAACTTGTTCCAGATAAGTAATATCCACTTTAACATAATGAGCATTAATTAGCAGAACCAGAACATAATTGACATTCATTGTTACATTTTGAACATATACCATTTTAGAAAAAGTATCCTGCAACACAATTTAAACAAGTTGAATCATTTGAACAATTTTAACATGGGGATATGCATTCTAGAAATATAATAGAATATTTACTTATGCAAGAATTTTAATTAAGATAATATGAATCTACACAACTCAAACAGTAATTTTAATTTTTTATACAATTTAGACAAGGAGACTAACATGATTGACAAGTTGTAGTATCTAAATATTTTGTATCAATGCAACTAGTACAAGTATTTTGATCAGTACATGATTTACAACTACTAATGCATTGCAAACATTGTCCATTATTCAAATAATGTGTTGTATCACAAGAATTACAAGTTATTTTATTTGTACAAGTTAAACAAGAACTTAGAATTGTACTACATAAAATGCATTAATTATTTTCTAAGTAATATCCTTATTAACATGATTGGCAATTAGAAGTACCTGATGAAGTACATGTAGTACAAGGTTATTCACAAGTTATGCAAGTCTTATTACTTAAATATTTTCCTGATATGCATGATAAACAGTCATTTTATGAAGAACAATTTAAACAAGGCTATTAACATTAGAAGCATTAATATGATGATAAATAATATCCATCTGTGCAACTAGTACAACGAGATTCAGTTTACTCACAAGATGAACAAGGAATTAAACATGATAAACATTTTAGGTTTAAGTAGTATTGGTTCATAGAGCATACAATACATTCACCATTAACTATTTCATATCCAATATCACAAGAAGTGCATTGAGTTGCTGAATTGCAAGCATAACAGTGATTTGAACAGAGAGAACATGTTGAATTTTCTAAATAATATCCCATTTAACATTCGGAACAATTGATGGAATTACCTGAACACTTTTTACAAGCTTAGTCACAAAGTTTACAAATTTATATATCTAAATAATATCCAATCTAACATAAAGAACAATTAGTGTTTCCTCCTGTCAAACAATTAATACAAGGTGATTAACATGGTAAGCAATTATCATTTTCTAAAAAGTATCCACTATTGCACTTTTAACACATATTCATAGCAGTACAAAGAATACATGGAGCAACACAATTCTTACAGGTTGAAGTTTCTAAATAGTAGCCAGAAGAACAAGCTTGGCAACTCGTCGAAATTCCTTAACATCTTGTACAAGATGTATCACAGGGTTTGCATATTTTATCAGCACTATCGAAGTATTATTTTTCTGGACAAGTACAATTTGAACAAACTATTATTTTATAAAAATTTATAAATTACTTGCACATTTGTTTTCTTCATTAACCACATATCCATCATCACAACTTAAACAGGCTCCAGTTGTATTAGCGCAAGTGATGCAATGTTGGTCGCACTAAGTACAAGTAAATCCATTCAAGTAGTATCCGATATTACATGAAGTACATTTTGTAGCCAAATCCACACAAGTTTTACAGTCAGTCGAGCATACCTCACAGTCATCACCAAAGTATCCAGAAGCACAAGCATGGCATGTTAAAGTATTGTTTAAGTAATCACATGTTGATTCGCATTTTGGAGGGCAACCTAAGAATAAAACAAATAAATTACGTAGGCATTTTGTTATGTCAAGATAATATTGATCTTTGCAACTCGAGCATTAAGTAACCTCTGGACCGTTGCAAATAGCACATTCTGAAGAACATGATAAGCACTTGGATCCTTCATAGAAATACCCATCAAAACAGGTTAAACATATCAAGCTATTTTAGCAATTTTTGCAAGGTGACTCACAAGCCTTACAAATTTATAAATCCAAGTAGTAACCATCTTTACACATTGAGCATTAAGTATTTCCAGGTCCCGAACATTCTGTGCAAGGAGATTCGCAAGGAGTACAACTTTTATTTGAATCATTGTGATAATATTGAGCAACACAATTTATGCAAGCTGTCTCTGATTCACAATTATCACATGGTGATATGCAGTGAGAGCAGGAATTATTAATCAAGTAGTATTTTGGTTAACAAGATAAACAATGAGTTGCTTCATTTTCACAATTTGCACAAGGACTGTCGCATGTAGCACAAACAGTGCCTTATAAGAAGAATCCAGGAGAACATTATTTGCAAATACCATCCAAATAATAATTTTATTGGCAAGATGTACATTCAGTAGCACTCGAGCATTTTGTGCATCCATTTGGACAACTTAAACAAGAGCTTCCGCCATCTGAGTAATAACCATCTGCACAAGATTGGCATTGAGTTTGAGAAGTGCATGTTTTACATTTATTGTCACATTTGATACAATTTTGGCTATCAAACCAATATCCGGTGTTACAAGTAATACATTAATTCTAATTGGTGCACTCAGCACATGGAGTAACACAGGGTAAGCATTCATTTCCTTCTAGGTATTTTCCTTGAAGACAGGATGTACAATATGCAGCACTATTCAAACATGACTTACAATTTGTTGAGCAATTATAACAATGTCCAGATGAATAGTATTGAGTGATTGTACAAGCTATGCAATGTCCATTTTCTACTTGATAATTATCATCGCATGAAGTGCATTCAGTGGCAGATATACAATCATTACAATTAGATGAACAAGCTACACAGGTCGTATTATTTAAATAATGGCCTATTTTGCATTCTGAACAATTATTGGAGGAAGTTTCACATAACAAGCAAGATGAATCGCAATTTTCACATTGTGAACCATTAAGATAATATCCATTTTTGCAAGATTAACAATTTGTGTTTCCTGCATTTTAACAATTTTAACATGGGTATTCGCAAAGCAGGCAACTAGTATCCTACAAATAATATCCAAGGATGCATGATTAACAGGTATTTATTGTAGAACAATATAAGCATGGTTCTGAACAATGAGTACATGTGGAGCCATTCAAATAATATGAAGGTTAACAAGATTGACAATTAGTGGGGACACCAACACATAATGTACAAGATGTATCACAGGGTTTGCATATTTTATCAGCACTATCGAAGTATTATTTTTCTGGACAAGTACAATTTGAACAAACTATTATTTTATAAAAATTTATAAATTACTTGCACATTTGTTTTCTTCATTAACCACATATCCATCATCACAACTTAAACAGGCTCCAGTTGTATTAGCGCAAGTGATGCAATGTTGGTCGCACTAAGTACAAGTAAATCCATTCAAGTAGTATCCGATATTACATGAAGTACATTTTGTAGCCAAATCCACACAAGTTTTACAGTCAGTCGAGCATACCTCACAGTCATCACCAAAGTATCCAGAAGCACAAGCATGGCATGTTAAAGTATTGTTTAAGTAATCACATGTTGATTCGCATTTTGGAGGGCAACCTAAGAATAAAACAAATAAATTACGTAGGCATTTTGTTATGTCAAGATAATATTGATCTTTGCAACTCGAGCATTAAGTAACCTCTGGACCGTTGCAAATAGCACATTCTGAAGAACATGATAAGCACTTGGATCCTTCATAGAAATACCCATCAAAACAGGTTAAACATATCAAGCTATTTTAGCAATTTTTGCAAGGTGACTCACAAGCCTTACAAATTTATAAATCCAAGTAGTAACCATCTTTACACATTGAGCATTAAGTATTTCCAGGTCCCGAACATTCTGTGCAAGGAGATTCGCAAGGAGTACAACTTTTATTTGAATCATTGTGATAATATTGAGCAACACAATTTATGCAAGCTGTCTCTGATTCACAATTATCACATGGTGATATGCAGTGAGAGCAGGAATTATTAATCAAGTAGTATTTTGGTTAACAAGATAAACAATGAGTTGCTTCATTTTCACAATTTGCACAAGGACTGTCGCATGTAGCACAAACAGTGCCTTATAAGAAGAATCCAGGAGAACATTATTTGCAAATACCATCCAAATAATAATTTTATTGGCAAGATGTACATTCAGTAGCACTCGAGCATTTTGTGCATCCATTTGGACAACTTAAACAAGAGCTTCCGCCATCTGAGTAATAACCATCTGCACAAGATTGGCATTGAGTTTGAGAAGTGCATGTTTTACATTTATTGTCACATTTGATACAATTTTGGCTATCAAACCAATATCCGGTGTTACAAGTAATACATTAATTCTAATTGGTGCACTCAGCACATGGAGTAACACAGGGTAAGCATTCATTTCCTTCTAGGTATTTTCCTTGAAGACAGGATGTACAATATGCAGCACTATTCAAACATGACTTACAATTTGTTGAGCAATTATAACAATGTCCAGATGAATAGTATTGAGTGATTGTACAAGCTATGCAATGTCCATTTTCTACTTGATAATTATCATCGCATGAAGTGCATTCAGTGGCAGATATACAATCATTACAATTAGATGAACAAGCTACACAGGTCGTATTATTTAAATAATGGCCTATTTTGCATTCTGAACAATTATTGGAGGAAGTTTCACATAACAAGCAAGATGAATCGCAATTTTCACATTGTGAACCATTAAGATAATATCCATTTTTGCAAGATTAACAATTTGTGTTTCCTGCATTTTAACAATTTTAACATGGGTATTCGCAAAGCAGGCAACTAGTATCCTACAAATAATATCCAAGGATGCATGATTAACAGGTATTTATTGTAGAACAATATAAGCATGGTTCTGAACAATGAGTACATGTGGAGCCATTCAAATAATATGAAGGTTAACAAGATTGACAATTAGTGGGGACACCAACACATAATGTACAAGATGTATCACAGGGTTTGCATATTTTATCAGCACTATCGAAGTATTATTTTTCTGGACAAGTACAATTTGAACAAACTATTATTTTATAAAAATTTATAAATTACTTGCACATTTGTTTTCTTCATTAACCACATATCCATCATCACAACTTAAACAGGCTCCAGTTGTATTAGCGCAAGTGATGCAATGTTGGTCGCACTAAGTACAAGTAAATCCATTCAAGTAGTATCCGATATTACATGAAGTACATTTTGTAGCCAAATCCACACAAGTTTTACAGTCAGTCGAGCATACCTCACAGTCATCACCAAAGTATCCAGAAGCACAAGCATGGCATGTTAAAGTATTGTTTAAGTAATCACATGTTGATTCGCATTTTGGAGGGCAACCTAAGAATAAAACAAATAAATTACGTAGGCATTTTGTTATGTCAAGATAATATTGATCTTTGCAACTCGAGCATTAAGTAACCTCTGGACCGTTGCAAATAGCACATTCTGAAGAACATGATAAGCACTTGGATCCTTCATAGAAATACCCATCAAAACAGGTTAAACATATCAAGCTATTTTAGCAATTTTTGCAAGGTGACTCACAAGCCTTACAAATTTATAAATCCAAGTAGTAACCATCTTTACACATTGAGCATTAAGTATTTCCAGGTCCCGAACATTCTGTGCAAGGAGATTCGCAAGGAGTACAACTTTTATTTGAATCATTGTGATAATATTGAGCAACACAATTTATGCAAGCTGTCTCTGATTCACAATTATCACATGGTGATATGCAGTGAGAGCAGGAATTATTAATCAAGTAGTATTTTGGTTAACAAGATAAACAATGAGTTGCTTCATTTTCACAATTTGCACAAGGACTGTCGCATGTAGCACAAACAGTGCCTTATAAGAAGAATCCAGGAGAACATTATTTGCAAATACCATCCAAATAATAATTTTATTGGCAAGATGTACATTCAGTAGCACTCGAGCATTTTGTGCATCCATTTGGACAACTTAAACAAGAGCTTCCGCCATCTGAGTAATAACCATCTGCACAAGATTGGCATTGAGTTTGAGAAGTGCATGTTTTACATTTATTGTCACATTTGATACAATTTTGGCTATCAAACCAATATCCGGTGTTACAAGTAATACATTAATTCTAATTGGTGCACTCAGCACATGGAGTAACACAGGGTAAGCATTCATTTCCTTCTAGGTATTTTCCTTGAAGACAGGATGTACAATATGCAGCACTATTCAAACATGACTTACAATTTGTTGAGCAATTATAACAATGTCCAGATGAATAGTATTGAGTGATTGTACAAGCTATGCAATGTCCATTTTCTACTTGATAATTATCATCGCATGAAGTGCATTCAGTGGCAGATATACAATCATTACAATTAGATGAACAAGCTACACAGGTCGTATTATTTAAATAATGGCCTATTTTGCATTCTGAACAATTATTGGAGGAAGTTTCACATAACAAGCAAGATGAATCGCAATTTTCACATTGTGAACCATTAAGATAATATCCATTTTTGCAAGATTAACAATTTGTGTTTCCTGCATTTTAACAATTTTAACATGGGTATTCGCAAAGCAGGCAACTAGTATCCTACAAATAATATCCAAGGATGCATGATTAACAACTACAAGTTTAATCATAATCTTAACACATTTTATCAACTAATTTATTTAATATATAGTCATTACCACAACAATTATTATTAATCAATTAATAACCAAGTGAACAGAGCTAGCATTTATTAATTCCATTATTACAATCAATACATCCTTATGAGCAAGCTAGATAATCATAACACATTTTTACATAAGCATAGATTCTCCCCTAAAATGTATCCTTCAATACACTCTATACAATAAATGTTTAAATCGTCACATTAACGACATTTGTTATTATTTACACAAGGTACTTAGCACAAACCCTCCTTAATAGTCTAAATAAAAATGAACATAAAAATTAGATTCCTTTTCATAAATATTAAAATAATTAATTGTATTTAATCAATAATGCATGAACTTATATCTTATATTTCTTTCATAATCCCAAGTTTTATAACTTTATAGTTTTATGCCAAAACTTTTTCTTTTAATTTATTTTATTAAATGTTTCAACATAAACCAAAAAAATCTAATATTCATTTCATTTGGATATTGATATATCTAGTTCCTGAACAGGAATAATAATTATAATAATTCATAAACTTGTGTAATTTAATAATTTATCAAAAGAAAAGAAATAATCTTATGCATAAAAGTCAACAAACTTTCAAATTTTGTATTTTTAATCTGAAGTATTTTATTATTTAACTTCAATATATTTACAATTCTAATGAAATTTTTTAATGTAATAAGTTTAGAGGCTCAATTTAAATTAATTTCTAGTAGAAATTCTTTGGACTCAAATTAATAAAAGTCTTGCTTCAAATTAGAAAGTGAGTATAAGAAAGCTAGATTTTTCTTTCGATTTACTTGATAGAGGAAGTGGCTTTTTTAAATCAAAATATCGAACTCCCTTAAACTTTCAGAAGAGACTCCTGACTAAAATAATGTGGTATCAGCTAATTGAGCTGGGTGAAGAATTTAGTTGGTAGGAGAGCTAGAGCATATAAGCCTCTATTGATTTACCTTGATATAAACTTCAAAACATTACTATTGTATTTGGAAGAGAAAATAAAAAAATTAAATAATTAAATAATAATACTCTGTTATCAAAAAAAGTACCAAATTTCGTAGAAAAAATTCAACAAAATCCAGAAGAAGAATAATTTAAAATATATTCAGACTATGTAGATATATCATTCAGAAAATGATATTAGAATAAATACTTATTAATTTACTTTATGGCTAATTTTACAACTAAGCTCTAAAATATCAAATAGTCTTTAAAAACACTCCATAATTAATCCCAAAATATTAATGGTTTGAAAACTTAAAATTTTTTATCAGAATTTAATCTTTGGGAAGTGGAAATAGTAAAAAGCTTAATTGATGATCAAAAAAATATATATGAAAATTTTAAAAAATGAAGAAATTATTAAAAACCAAATGAAACTAATTTATTAGGAGATATCATTGTGAGAGATTAGCGCTTATATTAAAAATTAGGTAAGTCAGTTTATACAACCACGTCATAACTTGTAGGTACTATCTTTTAATAATGAAAGATAGAGATAATGGAACCTAAATCGATTAGAAAAAGTTTATCTTATCAAAACAATTTTATACTTATAAGTTAAAAATAAAATCGTTTTATAGTTATTTATCATGAAAAATAAAGAATTTAGCTCTATATTAGAAATATGGAGAGTTATTTATGTAACAACTTTTAAACAGGACCATAAAAATTCTATATGTCTATATCTTATAATAACACATAAGAAAATATCATTTAGGGTAAAAAACAAAAGAATTTATTGAAAAAAGTATAATCGCAAAAAAGAGGGAAATGAAAACGTTAGATTTTTAACTACCTAAATAAAACCCTCCACAAATAACATCAAATAATTACAAGAATACTAAAATAATTTAGTAGAATTTAAGTTCAATTAAAACCTAAGCTCATCAATAATTTTTATAAGAAATCTCAATTGGTATATTTCTATCAGTATTAAGATATAAAACTTAAAATAATACAGTAAAACACAATTATTACTACCAATAAACTCAACCTAATCACTCTTGAGGTATCATGACTGGTTTCTATAGAAATTTCTGTTCGGAAATAATACCATAATGCCAATTTTCATATTAAGCGATTATGAATTATTAATAGTTAATGCAACCGATATTATAATTATTGAATATTAAACTTTTCCTTTAATAATACTTCAACTTTCAAAAAACATTAGAGATCATTTCTCAAACAACTACAAGAATTCTAAATGGTATTTAAGATAACTAATATCTGATAATATGAGTAGAAGCAAAGATTTTATGAGACCTAAAGTGTGGATTAAGAAAAAATAGACTTATTATATTGATAGAGCAAAATAAAAGAAAGAATAAACATCATTGGTGGTGTGAGCAAGCATTTTTTAATGTATTAATGCTTTAGAGTCATAAATTATTTAATTAAACTTATCCAAGTTTGTAATTAAAAATTTGGTTTTAGAAACTATGTGTTTGTATTTGATAATGCATTTGTAGACAGAGAAACAAAACTAACTCATAATGTTTTGAGGTATGCTTAACATCTTTATTTACTCCCGTAAAAGCCATAATTAAATCCTATAGAAATGGTATGGAGCGAATTCAAAAGAAAATTCTCATAAATGGATTGCAGAACCACAATGAAATTTAATCAGGAAATACATAATTTTTTTTGAGAAATTAATAATGAGCATTTAATTAACTATAATGAATTGGTTGGTTAAGTAATTGAAAATGCTTAAATAAATAGAAATTATGATAATATATTATGTTTTATAAATTTATAAACTCAATCATTGTAATGTTTTAATTAGTGAATTTACCATTATTTTAAAATTAATATGTTTCAACTATGCCTTTACCTTTATAGTTGATCAATTAGTTCATCAAAATACATCTCAAATAATAAATACGCTCATATAGATCCTTGATGTACTCCATTTAGGAAATAAACCTTATTTTATTCCAAGGGCTCATAAATGTATAATTAATCTTTCAACCATTCAAGAGCATACGGTTCTTAATCATCAAAATGCCTTTAAATTTATCCTGTTCTCTTATTATCTTAAAGATTTAATCTCTTCTTACACAATTATAAGAATTGATGAATTTAACAGTGCAAATTCAGTGAATTTAGGCTGTTGCTTCTATTTAAAAATTACTTTCAATCATCGCACTTTTTCTAAAGGGTTGAGTAGGGGTGAGTATGATGGAAAAAAAAAAATCGTACTTGAACAAAAGTTGTTGAAATTTTGGCTCTTATGGACAGGACTATTATCAAGTATGATAATAAAGTTATGATTTTAATAATGTGCTTTTCAACCTTTTGAATAATTCTAATTGATGATGTGTATAGAGACTTGAGTTGACATTCACTCTTACAACTTGATAAGCTAAACAGTCAACTTGCCCTATTTATCCTAAAATTCCTATGTTTCCCATACGTTTTCGATAATTGCAAATTGTTATTTTCTCTTCCATTACCAGCATTTATCAACTTGCGCTAACGACCTAGAGAAGTTTCATGAATAAAACATATTTGATTCCCTGAAAAATAGCGTTTAAAAATTTTTATTTATATTGTCTTTTCTGTATGATAACTTAAGCGATGCATTACAATACTAATATTTTCTGAAATTATCTCAAACTTATGGCGATATTAACTTAAAGAATGTTAGAAAAACTTTGTCGAATCCTTCAGCTTTTTATAATTCTCTTAAAACATGGTATTAATGTAATTCTTAATCCAGCGTATTTGAAACTTTTTCAGATTAAAGTAATTCTAAGTATTCTAGATCTCACAATTATTGGATTTGATATGTCTTAATTAAGCAGGGGTCAACCCTAAGGTAGCAATATAATTGTTTTTATAATCTAAATTCTTTAGCTTTTTTCTTTTAACTGCATCTTTAGACTTCTGAATCCAATTAAAATTGCATTCATTTTGAACACCAAATTTTCCTTTCTCCTTAGTAATTTCTTTTTTTTTAATTAAGAAGATAGCTTTCATCAAAGGATACTAATTTTATTTTGCACTCTGAGTAATTAAGATTTGTAAATGCCTCGAATTTTTGATACATTTTTCTGGTTTGCCTATTCTAAAAGATTTTCATAAGTTAACACCCTATATTGAGCGACTCATATCTAATACTTAAGTATTAGAAATATTACTCTTTTTTTTTACTTTAAATCGTCTCTATATAATAATCTCTAACTAATTAAATATGTTTATGAACAACTTCAATTGAAAAAAATTTGGAATTACTTCTTAATTTTCAATCAAATTTATTTATGTTTGGAAATTTACAATCAATCTTACAAAAAAAGTCAAAATCAATCTGACGCATCATTAATTATTAATTATAAAAAATCATTTTATTTAAAAGGATCAAATTATTTTTTTCAGTTTGAAATTGTTTTCAATTATTTCATAGTATGAATAAGAAACATGATAAACTCATTAGTAATAGATATTTAACATATAATCCTTCTTAATTTATAGATTTTATAGGCAATATCATTCCAAAAAGCCAAAGGTATGGAAGGAGGAATAGAAGCGATGCAATTCATCTTAGTGCTTATATTTTCTGTGGTTTCATGCGAATATTTATTGAATGTTGCACATCAGAAAGTGCTTCAGAATAGAAAGAGAAAATGAGAAAATTGGATAAATTATTTAAAAGAAAAAAGAGTAAAACTATCTGTTTAATAAGCTAGAAAAATATTGCACTTGGTAGCACATCAATTTACCTCAAAAATATTAAAAAATAAAAGCTTAATAGTATTAAACAGAAATTGCATTAAAAAAGGTGAAATCTGAGAATATTGAAAAGAAAAATAGTGCTTATTAATAAGCAATACAAAATTTCAACTAGCCCTTAATTCAATAATAGTAATAAGAGACCCTATTTTCAAAAAGAAATAAAAACAATGGCTATGATAAATTAAAGCTATTATTAATTGTTATTTATTTTTCAATAATTAATAAATCAATATAAGTTAAAAAATGCTATTAATTGAAGAGAAAATAAAAATTTGCAATTATCGAAAAGAGAATAGTTAGACTGAGAGTAATAGNCCCTATATTGAGCGACTCATATCTAATACTTAAGTATTAGAAATATTACTCTTTTTTTTTACTTTAAATCGTCTCTATATAATAATCTCTAACTAATTAAATATGTTTATGAACAACTTCAATTGAAAAAAATTTGGAATTACTTCTTAATTTTCAATCAAATTTATTTATGTTTGGAAATTTACAATCAATCTTACAAAAAAAGTCAAAATCAATCTGACGCATCATTAATTATTAATTATAAAAAATCATTTTATTTAAAAGGATCAAATTATTTTTTTCAGTTTGAAATTGTTTTCAATTATTTCATAGTATGAATAAGAAACATGATAAACTCATTAGTAATAGATATTTAACATATAATCCTTCTTAATTTATAGATTTTATAGGCAATATCATTCCAAAAAGCCAAAGGTATGGAAGGAGGAATAGAAGCGATGCAATTCATCTTAGTGCTTATATTTTCTGTGGTTTCATGCGAATATTTATTGAATGTTGCACATCAGAAAGTGCTTCAGAATAGAAAGAGAAAATGAGAAAATTGGATAAATTATTTAAAAGAAAAAAGAGTAAAACTATCTGTTTAATAAGCTAGAAAAATATTGCACTTGGTAGCACATCAATTTACCTCAAAAATATTAAAAAATAAAAGCTTAATAGTATTAAACAGAAATTGCATTAAAAAAGGTGAAATCTGAGAATATTGAAAAGAAAAATAGTGCTTATTAATAAGCAATACAAAATTTCAACTAGCCCTTAATTCAATAATAGTAATAAGAGACCCTATTTTCAAAAAGAAATAAAAACAATGGCTATGATAAATTAAAGCTATTATTAATTGTTATTTATTTTTCAATAATTAATAAATCAATATAAGTTAAAAAATGCTATTAATTGAAGAGAAAATAAAAATTTGCAATTATCGAAAAGAGAATAGTTAGACTGAGAGTAATAGTACAGTAAAAAAAAACAATAATTTATAAATAAAATAGTAATTGAAAAATTAATTTCTAATTAACATACATTTATATGTCAATTTTTTGCTTCTTAAGACTTAGCCTATTATTTGCTTTTGATAAATTTGCTGATAAACCATAAGAAGATTATAAATTGAAACTTCTACAAAAGTTATTCAATTGGTTCATATTATAAACTCCCATAAAATTGATCGACAACTAAAATTTTAATAAAATTGTGATGTACATCATCTTTTTATATTTATGGCTAATTATTATTACTTAAAGATAAATAATATAAGGAAGCGTTATTAAATGATATTAAAAATGGAAATAAGTTAATTATTTCAAGGAATTCTTCGCCTGCTGAATTTCATAATTGAGAATAATATCAATCTAGAAATTTTAATATAAAATTAGAAATAAGTAACAAAAATAATCCAGAACTTAATCTTTGTATGTAAGTTTTAAGATTCAAATAAGAATTTTATGCTACATAGTTTAAAAGTGTCTTGACGAAAAATGAGCAAATCTTCATCTAAAATGAAAGTGAAAGCGGAATTTTCGATCGAAATCCTGAATACTCAAAAAAGATGGATTTTTTTAAAGTAATAATAAGGTATATTAAATTAATTCAAAAATAGTTATGATGCTGGAAAAGAATTATATTAAAGCATCTATTAGAATATAGTGGCTTTAAAAAACTTAGTGATGTCAACAAAAATCTGTTATTAGGGTTATATTAAAATGATTTATGTGTTTATATTTCTGAACAATTACCATTTTGTGCTTTTAAAATGGCATATACATTTATTTTCCCAATTATCCTGTGCCAGAGAAAATCCACACAATAACAGAGAACATCTTTAACAAGGATTTAATGAAATTTATCAAGAGTAAATATATTTATATTTTAATTCTATTTTTGTAAATAAATTTATAATAGAGTTATATGGAGAGTTAGTTGGAAACTAATATTTATGAAATTAAAAATTTCTTAAATACACCAGAATACTATTAGGTATTATTGCCTTATTTATTTTAATTGAATAAAGTAATTGAATTATTTTATAGATCATATTCATATCTGCAGATATTTTAGAAAGGGATTATCTAAATTATTTAATATATACAATTATTTATGGGCTAATTGTATCCTTTATATTATTCTATGTGATTATTTTATGCACAAGAAGATTATAAAGACAAATCAGAGCAAATCGTTAAGTTTAATATTGTTACCACATGAAAGTTTATTGGATGTTTAGGTTTATAATGCAATCAAAAATTTTGATTAAGGAATGTGAAATATTATTAACATTTGACTTATATACAATAATTATCTGTAAGATAGAAACTATAAGCCTTTTGCATCATGATTATAATTGAAGATATAACCAAAAAATTTAATTCGCATTCAGATGGAGGCATTCAAATTATACAATATTATAACTAAAAATTATAAAAGTAAATGGTGAAGAATAATGTAATTAAAAATTAGATTAAGTATGTATAATAAATGAAATTCAACTGTTAAAGCATTGATACACATTTATTTTTATTACAAGTTCAAAATCAAAGATGTTCTACAGCTTCAAATGTAAAAAAGTAATTAGTTGATATTTTTCTTCCCATTTAGATGTTAATTAATATTTTTTTCATTATTTATGAATACATTAACATCTAATCATAAAAAAAACCATGTTTTAAGCAGCGGCATAAAGTAAAGTAGTATAGAATTTTAGATTTTCAAATTCCAACCAATATCTCTTATTTTAATTAATCTTTTTTCAATCAGACAATCAAAATGATCAATTATATTCATTTTAAACAGGTATTCCGATGGACTTGAATCTAACTAATCCTTCCATAAAATAAGCAATATTATTTCAAACGAGAAATATCGATCAATATCAAATAAATTTAAAAGTAAAAAAGAATAAAAAGAACAAGTAGATAAATTATAAAGACCTATAATAAAAAGGAAAATTTTCAATTGACCAATGAAATTTCAAATTAGAAAGGATAAAAAAAATTTTTGAGTATATTTGTAATTATACCTCATTAGGTTAAAATAATATTTATTAAAACAAATTGAAAAAGAGCTGAATAACTTTTATAAAAACAATTTAGTAATTCAAATATATAGTAATAATAAGGTAATATTTGATTGCTATATTATTACATATGATAAACCTAACATAATTAATGCAATCAAAAGCAATTTAATAATTGTCAGTGCCAATTTAAAAGAAAAGTATTTTTCTGTAAATCTATTAGTAAAAACAATAAATTTAACCTGAAAAAAGCCTAGTATTCTTTAAAGTATTAATCATTTCCAAGTTAATATTCAATACTGATGATTAGAATGACTTAAATTTTCTTGGATACACAGAATAATCTTAAAATGACTTAAAAATAGCTATATTAATCCTAATTAAATAAATAAAATAACAAATTAATATTGTTAATAATTGAATGGTAGATATTTGGATTGTGAAAATAATCTTTATTTCTATTAGTTAATAACTCAAAACAGATGTTATTAATTAAAAATAAAATGAAAAAATTATTAAGAAGTAAATAAATCAGCAAATGTTTTAAATTAGAATAACAGTTTTTTAAAAAATTAATTTTATCCAATATATCCATAATTAAAAATTAATTCAATAAAAATTCATATTAGCAGGCTATCAATCTTAAAATAAATAAATAATCAACCATTTAAAGACAAATTATCGGCTAGTTATCTTAAAAAAAAAAATATCATTATCGAATTATAAATACAGAGTATCTGATATCACAAATCCATAAGTATATATAGCAAATTTATAAAATTGAAACTTAAAATCAGAAGAACCATCCTCTCAAAGAGATTGATTATTTTTGTATTTTAATAAATATTAACAAATAAATAAATACGGATATTTTATTTTAATTCATTTTTTTTTAATCCTAGGAGTTCCATGATTTGAAATGTACATTTAACTTGGAGTAAGATGTTTTGATCTCAAGCTCTTCAAAGAACTCTTGAAATCTTCAAAATTTTTGGAGCTTCAAGCAAATTAGTTCTGCCTTATACAAAAAATTTTGTTGCATATCCAAATTAAGAGCCTTTTATTTTTAATTTTTAGTGTTTGGTGTCATTTTAGTTGAGAAAATCTTCTTAGCTAATTCAACCAGCAACTCATTTTATTAAGGTGTATTTCTAGCTGTAGTTAAGCAAGTTTTATAGATAATAATAAAATTAGAATTATGGTAAACTCTATGTTACCCATGGAGACTTATCTTGATTTTAATTATGGTGGTTTTCTAAGTGATTAAATAGGAATTTCAGCTCTAGAGGATTAATTATTTGCTGAAGATTATCTTAATGTTTGAATTAGTTTTGGTATACGTTAAGTTAAAGGAAGAGAATTAATTTTTTTGGTCTATTTTAATTATATTTCAATTTTTTTTTCAAGGTTTGTTGACATTTTTAATAATTATTTATTTAAGCTTCTTGAGATGGCTTAAATTATTTTTAAATTTATTTAGTTTGATTAAAAATTTAAAATGGTTTAGATTAATTATTTGTACCACCTATCATTTGAACTAAATCTTTAAGAACAGTGGTATTACTGACTCTAGAAATATCTGTAGATTAAATTTTGAGATCTTTTAATAAATACTTGAGTTAACTAATTGAACAATCATCAGAAGATTCTTTGACTTTTGTAATAGTTAATTGTTTTGCATTCTCATAAATTCCTAATTCCATTTTAACTTTGCAATATTAGATTTCCCTAACTTTTTCCATTCTTTTATTTATGACATTACAATGAAAGTTTCTTGGAATATTGATATGATATTTATAATATTCCAACAATGAAGGAATTCTATCATCACTTTCAAATTATCTATAAAATCTTTGTTATCATTTTGCTAAAGTAAATGTTTTTTCTGAATTTTAAAGATTTAGTCATAATTTTACTTATTTCTAATCAATTTAAATTAAAAAATTTAAATAATTTCAGTAAGATTAATCAAAGGATTCAAAAATTAGATTGTTGTTAAAATATAAATTTTATCTTTTATTAAGAATTGAATGTATTAGCCAAAATAGAATCTAATAATTATCATTTAATAATTTAAGCAATTAATTATCAAATAATAATTAAATTAGCTTCTGGTAGTTGTCATAACTCTATCCGTCTCTGGGATATCAAAACAGGAAAATAAAAAAATAAAATTAAAAATTAATATTTTATTTTTAAATAACAATATTATTATTTTCATTACTTTCACATGTATTCTTTTTCATCCCAGAATTAAGTATTATCTTTGTTTCTTTTTGTAGATTTTACTTACTTCTCATCTAAAATATGATTTATGTCTTTTTCATAAAAATTTTTTTATGACTGAGAGTATTTAGAATATAGAGCTCTTTTGAGAATTAATTGAAAAGATCCAACAGTGGCTAATTTTTGGCAAAAATTGCATTATTTAACTTACATTTATATTTTAATTATTTATATAAATATATTTTTATACAAAGATCAAACATCTTTAACAAGAATACCAAGAGTATTTTAAATAGTTCTTATTACTGATCTTAAATCATCAACAACTTTATCTTTTTAATCAAATCTATTATTGATTTCATCTTCTATATTATCATTTATAAATGAAATTCTTTAACTGTATTGTTTCTAAATTTTTCTGAATATCTATTCTCAGATTATAATGAATAATTAATATTTTGATTAACTCTTGATGTTTCTATTCTTTTTCAATGGCTTCATTTTTGATAGCTTAATTAATTGATTATGAAGTATCTTTAATAGTATTTAATATTTTTTTTTCATTTGCCACTTTTGTTTATTTCTCTAATTCAAGGTTTCTAAATAATTCTAATAGTATTTTAGATATATATATAAAATCAATAGATTCTTTAATATTTTCAATATTCTCTTTTTCTGTTCTGATTCTATCCAATTTTTCTTATTCTATAGCTTAATCTAAATTCACAATATCAGAATCTAATTTAGTAAGTTTTGCATTTGTGAAATTCTTAAATTGATTATGTTGTTCATTATGTTTATTTTCCAAATTTATAGATATAAGATTAAATTGTAACTTGAAATATTTGCACTGTTAGTTTTTTAGAATGCTTGTATTTTACCATTCAATTCAACAGCCAATTTAACAAACATCTGTTTAGTTTAGGTGATTTTACTATTATATTATAAGGTTAAACTATATCTTTATCAAGTGGTTTGAGATTGCCTGTTAATTTAAATGTATTTGTAGTAAGTACTGCTGTAGTCTCCATTTACAAATATTATAAATATTATATTTCATTTTAATATCAAATATGCAAAAATAATTAACAGAATAACAAGAGAAGTTATTACACCGTATTACAATATATCTTCTGTATCATTAACCAATGGTTCAAAATGATCAAGCTTATTTAAAATGGTTTCTTTTGTTTATATAGGAGAATCTAAATCAGTTTCTCCTAATTACATTAAATGAGATCTTGGTAATATCTACATTTAAATTAATTCCATTTTAGATGCTGAAAAAGATGAATAATTTTTAGTTAATCCTAAAGTACTTGATTTTAGTATATCTAATTTAGGTATAATTTCATCATCACTAGGTACACCTAAATGACTTTGATCATATTCATAATGTCTTTCTGAAGATTTCAATAGATTGCTGACATCCCAAAGATATTTATCATTCAATTCTTATTATGAATATTAAACAAAATGTGGATCTTTAGAAAATCTACTTATAGCTAATTTTAAAGTTTTATTGCATTCCTCTGGATCAGCATTCTAAAATGTCATAATTAAATAATAGCATTCTATTAAATCAAATAACAATAAATACAATCACGTTTATGATATTTCCCATGCCATTCTGCTCTGGGATTGACTTTTTCAATGAAAATAGAGTATTGTTCAGGTTATTTAGAATTTACCTTTAATAATTTTTCAATATTATTAATTGATTATGTAAATGCTTATTTAGATCCTCTTCTAATTTAAAAAATGATTTTTTATAATTAAAGACTGAATATAGCAAATCCTCTATAGACGCCAAATTCAACATATTCTTTATCCACAGTTTTAGTCTAAGCAAGTTCTTTTTATGATATAATTAGAGTATCATTTTTAGATGTTTATAATTAAAAATTTGATCTGAATGAACTTGGAGGATTTGATCTATTTTATAATATATTTATACTTAATAGGATTAAAACTAATAATCTTACTTCCAGCTTATTCATCTTCTGAAGGATTACCCATAATACCTTCTTTTTCAATATATTCATTTTCCAATTTGTCTATTAGTTTCCTTATTTCTGCTCTTTTAAGTTGATCTAATTGTTCAGAAGTTAACTACATAGCTTTAGATATTTACATGGTAATAATTGGGTATTGAGGATATTAATTTAATTAGTTAATTTAAGGCTTCATTTACTAATTAGATGTTGGTTTGTGGAAAAAGCATAAACATGAAATAACACTCTATAAAATATTTAGAATGAATTACTTTATGGTTAATCCAAGATTCCAAACCATTCTGAATAAGCATTCTTATAACTTAATTCTAAAGAATGTATAGAGTAACAATTTTCAGCTTAATTTCTAACATCTTGATAAGAGGATTCATAAGATTTATTGCATCGTCGTTTTTAAATATGAGTGAATTCTAAACGATCACAATTAAAAATGGCAAAGCAACGATAGACTCTACCTCTATTTTTGTTATTTTCTCTGATTATGCTCATTAAATTATTATTTATGTGAAGTATTTTAACACACATCAATATATTTATATAGTAAAATTCATGATTTAAGATTTGAATGAAAAAGAAAGATCAAATTATTATACTCTCTTTTGATTAATAATGAATAATAAAGAAAATATAAAGAAAATGTATTTATAATATATCCTTAAGCTTTAGTTTCAAATGTTATGTATTCTTTACTTGAATTAGTGTTCTTGAGTCATTGATCTTAATTGATTTTTTATACCTTGAGTATTTTACACTTTATTCATATCTAAATATTGATGAGGATTATTTAAAGCATCCATAATGAATTTATCCCACATTGAATTTGGAATCTTTCTTTGAAGCATTTCTTTATGTAATATACATAAAGGTATTTTTTGAGATGGGTGAGTATTAGGTAATTTTGTCTTTTAAGCTAAACATTTAGAATAGAATATCCTTTATTGCTAATTATATTAATTAGAGTTATTAAGATCAGTATCATTTTAATTTGCTTCACTTTCATCAAATTAAGATGTTGATATTTTAGTCAATATCTCACTTTTCATATCATTCAATTAATTCCTATCTTAACTCCCAGAGAATTTAGTTATTATTGTAGGTCTTCCATAAGGAGAATTTTAAAATTATGATGGAGGTGGTAATTAAGAGTTTCTATTTTATTCAGAACTTTATTAATAACGATAAGTAGATGATTATTATACACTATTATAATTATTGTAATTGTTGTTTAATTAATTACTACTTATTTAATTGTTGTTATTCATATTATTATTGTTATTGAGCTTCTATATATCAATACGAGGAGTTCTAATCTCTTTTTCTAATTAAGTTTACTTTTACAATCCCAAAGAATGCAATCTTTCTAAATATAATGCTATTGCTAATGAACCACGATAAGATTCTGTCATTGTTCGTAACTCTTAATTTAAATCTTACAATTTTCTTAATTCAATTTAGTTTGTATTTTAGATTGTCTATATTTACTCACACATTTCATCTGCTCTAATTAAATACTTTTTATTTTCTTATTTCTATTCTTTTGAATTTAATTGTTAAATAGAATCTCTCAACTTTTAAATCTTGAAATTTATTTCATCAAGATTCCTATTTGATTTTAATACTGCTGTCACACTCTTTGAAACACTTAAACATTTCATTGTATGTTAATCTATCTCATTTATAGGTATTAAATTCTCGCAATTCATACAAGGAACTGAATACATAGCAGGTGGAGCAGTTTTTGGTCCCCTATTTTATTAAACAAAATTCTTAGCACTCTAATTATTAGGATTAGCTGATCTTTAAGAAAAATAATCAGTTTGCATTATATTAATTTTTATATATATGCATAACAATCAACAGCAGCCACTATCCTATTTTTCTGCTTTTTTATTTCCTGCAGGTGTAGTATACCCTGTTAAAGGTTTTGGATTTTGTGTATCTTAAGTTACTGTTTACTTTTTCTATGCCTCTATATTTCCAGGACCTACCTTGATTCCATATATCTAAAAGATTTATAAAATATGACAAATAAAACTTCTTAAGAAGGATCAATCTCTCCAGAATCAATACGTTTCAAAATTGTTTAAGCCATAGATTCAAATACAGTATCTACATTTTCTCCTGTTTTTGCAGAAGTTTCAAAATATGCAAACCCATGTTTTTTAGCAAATGCTTATGCTTCCTCAGTGCGTACTTCACGTCTTTACTATAAAGATGGGATATTATACTTTGCATCTAGATCTATTTTATTTGCTACTAATGCCATTTCAATTTTATCACAAGCATAACCCTAAATCTCTTAGTACCATTTTGCTACATCTTCAAAGGACTATCTGGAAGTCACATCAAATACAAGAATACCACCGATTGATCTAATTTATTTAGAAATATAAACCCTCTATAATATGAGCGTGTAATTGATTTAAATGCTTCTTATCCAGCTGTATCCCATACTTACAATTTAATAGTCTTATCATTAATCTTGGTATTTCTTGATCCAAACTCGACACCAATTGTTGCATCATGTTCATTTCTGAATCTAGAATCAGTGAATTGAAGAAGGAGACAACTTTTGCCAACACCTTTCATATGCTATTGATTAGGATTTACATGTATCACCAATGATAATGAATTTCAGAAGATAATGATAATTGTTCATTAATTATATCAATTAAGTATATAGTTTATAAAAAATACTTAAACCTTTCTGATAAGAATTATGTTATTCAATCAAAGGTGACACTTTCTAATATATGTTTCCATATTATTAAATATTTTATGTTATATTAATTTGAATTTGCAAGAGTACCTACTATTATCCATAATCATATAGTAATATTTGAGAATTTATTAATAGACTATTTGATCTTTTGATTGTATATATAATATATAAACAAAGATTAATAAATATTAATATATTTAGAATTAAAACTAATTCAAGTAAAAAATGTTTTAGTTTAATCATGTTAAAATACAAGAATCGTTGACAAAATTAAATTTGGAAATTTTTAAATAGTGTTATTAATAAGAGAGAATCTGGATAATTGAATTAGCAATATAAATATTTGAATAGATGGAAGAATACATATTCAGAATAGATTTTAGGTAATTAATAAGAAATAACAAAGCAACACNTATATATGCATAACAATCAACAGCAGCCACTATCCTATTTTTCTGCTTTTTTATTTCCTGCAGGTGTAGTATACCCTGTTAAAGGTTTTGGATTTTGTGTATCTTAAGTTACTGTTTACTTTTTCTATGCCTCTATATTTCCAGGACCTACCTTGATTCCATATATCTAAAAGATTTATAAAATATGACAAATAAAACTTCTTAAGAAGGATCAATCTCTCCAGAATCAATACGTTTCAAAATTGTTTAAGCCATAGATTCAAATACAGTATCTACATTTTCTCCTGTTTTTGCAGAAGTTTCAAAATATGCAAACCCATGTTTTTTAGCAAATGCTTATGCTTCCTCAGTGCGTACTTCACGTCTTTACTATAAAGATGGGATATTATACTTTGCATCTAGATCTATTTTATTTGCTACTAATGCCATTTCAATTTTATCACAAGCATAACCCTAAATCTCTTAGTACCATTTTGCTACATCTTCAAAGGACTATCTGGAAGTCACATCAAATACAAGAATACCACCGATTGATCTAATTTATTTAGAAATATAAACCCTCTATAATATGAGCGTGTAATTGATTTAAATGCTTCTTATCCAGCTGTATCCCATACTTACAATTTAATAGTCTTATCATTAATCTTGGTATTTCTTGATCCAAACTCGACACCAATTGTTGCATCATGTTCATTTCTGAATCTAGAATCAGTGAATTGAAGAAGGAGACAACTTTTGCCAACACCTTTCATATGCTATTGATTAGGATTTACATGTATCACCAATGATAATGAATTTCAGAAGATAATGATAATTGTTCATTAATTATATCAATTAAGTATATAGTTTATAAAAAATACTTAAACCTTTCTGATAAGAATTATGTTATTCAATCAAAGGTGACACTTTCTAATATATGTTTCCATATTATTAAATATTTTATGTTATATTAATTTGAATTTGCAAGAGTACCTACTATTATCCATAATCATATAGTAATATTTGAGAATTTATTAATAGACTATTTGATCTTTTGATTGTATATATAATATATAAACAAAGATTAATAAATATTAATATATTTAGAATTAAAACTAATTCAAGTAAAAAATGTTTTAGTTTAATCATGTTAAAATACAAGAATCGTTGACAAAATTAAATTTGGAAATTTTTAAATAGTGTTATTAATAAGAGAGAATCTGGATAATTGAATTAGCAATATAAATATTTGAATAGATGGAAGAATACATATTCAGAATAGATTTTAGGTAATTAATAAGAAATAACAAAGCAACACAAAAATTTAGATATAATTCATATAGAAAAAAAGTATTAATTACTAAAATTCATTTCTTTGACATTTATCAAATTTTGGATATCTGTATAGAGATCCATTTTTAAGTTTATTGATTTTCATTTTAATGAATATAGGGATAGTTCATTATATTGATTAGATTAATAATATATTAGTTACTCATAATATATTATGGGAATATACTTTGTATGAGTTCTGATTAGATATTAACAAATTTTTCATTTTAGTTTATTTATGAGACTAATATGATTGATCTATGATCCCATATCATTTATTTTGTTATGAATTTCTTTTAGAATGTGTTAATAAGGAACGTAGTTACTATTTTTTTATAAGAATATTGGAGAGTAAATTGGACCTACCCATTTTTAAATATCCTGAATAAGATTTAGCTATTTAAGGTATAAGATTTGGAATAAAATATTTATGTAAAAAATTAGTGATTTACCAAAGAGGCCTTCAAGATCATAAAGGTTGGAACAAATAAGTAGAAGGATTAATCTGATTTCAAATCATTTTCCAATGAAGTTTATTTAGTAAAATCAAGCGATTAATATTTACGCAGTTGAGTTTGATCCACCAATAGCTGATGATGCTAGAAAATTGAGGGAAGAAATAGTTAGATTAGCAACTAAAGATCTTTAAATATAAGGATTATAAGAATTCACAGTAATAAAAATATTAAAATGATTTTAGTTAAGAGGCAAGAATATTTGGTCATCTTTCAATGTTAAAGATCGTTTGATTGCCAAAGCATCTTTCTAAGAATTAGAATATGTTGTTATAGCATAACACAAAAAGGAATACACTTTGTAAGATCTATCAGAAACAACAACGAATCCAGTTACATAATCTATAAATGTAGCAGTAAAGAGATCATTAAAAGAAATGGGTATGATAGAAATAGGTAGATAATCTAAATTTTATGATCCAAAAAATATTGAATGCAATAGAGTATATATAATTTATATATTAGATTAATGAACATGGATTAAAAGTTTGGAGAGGTGTAAAAACTTCATTTTAATTTTATTAAGGGATGCCATTTCTGTAAATTGATTTTGCATCAAGAGTTCTTAGAGATTAGAATGCTTTAGAATTCATGTTTAGTCTAAATACCAAGAATATTTAAGATATAAAAAATGAAATGGTTGGATTGAGTGTATTAGCAGCTTATGGAAATTGCAGAATATATAGAATAGACGAAATAGATTTCAATTTATCTCCTAAACATTCATTTTTATTGTAAGATGGAAAATCTATCACTTATTAAGAATATTACAAATAAAGATATAATATTTAAATTAGAGATCTATAATAACCGCTTTTAGTATTCAAAGATAAAAGAAATTAAGATAAAATTGCATATTTAGTTCCTGAATTGTTAACTATGACAGGCTTAACTGATCGTTAAAGATGTGATTAAAAATGCATGTAAAGTGTGGCTAAATTTACTAAATTAACACCATAATAAAGAGATGATGAAATATATGGATTTTATCAGAAATTAAAAAAACATCTTAGTAAATAGAACATTTTATTGAGTGATGATCAAAATGTCAATGGATTTCAACTATAAGCACCTAGAATTTATATGGGTAATAAAGAATATTAAACTGATTAAAGTGGATTTTTTATGATTAAAGATCCTGTATTTTAAGGATCTCATATTTAAGATTGGTTTATGGTTTATTAATCAAGAGGGAAGAATGATGATGATGATGTTGATATTATAGTTTCAGAATTATAAAAATAAGGTGAGAAAATAGGAATCAAAATAGAGAAACCATACTTTGTTATGCTTAGAGACAATAATATTTAAAATTGGTTGTAAAGATTGACAGCTGAAATTGGAGATAAACCTCCATAAATGATAGTTACTTTTATTAATGAAAGAGATAAAGATAGAATCTATGGACATATCAAAAAGTATTGTTTTTAAGATCAAGGAATCAGTCATCAAAACATTCTAAGCAAATTCTTAAGAACTAAAAATCCTTCTAGTGTTGCTTCAAAAATTGCTTAATAAATGAGTATTAAATTAGGTAATCCTTTATGGGCTATTCCAAAACCAAATGGAATTTCAGATAAAACTATGATAGTAGGTATTGATATATATCATAAACTATTAACTAATCGAAAATCTTGTATGGGATTTGTTGCTTATTTAGAATCTGAATGTTTAAATACCTTTGCAAAACCAATCATAATGAGAGAAGGTTAAGAATTATCTCATGAAGTAGGTAGAGTGATTGTAGAAGCTATATCTGCTTATTTTGAAAGGAATGGTAGAAAATATCTACCTGATACAATAATTGTATTTAGAGATGGAGTTGGAAATGCTTAAATTGAAGCACTTAAATAAACTGAAATATAATAAATGAAAAATGCAATAAAGAGTATCAATAAGAATTACAATCCATAATTTGCTGTTATTATGATTAATAAGAAAATAAATGATCGTTTCTTTATGGTTAATAGTGGTAATCATTAAGAATAGAAATAATAACTTTCTAATCCTCCTTCAGGAAGTGTTATTGCAGATAAGATTACATCATCTTATTTTGATTATTTCATTACTGCTCAATATGTTACTTAAGGTACATGTACTCCAACTCATTATAGAGTTTTAGAGAATAATACAAATTTTAGTGAAGAATTATTTTGGTAATTAACTTATTATCAATGTTTCAATTATTAAAATTGGACTGGGGCAGTTAGGTATTTATTTCAAATTATTATTATTTAGAGTACCATCATGTGTGTAATATGCACATAAATTAGCATATTTAATAGGAGATACTTATTAAGGGAACATTCATAAACGATTGGCACATCTATAATGTTGTCTATGAACATTTAATATTTAATTTTTATATATATATTATATAAATTAAATATTATAAAATTTACTTTTTTAATATATAAATTATCATAAAATGAAGTAATATCAAAAAAGTTTTATTGGAAAACCTATAGATAGAAATCTAATTGTTAGATCTACTCTCAAATTACCATAAATTAGGTAAGATATTTCAAATCATTAGAGCATCGGAACTATGAATATTCCTAATAGGTCATCAGAACATATTCCCAATTCACGTTTACATATGAAAACTAAAACTAGAGATACTATTAAAGCAGTTGTTAAGGAACGTCCTCATTTTAAATAATTACCTACAGATAGAACTATGCCTACTCTACCATCGTTAAATTCTCCAAGGTCTGAAGATGAGGGAGAATCATCACATAAAAATTTGTTTTCAATTAGGAGAACTGTTATTGATACTCTCTCATTACGATAATCTCGAAGGACTAGTGTAGAAAAAGATAGATTAAAGGAAGAAAAGAAAGAAGAAGATAGACCTGATATACAACAACATAATACAGACTATAAAATATCTTAGGATTAATAAATAATAAATCAACAAAATTTAAAATTAAGCAAATCACATGATTAATTCATTTAAAATCATGATAATTTAGATGAAGTCTTAGAAGAACCTATTGAAGAAATACGACCAAAGAAGGAATCCTAATCTATTAGACCTAAAAATGAAAGTGTCTCTTCACAATTCACATAACTTACTGATGAAATACATTCAGTATGGGATAATGTTGATTTGTATTTAAGAGGAATTCAATTTGATNAAATAAATGATCGTTTCTTTATGGTTAATAGTGGTAATCATTAAGAATAGAAATAATAACTTTCTAATCCTCCTTCAGGAAGTGTTATTGCAGATAAGATTACATCATCTTATTTTGATTATTTCATTACTGCTCAATATGTTACTTAAGGTACATGTACTCCAACTCATTATAGAGTTTTAGAGAATAATACAAATTTTAGTGAAGAATTATTTTGGTAATTAACTTATTATCAATGTTTCAATTATTAAAATTGGACTGGGGCAGTTAGGTATTTATTTCAAATTATTATTATTTAGAGTACCATCATGTGTGTAATATGCACATAAATTAGCATATTTAATAGGAGATACTTATTAAGGGAACATTCATAAACGATTGGCACATCTATAATGTTGTCTATGAACATTTAATATTTAATTTTTATATATATATTATATAAATTAAATATTATAAAATTTACTTTTTTAATATATAAATTATCATAAAATGAAGTAATATCAAAAAAGTTTTATTGGAAAACCTATAGATAGAAATCTAATTGTTAGATCTACTCTCAAATTACCATAAATTAGGTAAGATATTTCAAATCATTAGAGCATCGGAACTATGAATATTCCTAATAGGTCATCAGAACATATTCCCAATTCACGTTTACATATGAAAACTAAAACTAGAGATACTATTAAAGCAGTTGTTAAGGAACGTCCTCATTTTAAATAATTACCTACAGATAGAACTATGCCTACTCTACCATCGTTAAATTCTCCAAGGTCTGAAGATGAGGGAGAATCATCACATAAAAATTTGTTTTCAATTAGGAGAACTGTTATTGATACTCTCTCATTACGATAATCTCGAAGGACTAGTGTAGAAAAAGATAGATTAAAGGAAGAAAAGAAAGAAGAAGATAGACCTGATATACAACAACATAATACAGACTATAAAATATCTTAGGATTAATAAATAATAAATCAACAAAATTTAAAATTAAGCAAATCACATGATTAATTCATTTAAAATCATGATAATTTAGATGAAGTCTTAGAAGAACCTATTGAAGAAATACGACCAAAGAAGGAATCCTAATCTATTAGACCTAAAAATGAAAGTGTCTCTTCACAATTCACATAACTTACTGATGAAATACATTCAGTATGGGATAATGTTGATTTGTATTTAAGAGGAATTCAATTTGATGAATTTGATTAATAAGCTTAATTACAATCATTTTTGCAACTCTACAAAATGAGAAGTGGAGGATTCCCTGTAAGTTACTCATGATTAAATAAGGGCTAAAGAGAGAACTTGTCAAATGAAGAAGTAATTAGGAGAGCTGCTGAATATGCTAAAGGCAATCGCCAAGTATTTAAGAAATATTTTCCAACTAAACAAGTAGTGTTTGAAAATGAAGAAGATTACACATAATCATATGATGTTAATAGTGATGCTAATTTTTAAAAATTCTAAAAGTATATTCAGAAATATAATTAATAATAAGAACAATAATGAATTATATCTCATAATCATAATTAACAATATCAATCTATTATTTATATATCAATATACTTTGAATTTCTATTCTATATCATTTATAAAATCTATCATGTTAATATACCCTTTATTTCATTTATAATCATAGATAATAAAAAAAGCATTTCCCACATTCTTAAATTACAAATTGTCTTTGATGAACTTAGTCTGTCAATTTGTTATCATTTTATATATTATTTGATTGTTGTTTAATTATCTATGTGAATTAATAAAAATTATTAAATTTAGAATAATATCATGAATAATTATTAAATTTAAGATTGAATGCATAAAAGTTTTGTAAATTATTCTTACCATTTCATATTTGATTAATCAGAATATTACATAGATATTAACATAATTTATTTTAACTTTATCAATGTTATGGGATGAATAACTTGAACAATTTAATGATTATCAAGAAATCCATAGTAAAGAATTAATGAAGTGTGAAAATACGTCTGAATTAGGATTGAATAACTTTGACTATTAAGTTATAATTTACATAATTTAATCTTTATAAATCCAAAACATAAGTGTTATAAATTAAATATTCAATTTAGAATTTATTAAAATAGATGAAATGAGCAATGTCTTTAAAATATCTTAGACTTCAAGACTATCCTTCCAAATGTGTAAGTATAACACTTTAATTTATTTGGATTAGTTTATCTATCAACTACATAACACGACCCTAAAAAAATTTTTAAAGTATCCTATATGTTAAATAGCATTATAAATTGAAAAATCTTATCAATATGATTATCTTCATAAATTATATAAACAGTTATAATCAATTTTAACAATAAAATAAGGAAATTCTATAAATATTATAATATATATCTAACATTAACTATTTAAAGAATACTTAAGTGAATTCTTTTATAATAATGTTAAGAACAAATTGAGTAAATAGGAATACCTTTAAATAGAAGTGAATAAATTTCTATTTTTTTAAATATTTTCCATTTTATAATATAATTAACAAACATTTTACAGTTTATAGTAAATTGATATGGTAAGATTACTTAGGATCTTAATATTATCTAATTAATTATTATAATCTATTTATTTGAAATAAATCAAATACAAATATTATAATTTATGTTTGATTTCTCAGATAGTATTATTCGAAATAATTCACACGATAAAGAATTTAAAGGTCCAATTCATCATCTCTTAAGTAATAAGATAGTTTTGCAAGAAGGTGATATTTAAGGAGGAAGCTTTAATTCCTTTATACTTCCAGAAAATATGAAATTGTAAATCACTCCTCCTCTGACTCCAAAAAACGCAGAGAGATAAAAAACTTTTGTAGGAAGGAGATCTGAATTTCAATCTGCCTATGAAGTAGATGATTTAGAATCAGAGAAAGATAGCAAACCTTAATTTTTGAGATTAATCATTGCAAAAAGTTTACAAAATAACTTCATCAATAACCTTTGGAATAGATCCTATTTGAGGAAACTTTATCAATTATCTCATTATTAAATTGAATAATTAGATGATTTATAATTTGAATAGGATGGGTTTTCAAATATAACTTATCCAAATTAGAAATCCTTAATTTAATCTCTAGCTTTATGTAACCTAATTGATGTATTTACTCCATATAGCAAATTCATAGTGATTTGGGATGTCTTCCAAATCCTTACTTATATCATGATTTTCTTTTGGTTACCTTACAAAATCTCTTTTGAAGTATATTACATAAGTGAATTATTTAATGGGGATAGAGGCAGCAAGATTATTGAAATAGTGCTCCTTTCAATTTTGTCATTGGATGTAGTAGTTGGACTCAATTTGGCATTTATTCATAAGGGATAAATTATCAAAGATAGAAAAAGAGTAATAATCAATTATTTTAATTAATATGCATTTGTAGATTTAGTAATTATAACATTTTATTTATGGTCTCATTATCCACAGTTTCAGCTTAATTCTTTATTCCATACCTTAGTTCAAAAGACAGTAACATGCTTATAATTTAAATAGTACTGGGTGCAATATTCTACATTCTTAGAATAACAAAAATTAATAAGATATTAGCATAAATCTAAGAGTAATAATAATTTTATCTAGATTTTTTAACCTTAATGGATCACTTAATGATATGGTTGGTCTAATGAAATTATTAATGACAATTATATTTATAGCTCACATATGTGGATGTACATGGCATGGTATAGCTCATTACACTGCAAATTATTCTTGGTTGGATGCCTACAATTTAAGAGAGAGAACCAATGGCACTAGATATAATTATTCAATATATTGGGCAACGATGACAATGACAACTGTTGGTTATGGAGATATTACAGCTTAAAATGACCTAGAATTACTAATTAATAATATCACTATGTTTGTTGCAAGCATAGTTTTTGCATATTCTGTTAATAGTATAGGAATATTTGTGTCGAATATGTATAAAGGAACTATGGAATATAGTAGAACAGTTACTTTAATTAATACATTTATGTCTAAAAATAAAATCTAATTTGATTTATAAACTAGAATAAGAAGTTATTTAGAGTATATTTGGTAAGAAGAATAAGAAATGAATGATGATGAAGTTGGTTCTATTGTAAAAAAGTTAAGTAGACATCTTTAAGATGAATTGTAATATCAATTACGTGGTAATATTCTAAAGAATTGTAAAATCATCATGAAATTGTTTTCTGAATAATTTCTTAAGAATCTTCTTCAATCAATGGAAGAATTATCATTTAGTCCAGATGAGAAAATAATTACATGTAATTAAATAGATGATTGTTCATTATATATGATTACAAAAGGAGAAGTAGAATTAATATTTTCAGGTAAAAATTAGTTAGGAGATATGATAAAAAGAAATTCAATCAAAGTACTTAAATAATATGAATGTTTTGGGGAAGTTGCATTTTTTACAGGAAATCCTAGAATAGCTACTGCTATTTCTAAAGGATTTACTAGGGCATTTAAAATAAAAAGAGAAAATTTTTTAGCTATTTTACAATAATTTCCAAATGATTATGAAAAGTTTTGTGATACTAGAGATAGATTAATTAATAATGAATTCTCTTCATTATAATTAAATTGTTATAGTTGTAAAAGCAATAGACATCTTATAAATAATTGTCATATTTTACATTTTTGTGCTGATCAAGAGAAAATATTAAAAAAAGAATTATTTCCAGTAGAATAATGCAGAAGTATGATCTATAGTAGAAATAAGAAAACAAAAGTTGTTAGTGCATTAACAATGTAGAAGTTTTATTCAGCAAGAGCACATGATCTGATTTAGGATGTTTATTAATAAGAAAAAGGTGGTACTGATCTTGATGATGGAGATTCACATACAATGCCTATGAATGATGCATATGAAAATGATGATGATGATGATGGTAAATAAATTATTTTATTTAATAGATTTACCTTCTTCTATAAATTAACAAAGAAGTTAATCAATAAGTCTTAGTAAAGTAAGTTCAAAATAATAACAACAATAAGTGGATATTGAAGAATAAGAATTAGACAATAAAGGTTATCATCGTAAATAATGTCCTCCACGTTAAACTGTTTAGACAGCTGGATTTGGACGTAATACTAAAACTAAAGATAGTAATTGTATTTTATATTAACAATAGTTGCCTGGAATGTATAATAATTGAGTGAATCCTAAGATTCATTAGAAATACAAGACTAAGTTATTCCTCTTTAATCACATAATTAACAAAAATCAAATGAATTAATTAATAAATATTAATCATCAAAGAAACTGATTTCAAGAAGTGGGTCTGGAGATGATCCATCTAAAATACCTACAGAAATTAGAATTTCTAAATAGTAAGGACATTCAAAAAATCAATCTGATCTTGAAATTCGTAATACTTTAGCTAGAGAACAAGCTAGAAAAATAACTTCAAGAACAAGAACACATAATGATGATCCAACTTTGATTACAGATAATTTGACCTAAAATAATAATGCATATCAACTATTATTAACTCCTACTATAACAACAATATTTTAAAATTTTGATAAAATGTGTATCTTTTAGTTTTATTAACCATTTAATAATTATGATGCTGTAATCAAAAGGTATTTAATATAAATTATTTATTAAGATATGCAAGGGCATAAAAATTCTTTGGTAAAAAGAGATTATATCCTGAAAGTTCTCTTTATTCATTTTACTTTATGGCTATTAAGAAAGGATATAAATTAAGAAAATTAGGATAATTAATTCCTAATGGATCAACACGATTCTCTGGTGGTGTTAAATTAATAAAAAAAGCATTTAAGAAAATGAGATAACCTACATTAGCAGAATAAAGTGATATGTTGTATTAAAATAAATGAATATCTAATTTATAAATATCATCTCCTTATTAAAAATCTAATGAATTAATTAATATTAAAGATCATTATCCTTGCATAATGATCTTCATTTAATGCAAAAAGTTTTTTTATTAAATCTATTCATATGGCATTGTCTTTAGAAATAAGATGATATATTAAAAGTCTATTTTATGATATAATTGTGTCAAATATCCATATAATAAATACATTAATCCAACACTATTAAATAATATATTAAATAAATACCTAATACCAACAGCTATTTCATAAAATAATATAACTAAAATATATTTGCTATAATATTCGTATTCAAAATTATATATTTCAATTAATTATTAACTAAAAATATTTGTTGTTTCAGAAAAATACACTAAAAATGTATTTATAAATGTTTGACTTTTAAGAAAATTCAGAAGTTCATCTGGATTATTCTCAAATTAATTATTAGAAAATTCAAACAGAAATTCTGTAATCTTTACTTTTTCAATATTATTAATTAAACTCATCATTCCTCTATCAATTAATGAATGCATCTCTTTATATGGATATTGATCATCATAGCAATATTTTATATCATCTCTATAGTTTAAACAATAATCAGAAATTAATAAATTAAGTATTGAATCTTCTTACAAATATTCAAGATTAATAATTATATCATTAGAAATCTCAATCAATAAATTCATACAATCATAAAAATGAATGATTATCTATTAAGCCAATTAATCTGATATATCTAAAATCCTATTCGTTTTAATTAGAGTTCCATAAAGCAATCCAGAATCAAGTACCAGATTTAATTTTATAAATGATTTCTCAATATCTAAAAATCTATCTTTATAATAGTTTTATTATAGTACTGATCCTGTTAAAATAAATAAACATAACACAGTAACAACAATACAATTTGGAAATATGTAACGATGATTTAGATTTCCTTCTAATTCATGGATTTTTTTATTTTATTATCTTTCTAAATGAGGATCTTCTTAAACAATAGATATATAAGAAGTTAATTTCCAATTCTTAGAATTAGTTTCATAATGTTAATTTTGATCTATTTTAAATGATTCCTTGATTATAGATAGTCTAGCTATATGATTCTATATTTTTAATATGTTTGTTTATTATATCAATTTAAGAATTTAAATAATAACTTATTACTTTTCATATAAAAATCTTATTTAATATATAACAAAAGAAAAGCTTAATATTGTAAACACCAAAGTTTAAATTAAATCTGGTTGTTAATCCTTGTAATTATCCAAATCTTATAAAATAGTTCTATAGAAATATGTAAACATATAATGTGTATGATTTGTAAAATTAAATTTAAAAATTGTAGAATTATAGTATATTTATCTCATTTCATTATTAAATTATTCTATAATTATATGAAATTATTGTATATCTAGATTTTCATCATTAATATAATGATTCAAAATTTAATATTCCTTATTATATATATTTTGATTATAAATTGATTAGGCTTGGGTTTAAGCCATTTAAATAATTTACTAATTTTAATTAATTATTGATAATTAAGACAATTTAAATATAGCATGTAAATTTAATTTGATTGCAAGTGATTTATGGAATTCAACTTAGGTTAAAGTATTTTATATAAAAGTATCATTATCTTGTATGTGATCTTAAACTTCATAACTTTCTATCACTATATTAATAATTAACAAAAAGATTACACATATAGAAAAATATGTGAATTTTTTTAAACAAGATAGTGTAAATTTTGATTATGAAATATGATCGAGATATAAAAATGCATCTTTAAGAATATTGATTTTCTTTTTAAATGTTTGATTACTTGCTAATTCAAATTAAGCTTTAGTTTTTAATTTTAGATTAGATTCTTTAATATATTTATCTCTTTTTTTTTAATCATTATTATCTTCATCTTATTCTTATTAATTGATTACTTTTCTTTCAAAAATAATCTCTTAAAATTCTTATTCAACTGCTTAAATTATATCATCATCATCTTATTAAATATTAATACTTTATAATTCTATTCTAGTAGTTAATAATTGTTTTTTAGGTTATCTATCAGTTTATAATTTTAATAATCTAGAAGTATTTTCAAAATCATAAGATTACATTTTTTATTTTGTCACACTAACAGATGATAAGTAATTATTAAATAATATTTATCTATCATGTTCTATTTTATTTAAATATAATAAATGATTCTTTAATTTAATATGTTTAATCTAATTCTCTATTTCCTCATTTGATTATGGTCTCTCAGAATTAATTATTTCAACATCTTCTACTGGAAAATCATATGATGATTTATTAATCTTACTTGATTCAGATTTTCTAGTTTAATAAGAAGTAAAATAATTAGAAGTATTTTTTTGTGTATAATCTTATTTACAATCTTTAATTTCTAATATAAAATATCCAAACATTTTTTTACCAATTTATATCTTTCTAAAAGACAATGAATATATTAATTAAATTCTACCTTTATTTGTTTTATGACTATCACCCAATTAATCCAACATTTATCTAATAGAATTATTATAATTATTATTCAATATCTACCATTCACATCCATCAAAATTGAGTTCTTTGCTATTTTATAGTGATTCTTCAAATTCTGAAATCTACACTGTACTAGGTTTTGAAATTTATAAATAAGTTTTTTATGAGATAAAATTAGAAAAAGATAATACATGATTAGATGAATATTATTATCTCATTATTTAATTAGTACTAAATACACAATTAAAATGATTTTCAGGATATTACCAATATGATACCAATTCATTTAAAGTATAATTTTGATGCTTTTCAATATTTTACTTTAAATTATATATCTATTCAATTATATTTTCTATATAATATTAAATTAAAGCACCCTTCTCTATTATCTCATTAATTGAAATTCTTTTAGAATAATTATCAAAAATCAAACTTTATAGAGTAAATTCAAAATAACTCTAAGTCATTCCATATAATCTCCCATTCATTCCAAATATTATTGATTCATTATAATTTTACTCTTTAGTTAATATTGCATTAATGAAATAATCATTATCCCCTTAAATTGGTAAAATATGAATATAACAAGGAACTATATATCCCTTAGGATTTTGACAAAATGTTGATTAACCTTATTGAGATAGATGAGATTATCCTTTTTAAATGAAGGCTTCAGTCAATTAATCATGGATATTGGCCAAAAAGGAAGGCATTAAATCTAAACTTGATTTAATGAATGATGTTTCTTCAGTTGAAGTTTCAAGAAATTAACTCATCTATTAATAATTTGGTTTGATCAATTTGTTTACATTATAGATTAAAGAAGTTCTTAATTGTAGTGATCTGTCTAATGTAAATAACATTTATACTCATTACTAATTAATTGCTATCAATAGTCATGAATTATTGATACTTTTCATATCTAAATACTTCATTAATCTTCTCCTCCATTTATTAAGCCTAAAATATATTAGTATTTAAATACTTTTACTAGATCAACATTTGCTACACAATAATATACCTATTACAATCTTAAACTAATCACATCTAATGTTTAACTACCCCATATTTTATGATTATTCAAATTATATATTTTTTCAAATAATAAATTCAATTACTTAATTTCTAATCCTATTCTTCTAGATTATTGATAAAATAATAACAAATCAAATTAATTCATAACTGTTTCATTCCAAAATTTTAATAGATTTTCCATTACTTTTTAAAGTTGATCAATTATTAATTAACATACATTCTAAGATTTATATGCAGTATAAATATAATTAGCAATCTCTATCTTTGAAATATTTAATTTTTAAAATGTTAATAATGCTGATTAATAATAAAAATCTTCATTTTACTCTTTATGTAATTCAACCAATGCTCGTAATGGCCATTTCTTTTATACAAAATTAGCATATATTAATTTATCTCTTTCATTTCTTCCTTTTCTCTTTAAAATACATTCTATTATATCATAAAAAGCCTTGCATTTCACACATTTATGATTATTTTTAAATATTTATAACTATATCCTAGCTTATTTATCAATTAAACAATTCTTATAGATTTTCTCAGCTAATTAACACAATAATATTGAATCACCTTTTACAAGAATTTCCTGAGTTTTTATATTCAATAATTATGTATAAAATAACTAAACCACTGTTGAAATTATCAAGTAATCCATAAAAGTAAGGTTTGTTTATAAAGTAATGTTTAAAACCAAAAATAATAAGTTTTATCTTACTTTTAAATCGGATTACTCAGTAAATTTAAATGCATTAAGTGATATATTAGACATCAAAACCATTAGTTAAAAAATAAAAGTCAATGTATGATTTAAGAATGAAAAATAAATAGTAATAAACTCAAAAAGCTTTACTAAAATTCTTATCAAAATTATATTATTGCTAGCATTTTCATATTAATGAAGAGAGTCTCCTCTCTAAAAAAAGATAACAAGAAATGTTAAAAAGATAGCTATTGATAAGTTTATTAATGCTATTGTAAAATGCATTAGGGATTATGTAAAGCATAATTTTATATTTAACCAGATGATTGGTATATAAAATATATTAGGATACACATTAATAACCAAATTGATGATAATAATGAGTAGTTTCCATTCCTTTTAATTTTTAATGTAATTTAGTATAAGGTTTGCACATAAACTGATTATGAGGATTATATTTAAAATTAAAAAGAGAATCTGAATTAATGTGGAGTAATTCTCATCAATTATGTTAAAAATGAATGTTCCTCTTATCAGAGAATATATTGTGCTATTATTAAGTTATTTCATACATAATATCAGATTATGGTTTGAATTCTCCACTTATATTGAAAAGCTGTGTCAAATATAAGAAATAGGTTAATCCTTAAATTTGCTAACTTATAGAGTTTTCATCAAAATTTAGCAAATAATGAAAGCTTCTACACTAATATATTAACTTTTTCATGATGAGAATAAATGTCTTCAAATTGAAAACAAATTAATTAATGAAGAAATATTTTATCAGTAAATTAAGATTGAATTTTTAGTTACATCAATATTATTTTGTTGCACTTCTTAATGATTTACACTGGCATCAATTTCTATTTATATTATGTTCTTATAATAATAATTTTTGATAGGAACAACATTAATTTAATGAAATATAATACTAAAATAATTCAATCTAATTTAATTATTGAAGTATGAGTTTTTTATTTTTTTGTAATTACCAATATATGATTAAATATTTAGAATAGAATTTTGAAATAAATACTATATATTAAGGAGAAATATTCAAATGTAAAAACAAATTATTATCATTATTACTATTTTAACTTTTCATCCATTTATTTTAACACTTTAACATAGAGATCTAATTAATTTTGACAATTTTCAATTTCAAGTTGATATTATTCAATTTATTATTTCAATTTATCTCTTTCAGCCTCAGATTTATTTTTTGCTTCATGTTCTTAATTTAATTCTCTGATTAAATTTACTTTCTCTCTATTTAAATCTGCTACTGTATCTTGTAAAGAATTCACTTCTTCTGTAGAATTAAAAGTTTGATTTGCTTAAGTTTATAATAATTTTTTAAGTTCTTCATTTTCTCTTGTTAATTATTATATCTAAATATAAAAGTTCTTTTTTATTTGCTCTATTTAATTTTGAAATTATTCTTTTGTTAAACTATCTTATTGCTTTTAAATTTATTTTTATTAAAACTCTTCAACTACTTTAATTAAACTTTATATTCTTGATTCTAATCCTAATTTTATTTTATTTTATTATGCCAATTGATCATTTAGTTTATTAATGACATTCTTTTAAATATATATAATCAATTACTTTAAGTTCTAAAATCTATTCATTTAAAGATATAGCTTCTTTTGTTAATTCTGTATTCTATTTCTTTAATCTAATTAATTCACTATTATTTTCCTTGTTGACTGATTAACTCTTCTTTGTAGTTGATTATTTCAGTGATTATTATCTATCCATTTCTGCTTATTAAGTTTATTTGTGATTTATTTATACTTATAATAGTTCTATATGAACTTCATGTTCCTCAATTTTACCTTCTTATACTTTAATCTTTAAATATATAAATGTTAATTACTTATTTTTATAATTGTTCATTTTCCAAAAGTAATTGTTTATTAAAAATTTCAGTTTTTTATACTTTTTCTGTAAGAATTTAACATTAATCTCTTAAATCTTTGATTATTTAGAAAGATTCTTCCAATTTTTAAGTAATCATAAACTTCTCTTTACTTATTATATCAGCATTATAAGAATGTTTTCTCTCAGATTCTTGAAGTATTCTTAAATTATGTTTGAGTTCATTGATTTCTTTGATATTCAATTGAATTTAATTTTATTATTCTTCATAACTTTAATTTTATATGTTATACTATAAAAATAAAAGTAGATAATTACTTTGTTTAGTAATTCATCATATTAAGAATGAAATTCTTTATAAGTTCTATCTAATTTGATATATTTATCTCTATGTCCTTCATGATCATATTAAGCATTTTTTTAGATTAATTCAAATTATTCATAAATAACTTCCTTTTCTTTTAGAAGTTAATCTTATTAAAATTATAGTTTTTTGATTTATTACTTAAGTTCATTATTTTATTTTAATTAATTATCATTAGTTAATTCAAGTTCATCAATTTATTCAATCATATATTTCATCTATATTTAAAATTATATTAAATACTTTTTTGATAGATGTTTCTTGATCTTATGATATTTAAGTTAATTAATTTTCCAGATTTGAATTACTATTTTATAATCTTGTATTATTTTAAATAGTAATTTCTAAGTCTTTATGATATTTATCTCTTTCTTATTCTAATTTTACAGAAAGTGATTAATAATTATTTATTTATTCAATTAATTATTAATTCTAATGATAGAAATAAGAAAATTACTTATTTTTATAGAATTTGAATTTGATTAGTTAATTCATTAACTTAATTAGTTAAATCTTTAGTATTTTCAGCAGAACTTTGGAAACAAGATTTGAATTGAATTAATTTTTCATCAAATTATGTTGTCAATTCATCTTTTTCTTTTTATATTGCATCTAAATTATATAGTAATTTGATTTATATTTATTTAAGTTCATTATTTTATTTTAAGAGAATATCTGTTTATTATTCATAATCTTCATTAGAACTAACAAGTAATTTAATTTGTTTTTAAGTTTGTTCAATTTAAATTTAATTAGTAATTTAAGTTTCTTCTAATTGTTAATTTCTTTCTTATAACAAATTAATTTCTTCTTATTATTGCTAATTAATTTTTTACATTCTCTCAAAAGATTCAATTATTTTATTCAACTCCTATTCCATCTTAAATCTAATTTCTGATTATTATTAGATTTATAATTATAATTCTTAATTATCAAATTGTATTTATTTTATTTGTTATATTTGATTAGATATTGTTGTTTAATATTAATTCTCTGTTTAATCAACTTAAATTATTCTGTCTTTTATTTATTCTAATTAACTATCTTTTTAATTTAAGAGATTTAGCAATCGTCTAAAAGATAAATATAATAAATTACTTTAAATTAGTATTTAATTCATCATTTTCATTTTATAGTTACTCATTTAAATCAATTTATTTAGCTAATAAATTACTAAGAATCTCTTTTGATCTTTCTGGTTCCATTATTTGAAATTTAAATATATATAATTATATATAAGAATTTAATATAATAATTTAACGTAATCAAAATCAAAATGGGTAATCAATGTTGTGGAAATCAGCCAATCAATAGAGATGCAAATGAATAGGCATTTGCTTAAGCTATTCCAGTAAGATTATAATAAAAACTAAAACCTGAATCATAACGATTTCATTAAGTATTAATATCAAGTGGTGAAAATGATAAGAAAGGTATAACAGAGATTGATCTATAGATATCTTTTCTAATGAAAGACAATAAGATTTCATTTTAAACCTTAAACCATATAGTCATTTAGCCACTAACGATTCTGTTGTTGTATCTATACGAGTAGTTTGTCATGATTATTCTTACAAAGATGAATTAGATTGGTATATAGATGAAGTATAATGATTGTTAATAATATAGTCTGTTATTATTGATCCTAATTGTTTTGAAACATCATTATTAAGAGTTATTGACAAGAAAACAGGTAATAAATATACATTAAGAGTTATCAATTTTAATGATTATGAAGATTATGAATTCAAATAAGCTTTATATTAAATCTATATCATGTAATTGATTGGAAATAAATGTAAAAATTTGATATATTTACATGATTGTTATATTTTAGAAAATGAAGATAAAGAATACTCTAAAGGATCAATCATTTTATTAATGGAATATTGTGATTCAACATTACATGAAATAATATCTTTTCGTAAATTTCATAATTGGTAATGGACATCTGATGAAATAAGACATGTATTTGGTGAATTGGCTTAAGCATTAGGATAATTAGAATAATTAAATATTACACATAGAGATTTACGTCCTCATAATATTTGGTATTGTTCTCAAAGTAAAACCTATAAAATTGGAGGATTTGAAGAAGCAAAACTTGTTAAAAAACCATAAACTCTTCATAATCAATTATCTCTTAATAATTTAGGAATCAATATCTAATAAGAAAATGAAGAATTATTAAATACAATTAGAGGTGTACCTGATTATTTACCTCCAGAAGTCTAAAAATATGTAGATGCAAGTGGTTCATAAACTGTTGGAAGATATAATCCATTCTTAGCTGATGTATATTAATTAGGATTAAATATTTTGATGATGGATTAATTGGAAGTTAATTTTGAAAGTTCTGAATTAAGAAATGTAGTCAGAAAACTTAATAATCAAAGAACTGGCAGTAGAGGTACTAGTAATGATTATCATGATGTCTTAAAACTCATGTTAGTAGGTGATGAATCTAGTCGTTTAACTCCTGCTGAATTATCATTATTTACTAAATCATATTTATCTGAAATACCACTTAATGAAGATAATCTTGTTGAAAGTATGAAATATAAGAAAAAATATGCTGGAATTGAATCTACTAAAGTTTATTAATTAATTGCTGTTGCCTATTATGATCTATTTGAATGGGAAAAGTGGCTTGAAAAAATGGAAGAAATTTTAGTCACTTATGAAAATGCTAAAGATGATCTTCATGCTGCAGAAGTTCTATTTGATATTGCTAATGGATTTATTGATATTAATAATTTGACTAGTGCTTAAGATTATTTTATTAAAGCTAGTATTCTATATAATGAAATTGGACATTAATTAAGAGAATAAAACAAATTAAATGAAGCATTAGATAATTATGAAAGAGCCTTGGATTGTATTAGAAAAGCGTAATTCGTTTTCTTATATGTATTTTTAGTCATAATGGAGATGACAGTTATGAAGGTGCACTTCTATTGGAAAATCTAGCAAATGGTTATAGATTATAAGGAAATCTAACCAGAGCTCGTTCATTTCTAGAGGAAGCATGTAGAATAACTGAACAAGAAAAAGGAGCTGATAGTCTAGAATTTGCAAAAATGAGCATTAACTTAGGAAAAGTTCATTCCTTATTAGGTGATTATAAACATGCCCTTAAAAAAGTTAAAAAAGGACTTAGGGTTACTGAAGGTTTAATTATACATTTTAATTTAAGGACATGCTTCTGGTCATTAAAATCTATAATAGAGTATGTTAAGTTATAACAATTAAAATTAATAATTGTAAAATTCAGCTTTGTTATTAAAAGCATAAGGATTAACAATGTTAGGAGAAATCTAACGATTAAAAGGATCTTTAGGGAAAGCTAAGAAAAATATAGAAGAAGCATTAGCTATTAGAGAAAAAATTTAAGGTTCTGGTAATTTGGAAGTGGCTTCAACAATAGAAGTTTTGGGAAATGTATTTTTTGAAATGGAAGATTATCATTAAGCTAAATCATAATATGAAAAAGCATTGGTTATTAAAAAGAGTAAATTAGGAGATACTCATGTTGAAGTTGCCCTAACATTAAATAATATAGGAAATTCTTGTAAACATTTAGAAGAATATGATAAAAGCTAAAAATTCTTTGCTGATGCATTAGTTATTTTAAAGTAATCTTAATCAGGCGATGATCATCCACTTGTTGCCACTACTTATGGGAATCTTGGTATCTTATTAAAATAAATTGGAAACATTTAATCAGCTTAATAATGTTTGACAAAATGTATACAAATATTAGATAAAACACTTCCTAAAAATCATCCTGACTCTTTATTTTATAGAGAATAATTGCAAGAAATTTAATAATGATATTTATTATTATTTATTTAATCATAGTGGTTATATTTAAGCTTTCTTCACATTTAATTTCTTACGTAAATTTTTACTTTACTTATGTAAGGTCAATAATTTAGAGAATTTATTATTCTTTTTTTTTTAATTTGTATCCTCCTATTTAATTTCTCTTACATTAAAATTGTCAGATTTAAATTTGTATTTATGAATAAAAGAATATGGATACATCAAATACCTAACAAATTACTTAAAGATTTAAGGAATATTTGATAATTCTTTCAACTTAACTTTATAGAATTCATTATAAATTGTCAATATCTAATCCACATTATTATGTATATTATAAAATTTATACTATTTTACACTTTCTATTTAATCAAATTTTTCAGGCTTCTAAGCATTAAGTTTAATTAACATTTATAATCTCATTTTTAAAAATTCCATTTCTTAAATATCCTTTTCCAACCATTCTATATTATGGTCTTCAATATATTTTAATCTCTTTTTTATCCCATTTAATAATTGTTTTTATTCTGAATCCTTATAATTATCAATATTTAATGATGCCAATATATTTTTGGTCTAAGCCTTAAAACTTTTTCGATTGGTAATTTTATTCAAACTTTTAACAACTTCTACAGCTCTTTTAAATTTATTTATTCCTTTAAAATGTTATAATGGCACTAAATCTTCATCTACTAATAAAGATATTGATTTTTTAGTAATTTTATTAATTTAACTTTTTCTTTGATTTAAAAAGTTCATAGCTACCTAAACATCTTCTTCAGGTTCTTCTTTAATTGAATCTTATTATAAATAATTAGAAGGTTTTGTAATATTTATAGATTGAATTTTTGATTTTTCAACTTCATCATCAAGTTCCTCATAAAATAGACATTATTTATAATTATCAGCTTAAAATAAATCACTAGTTTCTTAAATTAAATCTAAATCATTATAAGCTGAAAAATAACCATGTTATCTTTTAGGATTTCTCCTGAATTTAAATTTAAAAGTTTCATTTCTTTTTTATTCTCTTGAAAATTAATGTTTTTTTACTAAATATTCCTTATCAGGTATAAAATGAACTAATGGACAATCAATAACTTTATGTGAAACACTTTTACAAGAAAAACAGGCTAATTTTAGAAATTCAGAATCTGAATTATAAATTAAATCATCATGCATTTCTCTGAAAACTTCATAATCTTCTGGAAATTCTGGTATAATTTTAAGAAAATCTTCTCTAGATAATAATAACAATTTTGAAAATCCTATACTTTTAAATCTTTCTCTTGCCTTTATTCCTGTAATGAATGACATCAAACCAAGACTACTACCCTTAAAAACAGTATTAACTATTGATATTGAATTATATGAAACATGATTTTATGACATTTCATTTTCTATAAATATTTGTATTTCTCCTTCTTCTACAAAACATATAAATTAATTCATTTTTTAACTTGGAAATAAATGATTAAAATCAATTATATTTTCTGGTTAAACTACTATTGATTTTATCTTTTTCACTAATTTCTTTTTTAATTAATCACTAAAATGATTCTTAAATAATGGACAAGTATTTAATATCATTGAATTAGCTTCAAATTGTAAACTTTCTCTTAAATTTTCTGATAATTAATTTATAATATTCTTTTCTTCCTCTGTTTCTTCTTATTGATTACATTACCAATAATAATTGAGATATTCTCTAATTTTAAATTGTAATTCATAACTTATCTTCTTGTGTTACATATAAGTATTTATTGTTTAAACCTTCTTCCTTTTCTCTTTAGAATAGAATGAAATTTTATCAATTATAGCACCAACAGTACTAACACTGTATGATAATTATATGCTACAGATCATCATAAACATTATACAAAGTACAGTCTCGAAAGTACTTTGTGGAGTTATATCACCATATCCAACAGTAAACATAGTAACTGTTGAAAAATAGAATGAATATAAATATTATATATTCCAATCAGCTTCCTCTAAATTTTTTAAATTCAACCAAGTTTTATAGTCATTTCTATATGAATAGCTTCCAACCCAAAACCAAAGACAAGAGAATATATGTAAAACAAAAAAGAGTAAAAATATTAATTTTCCTAATTCTAATAATGAACTAACTTATTTTGATAAATTCAAAGCCTCTTCAACTTATTCTGATAGTTTAGATATATTCTTATATTATATTAGAAATAATAACAATAGTAAATGATACCAATTTTCAGTTAATCTCACATATTGCGATTGAACAACTGAAATAATCAAAAATGTTATCAAAATCAATACTGACAATATATCTAATCCATATGTTTTAGTAAAGACATATTAAGCAATCTTTCTTCGATCTGTTACTATTGATCCAAACTCATAATAAGCATTATTAAAACTTAATATAAAATCTATTATCAATAAAGTCAGCATTAATGATGTGGGAATGATTAAGATATCAAACATAAATGATTGCATTTCCCATGCTAAATCCATTGGAATTACATATATAAAATAAAATCTTGCTAAAGTAACTATTGCATCCCAAAGCATTTTTAATTTTGATTCTGGGTAAATTAATGGAATTTTATTAAGACAATAGTTCCATTTTTGAGATAATAATAATAAAAACTTATTAAACTTTAATAAGCATTTATTTTCCATCTACTAAACCTATTTGACTATAATTGGTCGCATTTTTATTGTATTCTCTCTAAATAAATTTAAATTAAATGTTGCTCCTAAATCATTAATCACATCGAAATGATATTTATCAAACATTGAATTCAATTTCTTTTTGAATGATATCCTATGTACAAATTTTTGAATCAAAAAGTATTGAAAAAAGTCTCTATATATTTTTTCTTAAGTTGAACTTACACTATTACGTTGTTACCCTTATATAATTTATTTTTGATCAGAAGAATCATTAGTTGGTTTAGTTAAATTAATATTATTGTTGGGAGAAAGGGGAGTGGAATTTATATGTTATTAGTAGTCCTAATCAATTGAATTCTCACTCACATTATTACCTTTACTCTTGAACTTACTGGCTGAAAAACAAACATCAGATAGTGAATAACTAATAAAATCCTAGTATTCATCCATAGGTTATTCTGTAATCATGAGCTATGGAATTTGAGAAGACATCAAATTTCTTATATATTAACTATAAAATAATATAAAAAGTCTTTCAAATTATATTAATTTTAAAAGCTACTTAATACAAATAACAAATAAATCATAGTCTTTAATGTTAAAAGTCTCTATCTGTTCATTTTAAATTGATGAAAATTTTAGTTTTTTTTTCAGATATCCTATAATAAATTTTGAATTTCTAGAAAGAATTAATTGCTTAAATAAAACAATTTAATAAGTAGTATTCTACTAATCTTCTAATTTATATATAGAATGTTCTAAATTCATAAATAAACTTTTTTCAATTACATACTACAATTTGAAATTGGCCATAAGATTTTGGCATTTAAAAGGTTTTAGTGGCAAGCCAAATATTCAATATGCATTAATTAAGATCTTATACATAATTAGTTATTTAGAAAAATCAAATAATTTTAATAATTTTGAAAAAATATGAATAAGAATTATTAATAATTTTTACAAAGGGTTTTAAAGTAATTAAATTTTATCAGATTATTATATTAATTTATATAGAATAGAGAAGAATTATTCATTAAAATAATCATAAAATTTTCTTCATAAACAATAAGAATCTCTTCCTATATTCTTAAGGGTTTTAAGAAGATGTATCAAGATTTGAATCTAATTTCATAAATCTTTTGCTGTATTTTTCAGTAATTTTTTTTAAATTATATTTTTGAAGATAATCAATAATACCCATGTGATAATATATTCCTTTTTGAATTGTACTTGGATAACAATGTTATAATCTTGCTATTTTTTAATTGATAATCTTATCAATAAGTACCTAATCTTATATTTCATCTTAAAGTTAAGATGTATAATAATTTAACCAATCAACAAGCATAAGACAGAAAGAATAATCCATAAAACCAAGAGACTATAAAAATAAAGTGTCAATTTCTAATTGTTCATAAATTGTGGTACAACATTAAGGACTGATATTGATTTATTTTTCTAATTTTATAAAGTCTATATCTTTTAATTATTTTGGAATTGTAATTATTTAATTGTTTAATCCACCTGATTATTTAGTTGGTTTATGTACTTCCCTTTTGTAACTGCTACCTTTTAAATCGAAAATACGAGTGATAGCTGATAAATTGATTTTACCGATATTTTTCATTAATATCATAGAAATTCTACCAATTTCAAATCCTTCAAACGTATAAATACCTAAAATCTTTGCAATTAATGTATTAGGATTTTGAGTACAATGCCAAAAATACTATTCAAGAATTTCTGTTAAATTATTTAGTTCTGTCATGGTTATTGTTTTCAAGAGAAGCTTATTGTTATGATTAAAAAAGAAGAATTCTCCTGACTTTCCACCTGTAGTTTAAGCACATTCTCTGATATGTTCTTGGTTTGCTTCAAGATCTAAACAATTTGAGATGTCTAGTTTGTCTTAATCTTCTTTTCTAATGTGTATCAAAATTATAAATACATAAGAATGTCAAATATAACAGGAGCATATGAAATCATTGTAAATTTTTTATTCTAATTTTCAAATTATTCCTCAAATATTTCTTTCAAAAATAATTAATGAACATTAAAAACAACTTATTCATAATATTCTTGTTTAACTTGATGTCTTATAATCTTTTTAAAATATTATTATTAATTAATTTCTGTAATTTTATCTTTTTCTTAAATTAAAATTAAGGCAAGAATTCTTTTGATAATATCTCTTTTCAATTCATTTGTGAATTAATGAATAAAAGGATCCTCTTATTTATTTTATTAAGTAATTTATTTGAATTTCTCATTCGAATTAGAAGTTTTAGACCTTTAAAATTCAGATTGTGAACTCAATTTTTTTAATATAGGTTCATCATATGAGATTTAAAAGGAGTTTTGTTCAATTAAGGATTGACTTAGTCCATCAAGACTAATTTTCTTTTACGGTCTTATGTAAATAATAGAATAAATAATAAATACATGCTAGATTCCTGAAAGGGATTTTCCATTAGAGATATGTAACTTCCTTCAAATTAGGGTTATCGAGTGCCAAAAAAATGTTTCCTTATGTGCTTAAATACAAATGGATCTGTTAACCTTATTAAAGGTATAACAATTGGATATAAAATAGCTGAAATTTATGCAAATAATCGAAGTATTCCAATTGAACTGTCATTACTGATTGTAGGACACTCATTAAACTTTCTGTCAATTAATTTCAAGATATAAGCAGCCATGGCAAATGTAATGAAACTAGTCATTAATATAGATTAAGCAATAAATAGTTTAGTGATGTAATAGATAAAATCTGAACCCTACTTTTTCAGTTTGTTCTAAGAAATAATTCTAACTAGATACATTTGAATTTTAAGCAAATTCTCTTTTGATATATTGTCTGACAGTTATTGCTACGGTAAAGAAACTCAATAATAAGATAATAAAGGTAAATGGTGCATTTGCAGAAAGAGAGACGCCACAATGACTTTCTTAAAATGATATAAGGGATATTGTGGCATAAAGCATTGATATCAGAAAAGTTGCAACATGGCCTTACCATTTATTAATCTTTTTTGCTTGTAGTGTAAACATAAGCCTTACAACCATATGCATATACAATTGAATCGTATATGCATATATTAACACAACTGAAAAAGTGAAGCCTACAAGATTTATTATACATAATGGCTTTTTTTAGTAATTATAATAATCATCCATTAATAATACAATAGATTCTATTAGACTAGTATAATACTTGTTTTTTACTAATGTAACATCATAATTAACTCTCCTAAACACATTCCAAAATAGATATCACCTGGACTCTTATGTAATTTGCGTATCTTTATGAAAATGTATATATAAAACAATGAAAGTAGTATTCCAATAATTGAAAATGCCAAAACAATCCAAAAAGTCAATTTTATGTATATCATATATAAATATAATTATTAAAAATGCAGCAAGTGTTTAAAAAGATTGGTACTCACAATGGAGCATTCCATGTTGATGAAGTCTTAGCATGTGCTATGTTGACTAAATATACCAATGAATTTAAGAATGGAATTATAACTAGATCAAGAGATCCAAATGTTTGGGCATAATAAGATATTTTGGTAGATGTAGGAGGAGTCTATGACCCATAAACTCATCGTTATGATCATCATTAAAAGGAATTTTAGGACTCATTCTCTAAGGATTTTAAAATTCGTTTAAGTAGTGCAGGTTTGATTTACAAACATTTCGGATTAGAAATAATATAGAATTTAATCTCTCATATAAATGACACTGTGGAAACGACTATTGAGATTGTAAATTATTAATCTATAAAATTTCTTAGCAAAAAGTTGATGAAAAGACTCTGAACTTAATTTATATAAAGTTATATAAGAATTTCATATAAAGTATTGATGCTATTGATAATGGAATCAATCAATTTCCAAATTAAGATCAAATAAAGTATTAAATCAATACTCATTTGTCAGCTGTCATCAATAGGTTTAATCCTACTTGGTGTGAAAAAAATTAAGATGAAAATGCTAAATTTCATTAAGCTCTTGAGTTTGTTAATACAGAACTTATTTCTTAAATGAAATCAATTTATTTGTAATAATTAATATGATCTCTCGTAGAGGATGGTATCCTGGTAGATATTATGTTGTTTAAGCCTATGATTCAAGATTAGAATAGGATTAATCTGGTTAGATATTAAAATTATAAATGGCTTTACCATGGAAAAGTCATATCTTTGATATAGAACAGGAAAGAGGAACTGTAGGATTAATTAAGTTTGTTTTATATCCTGATAGAAATGAAGGATGGAGAGTGCAAGCTGTTTCAGTTAATGAGGATAGTTTTGAGAATAGAAAATCTTTGAAAAAAGAATGGAGAGGAGTTAAAGACATTGAATAATTGAAAGAAATATCTGGAATAGATGATATTGTATTTGTTCATGCTAGTGGATTTATTGGAGGAGCTAGATCTTATGAGAATGCATTGAAAATGGCTAAATTAAGTTTAGAATGATATACAAAATAAAAATTAATATTGATCAATCTATGAGTAATTGTATTTCTAAATATAAACTATAATTTTTATATTATCTGTAGAAATATCTTAATATAAAAATGGAATAATAAATATATTATAATAAATTAATAATGGAAACTGAATCTCCAGTTATGAAGAAATATCCAATTGAAAATATTTTGAATGATGCATCTGGTTTATTAAAAAAGGTATTATAAGTTTCACATAAAAGAATGGAAATCGAAAAGTCATCTTATTACTTGACAAACATTTCATGAGTTACTCTCATAATGAAATGAATACACTCAATATCCAAATCAGTAGAAGATTAATTAGAGCAGCATAAAATTTGTTAAATGAATATATTCATGGAGATAATATAACAAAAGTAGATTTATTACTTGATAGATGCAATTTGTATACAGCAGTAATATACATCAACATTCAAAGAATGTTAAAAAATGAGAGAGGAACTGAACATTTCGAAGAATTAAGTTCTTCATAGATTGAATAAAAAATAGGATTGAATAGATTAAGATAAAGAATTCGATAAACTATTTGTATACCTGGAAGTTTAATTAAGGTTACCCATCTAAGCAGACTTAAGGAGAAAACAAAAAGTATAAGCTATGAATATGAATAGTTAAGTTTTATTTAAGTGAATGTTGGGTATTGTTAATGAAACAATTAATTTTATATGCTAGAATGTTTAAAATTACTAATGAAGTACCTAATAGTTTAAAAATGATCCATAAAATTGAGAAGTTCTTATAAATTAAAGAAATTAATAATACAAATAATATTGAATTAATCAAAATATTTGTAGATCATTATTAAAATTTTGGATAACTCTATTTTTAATTATGTGAATTTAAAAATTCATTAAAATAATATGAAATTGCATATTCATATTTACACTAATTGATTTTTATCATTTTAAAAAAAAGAAATACTCCAAATGTTATTGATGATTCAGATCTATTACCAGTTTAACCATATATCATGAAATTAATAATGATATTATATCTTTAATCATTTTGTTATGAATATCTCTCTGAATATTCAAAAATGAAGGAATGTATTCATTTAGCTTAATGGTTTTGTAATGAAATCTTGAGATTAGAAGATGAACATTAATTAAGAATTCTTATATTTAGTAGAGCCTAAGATATATAAAAATATATTGATAATATTTTGGCAGAATGTGAAATTAGACATATAATATTTACATGTTTATCTGATGACACAATTCCTGAAATCAAAGCAATCTCATAATAAGTTAAAGATGATTATTAAAAAGCCCTAAATGAAAAATTCTATCTCAAATTACGAATTGAATAACTTAACAAATAATAGTTTTTCAAATTAAATCCTATTCCTGTTAAACCTCCATCACCTTATCTATTATATAATGTACCCAAAGGTAGTAGAACAGAAAGAGAACTTACATAATAATAATTTTCTAAAAATTATTAATCTTTCACTACTCAAGATGGATATGATTAACATAAATTAATAACTTCTGATAGTGAATCAAAATTAATTAAATAAAATTCTATATCATCTTTTTCAAGAAGGACTAGACCAACAGATTTTACCTAATATTGTAGAACTGAATAATCAGATTATCCTAAATTAGATTCAGAATTAGCAGGTGTTATTGTTAATTAATTAAAAAAAGAATAAGCTTTCTATTCACTTGCTGACATTGAAAGAACATGTAAAGATGAACTAAATGAAAATGAAAGATAACAATAGGATTATGAATTAGGTAAAGCCATCTTATTGTTTAAAAGATAATTTAGTAAAAATGCAATAGCTGAACCTAAAGAAACTGATTCATTAAAATAATTGAATAATGAAATTAAGACTGAATTTTAATTAATTTCTGGATATTTGGAAGCTTAAGAAAGATTAAAAAAGAAAAGATAATAATAATAATTAATTGAATAATCACTCAAACCTAAACCTAAAACTAAAACTCCATTTAGAAAAATACTAATCAAACATTGCAATACTTTAGGTTTAAAATAGACAAAAAAGAAATTATTAAATTTAGAAGAAGAATCTGCTCTAATGAAATTATATTAAAAGATATCTGGATAGAAAGAAGAATAAAAGCCTTAAATTAATGAAGAATAAATTATAAGGAATATGATTTAAACAAATTTAAATGTATTTATTTACATATTATTCAAAAGGCAATTAAAGTTATTATGGATGATAATTAAAAAGCATAGGAAACTGCTTAAAAATAATTAAAATCACGAAGACATACTTCTGAATAAATACAATCTAAACATGAAAAATCTCCTTAAAATTGTTAATTCAGAGAAACCTTCAAAGGTCTAGCTGGATCAACATAATACTTAAGTACTAAAGGATAGGCTACCAAAAATGTAATTTCTTTGGTAGAATTAGCAAATATAAAAAGAAAGATGAATCAATTAGAATCTAAAAAAGCTGTCAGATACTCAGAATTATTTCGGAGTTAATTGTGATTATATAATTATAATATATATATTAATTTATCATGTAAACAGAGTCTAGTAATTTATTAAATCCCTTGGAACTCTTAAAAAGTAGTGGCATTCCTAAACATTTACTTTATTAATCAAAGATAGAAGTTGACCATTTAATTTGTCCTATTTGTTTAAATATTCTATGGAAACCAGTTGCTTGTGGATAAGATAAATGCTTTTAATCATATTGCGAAGTTTGTATCAACAAATGGATTCAAGATTAAGCTGGAGATGTTGTATTATAAGAATCACTTTATTCCTAATCTTTAATTGTTGCTCCAGATTCTGGATCTGGATCACAATATAGTTCTTAATCTAGTTCTTTTTCTGAAATGCCTTAATAGATTCATGTAGAAACTACTTTACCAAATTGTCCAAAATGCAAAAGACCATTTAAAAAAACATCTATACCTATAATACACAATTTATTAGATTCAATATAGTTGAGTTGTATATATGAAGAATGCACAACAAAGCCAGGATATGAATAGTTTTAGAAGCATATATTATAATGTCCTTTTAGAAGAATAAATTGTTCTGGTTGTGGACTATAATAATTGTAAAATGAATTAGAATAACATGAAAATTAATGTGAATAAGTTACTATAGAATGTTCTAAATGTTTCAATAAAATGTCAAGAAAATTATTTTAAATTCATTCTATTGATGTAATTTAATATCCTTATTCTAGGATTGTGTATAATAGTAATTTAATAATAAAGATAATCAAATAGCACAATTATATAAAAAAATAGAAGAGTTAAATCAAAAGAATTAATAGTTAGAATAAAAAATATGTAAAATGTTAAAAGGAGATTCTTTTGATACTATTCATCAATTTTCATTTAAAACAATGTTTACATAAAACTATTAATTTACAGGTAATTAAGCTATAGAGGCTAAATTAATTCGTCCATCATTTAATCTTTAAAAATAAAAAAATGATTTTCTTCATTTTTATATTAATCATAAAATAAAAACATAAGCAGTTTAAGGTATTATTTGGAGAATGAGAATTTAAACTTTGAAAGGTAACCTTTTAATTGGTATTTGTTCTACATTATGTCATTATTCAATTGATTTTATTATAAATAAATTAGGTGAAATAAAAAGAAAAGAATGGAATGAGAATAAATATAAATTATTAAGAAAAGGTAATTTTACTTTCAGTGAAGGGGATACTTTAACATTTTAATTTATGCCTTTATAATAATGTTTAAGAATTACAAATGAAAATAGACATATAGTATGTCGATTTGAACCAACTGAAATAATTGAAATGGGAGATTCCTTTTTTAGTTTTTTCAGTTTAGAAAATTAAGGTGACTCATTAATTTTTATTTGATAATTATTATATTAACTATACCTTAAATTAATTATTTACTCAATCTCACATTTATAATAAATATTTTTTTTCATCAAAATATTTTAAATAATTAATGAGAAATTTAAACACTGAAAAATTTTTTAAAGAAATTTACTTTTTGATGCATCCTTTGGTTTCTTAAGAGTCCATGAAAGGGCTTATGATTATTTTTACCATATTGAACAAAGCATAAGAATTGGACATCATAAATAAGATAAATTAAGAATCCCACTCTGAAATGAAGTATTAAAATATATGAATATTAGGATACTAAGTTAACTAGCATAATATAGTTTTGTAATTAATGCTGTTACTAATGATCAATTAATTTTAATAATTATTGGATTTTTTGCTTTGCATATTATCCTAATCATCATATTCATATATTTCAGGATATCAAAGTCTATTTCAGTAATCATACACACTATTTTACACTATTTCTTATTACATTATACTCTAATATTTTATATTCCTATAACGTATTCATCATTTTATTTTATTTCTTAAGAATAAACATGTACATCAAGTTAATTTTGTAATACTAGTACTTAAATTGCCTTAATTATAATATGCATTATAAACTTAATAATATCATTATTAATCAATTCTCTACACATATATTTTGGAAGAGCAGATTCATTAATGGGTGATAATCATATTTTAATGTTAAATTACTCTTTTATAAACAATCTTGTAATTTAAATTTGCCTTTTCACAAGTATAGTACTAAAAAGCATTGACATTTTATAAGAACTAAGATTTGCTCTAATTTTAATTAAATATATATTAACAATGATGCAAATCTTAAATAAGATCAATGCAAAATATTATGTATTAATTGATCTTATATCAATTACATCATCAATTTCACTTTTAATTAAATTATCAGTGTTTGAATACCTAATAGTTCTGTCTTTGATATGGGCAGTCTTTTTTTAATCTGTTGACATAATTGAAAATTACTATGTTACATTAAAAGAACAAGGCAATTTAATCACATTATAAGTAAATTTTAATTTAATCTAAGAAAATAGAAGAGGCAAATAAATTAGAAACAAAAATATAATCTAAAATAATACTAAAAATAATTGAGAAAATTCATAATTGTAAAAAATGTCAATATTCATCTTAATTTGTTGAATGTATATTTAGAAGAATGGCTAATAAAGAAAAATAGATGAATAATCATATTGTTTCTTTGTTTTGTGATTATGTAAGTAATCATGCTCCATTAAAAGCATTAATCAGACTTCTATTATTAAATCCTAATGATTTATATTATAGATGTTGGTAACATAATTTAGCTGAAGAACTTAATAAAAGAAGTAAATAATTTTAAAAAGATGCTTAAAATAAAACATCTATTAAAAATACAAATGAACATTAAAATTCTTTAGATGTTTAAACTGTTTATAATACATCTCATTCAGCATAAGCTTTATTTCCATGTTTAATTGATACAATATAATCAAAAATCAATTTTTGGAATAAATTAATAAATGGATATTAACATATTGATTAATGTTTATAAGAGTCATTAAAAACTGCTAAAAAAATGTTGAGATGTAGAAAAGAAGTAGAAAATAGATTTGATTTGATTTATAATAAATTAAAAAATTAATAAGGGACTGATATTATAAGTTTAAGAATAATTTAAATTTATTATTGTGGAATCTACACTAATTAATTTTAAGCTTTTTAAATTGAGAAAACAATAGATGAACTATTAAAGAGTGAAAGATTTAAGTAAGATGAATCATTAGATAATATTTAACTTGTTTAAGGTAAATATATCTTATATTTTTATAGATAGATTGATTATTTTGAAATCTAGTTTTGTATCTAAAAGAGGTGAATTAATAGATGTGAATTATAAATAATTAGCTAAGTTTTTAAATGAAACAGAAGAAGGTTGTAAATTAATAAAACATTGTTCATAATTAATGCCTAGTTATTTATCAACTATTCATGAATAATTAATGGATAATTATATGTAAAATGGTTATTCTAAATTAATGATTCATGGAGAATCATCTTTCTTTTAAAATCCAGCTGGCTATATAGAACCTTGTAGTATAAATTTATTCAATTTTTATGATGGTAAAGATGATTTCATATTAAATATGATCTTAACTAAAGAATAATGTTAAAGTGAGACAATTCTTTTTGGTATAGATGGTAAAATATTAGGAATTACTCAACAATTTTTTAATGAAGCCATTAAATCCAATACTTAATACTCTAAAACAATAACTACTTAAGCTGGAAGGACTTAAGACAGTACAAACTTAACAACAAATATTAAAGATTTTTTAGCTAAATAACCTTTGATTTAATTTTATATACCAAATATATAGAATTAAGTTGAAGAATTGAGAAATCAAATATGTTAATCTTCTAATTATTTGATGAACAATTAGAAATCTACTTGGATGTTTCCTATAAATCATACTGAATGTTTATAACAAATGTAGTTAATATTATCTTAATTTAAGAAAAAAAGTTAAGGTACTTAGAAACCTAATTAAAACTTTTAATCTTATAAGTCTCAAACTTATTCGAAATATTCAAATTATACTAATAATACTTAATAAGATTAATATGATAAGAGTGAAATTGCAAAAGACATTTTAGATCAAATTAATATAGATAACATTCCTATCATTCTATTACATCCAGAATTATCAAGTTCTTTAAAAGAATTAATTACTTTTGAAGATATTTCAAAATAATCAGTTTAATTGGGCATATTTTATAGTTTACAATTCAAAATATTAAAATATAAATAAGGTAGTATTGGATATTTTATGCTTACTATTAAAGAAAATAAACTCTATTATTCATAATAATAAATGGGTCAGTTTTCAAGTCATATATAAACTCCTTAAACAGTCAGATCTTCTAATTAAGAATCTAATGAAATTGAAACTATATAAAATTCTATGAAAATTGAATTCACTTCAGAAAATATGAATTAATAAGAAGAAATAATTTAAGAAATTAGATTAATGAATAATATTATGCATAATAATAAAGATAGTTCTTTAGTTGATTAAAGTGGTAATAATTTAAGTTTAGATTAAACAAATATCAAATTATAAATTTAACTTAAAAACTCAGAGAGATCTAATCTTTACGATACAGGAAGAGTTCTTAAACAATCTTAACCTCTATTTGCTAGACCATAATAATAAGAATTCAAAATTGAAGACATTTCATAAATTGAATAAGATATGCAAGTAATTTTCTTATTTATTTTAGAATATCCAATAATTATAATAAGATTTTGATGAAAATGAATAAGATATAGCTAATTAAAGATAAGAATCAGTTAGCTAAAGTGTTAAAAAAAGATCAAATATTCTTGATAAGATAAAATTGACTTAATAGAATAAAGATAATCCTGGTGATTTTGCTTCTAATCCATCTAGAACTTCAACAAATTCTACATCAAAAGAATCAATATTAATAGTTCAATAATTGTATTTTAATAAAGATTTAATTACTCCATTAAAAAAAATTTCAATAATTTTAGGGTTAATTTTAATTGGAATGTTGACATGTGAAATTTTAAATGTTTTTCTAATTAAAGATAATTTATAGTAATAAACTCAATAAGTAATTAATTTAGTTAAACCTCAAAATATTATTTATTATTATACATCTGTATTTTATTAATATTGGGGTACAGAATTACATACATTAGGTATCCTTAAATTATCTGAATTTTAATATCAAAGGAATATAGAAACTTTAGATGATATGCTTCAATATGGAAGATCATATCTTCAATCATTTGGAATTGATGTTCCATTAACTGCTGCAAATCTTGGTGTTTCTACATTTGAACTAAAATAAGTCAAATTAGGAAAAGTAGAAAAAGAAATCTATTAACTATAAAATTTTTATTCTTTACTTTATGAAACAATGTATAATATGTATATCAACAATAAAAATATAGATAATCCATCATATGATGAATTATTTACTCAAGGGATTGTAAGATAAAATTTTTTAGAATTAATAGATTTACATAATAAATTAATTATAAAAATTTCTGAAGATACAATATAACAATAAAGTTTAGTAAAAAGTTAATTTTTAGTAATTATGCTAATGGAATTATTTTCAATTTTATTTTTTGTTGGATTCTAACTTAGATATTGGTTATTTTTAGATCATATTACTAAATCAATAATATTTTTAGTGTCTAGATTAAATGAAAATTAAGCTTTAAATTAATTAAATAAATTAGTATAAATTAAAGAACATTTAGAAGATTAAGCTTCAAATGTATGGAAATTATTCAATTTTGGAGATATTGTATTTGAATCTTCAGAAAAGAAGTATAAAAAAATAATTCTTAAATAATAAGATTAAACTTCAAATAATTATAAATCAACAAGTGCATTATATTCAAGAATATAAAGAACATATTATTTAAATAGAATTAATGTTATTTTAACATTTTTGATTACAATTTTATGGACTGCATTTCTTTTAACTGGTTATTTGATACACATGTAGAAAAATGAAAATTTCTAACCATCTTTAACAGCTACATTAAAATATGGTTAATTTAGATTGAATATGGATTCAGTAGGATTTATTGGAGGAATTGTTAAAACAGAATAATTAATTCCTAATAATAATTTAAATTTCATTAATCAAACATTTGCAATTTCATTATTAGTTGAATATAAGGAAAATCTATCTCCATTAATAAATGAAGTTGCTTAAGTAATTTTAGAAAATGCTAATGCTAATAATAAATAAAGTAGATTTGATAATATTTTAAATTTTGATATATGTGAGTTTACTGATTGGGAAATAATGAAAGCATGCGATTTATCTCGATAAAATCTTCCTTATTTTAGGTATAATTCTTTATATCATATAGTAAAGATGCAATTAATGATATTGTAAAAAATGGAGTATTAGGTTACACTGCTACATTAGTTAAATATCTAAACTCAGAT